CTAAGACATACCACATGCTTTAATATGTTTCCATACTGAGCAAACTGCAGAAGAATATAGGAAGCAGATGCTTGGGGAAATCTGAAAGACAAGAAAAATTCCCCCAAAAATGATGAGTTGTATAAGATTTTCAGTGATAGATTACAACTCTACAAAGGGCTTTTAGAAATCCAGAACAGACCAGTACTTCAATAACATTTTTAAAGGAGTAACTTGTACATATTTTTAATTTGCCATAATGGAATGGTAGAATGGTGCCTTTCTAACTTACTAATATACAGTTACAGTTAAGCTTCTTCACTAAGATAGTAGGTAAGATAGCAAGGTATACCTGCTGGCTTGAGCCACAGTTGTGTTTTCTGAAGAACCTAAGAATATCAGATAATAGAAGAGCACTAGTGCTATTTGTTTCCACACATTGCCAAGACCTCACCCACAATTTTTCAAATATTTCAGGAATTCACTTACCCAAATACAGTTACCCATGTGTCGTCAAGTTGATCTTCTGAAGTTAAGGAATCACCCTGAGTATAGAAAGGATCTAGTTGAGCTGGAGACAGAGTAGTCTTTCTAGGCTGCCCAATACTTGCAGGACTGAACATACTTGAAGCTGTTAAATTAAAACGATACCATTTAACATATTCATTTGCAAGACAAGTCAGCTTAAAAGAAATTCAATATTAAGTATTTCACTTGTACACAGAAGAATTCAGAGGAGGTTTATTTGCAGATAAACATTCAGTTGGTCCAGATATTTCATAAGTTTTCCAACTAGTTAGTAGGCTTCCTCCATTATCCCTACACAGCAGCTATTCAGCACAGACACCAAAGGGAAGACACTCAGAATTAAGCTTAGCAAGAAGCCATGTGTTCATACAGAAAATTGGAAGCCTTATCAACACAGACAACTGCTCTTCAATCTTCTCAGCAGCTTCACTCAAATACAGACACCTTGAGCAAGGGATGCTGAGTGAGGAACAAGGGAAGTTGATTGAAGTTCTATCAGTATGAGTCAAAAGGTATTTCCTGTTCACATACTTTTTGAAAAGCTAGTTAAAAGAACAGGTGTGGCTCCTTTGCAAATTTGCAAGGAGTTGATGTAGTTTGAACATTATTGTCTATTAAGAAGAGTAGTAAGAAAGTACGTTAAGTATTTTGATGGGACATCTACCTGCTCCAGGAGTTGATGGCATGTTTCCAACCAATGGGCTCTGGGTTAGGGAAAAGCTGCCCTGCATTAAAATACAGAAAGTAAATAATACTTATAGGTATACTCCTCAGATCAGAACAGATCTTTTTCAGGCAAACTTAACCATCATGCAGTAATACTGTCTGCCTTAAGTTACTTCTAACTTTTTAAATCAGTATCAGACATGAACTTATCTATATTTCACACATTCTAGCACCCAGCAGATCTCAACTATTACATTTTGGAGTTTCCAACTGATCACTAAGACTACTTCTGTAAGCCAGCAATTTGCACTACATGCATCTTATGGAAAGGATGACAGCATGAGAGATTACCAGCATCTGATTTTCATCTTCTAGAAAATGCAGAAATCATGGAGCATAGCCCCTCCTTGTACTCATCATTTCTTTCTTTCCCTCTAAACTACTCAGTTTATCTTCAATATTTAAATAAGGAAATTAAATGTCAAGTTCTATTTGCTAAAATAGTTATTTTCTTCATATAAAGTTCTCAATTTTTGAAACAATTTGAGTGTATTTTTATCCTTAGTCATTGCATTTCTTCAAAAGAAGATCAAAAAAACTGGAGCACCTTTCTGCCTAGCAGCCTGCATTCCAACTGTTAGCTGTTCATAATCATTATTACTATTATTTTTTTATTATTATTATTATTTTTAAGCAGTAGGGGATCTCCTCCTTGGAAAACTTTCAGAATAAGCCTCTCAGAAGACAACATTTAATAAAATCTGTTCATTCAGAAAAATGCCTTCTCTTTACATCAACAGATGTTCGCCCATTTAAAAAAAAATATTCACTAACACTTGACTGCTCAATTGAGGTAAGCAGGGGAGTTTACTATCAGCATAACCTTCTAGAAGTTTTTACTGTTGCTCTTTCAAGATTAACTCCACCTCACTGCCCAAATTTGGATCAGATATTTTACTCAGTGTAAGCATCCTCATATTTTGGTAATACTGTTGCTGTTACCTACTGTAATGCTGTAATGGGATGATAATAGCAGGGTGGCAAAGTTCTTCAGCTACAGCAAATGAGGATGAGCCCAAATGCAGCAGCCATGGATATAAAAAGGAAGGAAAAGGGCTGCTTACCTTTGGGAAGCCTCAGGTAGACAGGGATTTCTGGTAAGAGTTACCCTCACCTCCACTGCCAACCCTTAAGTGAGATCTGGGAAGGGGTGAATCCCTTTCCAGTCACTCAGTGCATTGCTTACACCTGAGCTCCCCTAGGTTGGCCCTGCCTTCTCACCAGGTGCTCAATCACCTGCTTCAGGCTGTGATTAGTGTTTCCACTACATCTACTAAAAGAAAGCAAATTTGGACCACATAATAACATTATAAACTCACAAGAACATGGAAAGCATCTGACTTTATCACATACAAAGCACAGCAGAGGCATAGTTCATATTTTCTCATTCTTAAAAATACCTCAAAAATCAGAGGTAGTTCCATGAGCAAAGCTCTCAGAGTACACAGGGACAGGCCCACAAGAAGACTGGAGTACATATCTGCATGATCAGAAGACTCACCAGTCACTTTGCTAACTCAGCTGCATTAACAGTTGTAAAGTACTCACTGAAGTTCTAAGATACCTGACCTTGCCTGCTAAGAAAAAGACAGTACGTAAACCACTTACTGCTCTTCTCGAAGTTAGTGGTGAAGATCCAAGTCCAGGACTAGATAATTCATCATATATGCTTCTAACTGGTGGAGCACCACTTTTATCTTTATGTGTAGGGACTACAGGCTGTGGGGGAGAGCCACCTGAAGTTAAAAGAACAGAATGAAAGGAAGCCTTTACCCTGCTGCGAGTTTTTCTTCAGTCAAAGTTGACAACATATTTAGCTATGAAATACTTCATTTCATAAGCTTACAAAACAGCTGACCAAACTGTTCAACTTTGAACATCTTAGGCAAGAGTATCATGTATTTATCAGAAGAAGTCTCTTTACAGAACTATCACCTAAAACTTTGAGATCTCTGGATGCCAAACACATCCTACATGCACTTGTTCTTTTTAAGCAGCTTTGATTATATCTATGTTTTCCCATTCTAAAGCAGATTATTAACATAACTCAACTGTTCCAGACAATCTTCTCTAAGAGAGAAACGCAAAAGCAAAGCATTTAAGAATTTGAGGGCATACCTACATACTAAAGAGCCACATCAAAACGTGCACAGACATTGCACATGCCATCACATCCCCACTGAACAAACTTCTTCCCTTCCCATGAAATTTTACATTAAATATAAAGGTAAGCTCTTGAAAGCATGAACTAACATGAATTTGAACAAGATGATGTTAAGTTAGCTAATCTCCTTTATTATTATTCCCATATATTTATGTTTAACTGTGCGAATTCCAATGTAACAGACAGTTACACTGACTAAAAAGATGGTGACAAACCTTTGAACCGTTTGTGTGTTTTTACCCTCAAAGAAAGCAGCTTGACCTAACAGTTCTCACTTACAAAACATACGGCAGCTAAGCCTTTCACTTCCAACCCTCCTTGAGCTTCAGTACTCCTCTCTCCACAGTGTAACACATTCAAGAACTGTCATAACGCTTTACTTAAAGCTCTTCTCTAAAAGCTCACAGCCTAAGCTCCAGCGATATTCCCCTAACCACACATTTTGGTTATTATGTTACTCATCCCTCTTCTTCTATAACTGACGCTCTGTGGCTGTAATAATTCAGTGCGATAAAACTCACGCAATTACTTCACGTTTTATAGTTTCCCACAAGGTTTCTACTTAAGGGATGGGTACAAAGCGTTCATTCTCTGTAAGCCCACGCTGAAGAGCTCCGGCCAACCCCACCGAACACAGACGTGTTGTTACAACGTGCTTAGCACAGAACCCGAGCTAAGCAGCAGGACGAACCCAGCCGCGGCTCTGAGGACGACTTTCCGGCACCTGAGGGGCGCTGACCTGCGAGCAGAGGAGACCTCACGTCCACGGCGCCCACGGCAGGGCCGCTCAGGGCGCGCGGCTGCGGGGTGACGGGCGCGGGCAGGTCGCCCATCAGGAAGCCGGGCAGGAACTGAGCGCTGGCGCCCGGCTTGGGGGACGTGGGGGAGCCCAGCGTCATCGGCTCCGCTCCTGAGACAACGAAAAGAAGGAGCGGTGAGGAGGTGTTCCAGCCCGTTCTATAAAAGGAATGGAGGAACGAGCAGCGCCACGCCAATTCCGAGAGCGGTTTCCTTACGGCTGTTTCCTACGCGCAAGAAACCCCGCCGAGCCCGGGCTCCCTCCCTCTCCCGCCTTATCGCTGCCCAGCCGAATCCACAGCTGCGGCCCGCATGGCCGCCGTGCTCGCCGCGCCCGCGTCGGTGTCTGAGGGCGCCTCAAGGCCGAGCGGCGCCAAGCGCTGAGGTGCCTCGCGCCGCCCAAAGGCCCGGCACGCGCCCGATCGCCGCGCGCGCGACGCAACGGCGCCAAAAGCGGCACGGCTCACCTGCGGGAGGCGGATCCATGGCGAAGCCGGCCATGCGGGCGGCGGGAAGAGGCAGCGGTGGCTCCGCCGGGCGCTTTCAAACAGCACGGAACTTCCTCCCGCCGTCACTTCCGCCGCCGCCATCTTGTGACGTAGGGAGGCGCGGGGCTGTTCCCGCCCGCTCCGTGCAGGGGGCGGCGCCGCAGTGCTCGCCGCGCTGCTGGAGGCGGCTGTGAGGTGGCGGAGGGCTGCGCGTTGCGTCCCACAGCCACGTCCTAATGCAAGCGCAGTCGGTTTGCCCCGGAAATGCGGAAATAAAAAGCAGGGAATAGTAACCAGATTTCACATCTTTTTCATTTAAAACCACAGTTATTCACACAGAGCGTTTATTTTGTTGTGTTGTAACGTATCCAACCATTTAGAAGGGGCACAGAGGCCACAAAAATACTGCCATCGACAAAATCTTTGCCACAGATTCTGTGTTTTTATTTTCTAAACGTTTTATCTTACAGCACTTAACCTAGTCTGAGAGCTGTCAGCAGGGTGACAAGAAAAATAAACCGAGTACCTATCCTATGATGTGTGCTCTTTGTACTGCATGGAATGGAGTGAGGGGGCATCGGTGGAGGGGACTGAACCAAAACAGTGTGAGATAAGGAAAATGTAACAACCTACCTGCTCTGAAATGATCTAAAAAACCATCAACAGCAAAATCTTGATAGCTTGTTTTCTAGCACTTCGAAAACATCATGCTAGTGTACTTCCATTTGCTGCCTCATGGGAAACAGGAGGAAGAAGTGAGGCATTAAAGCATCCTACACCTTGTTACTTCCATCAATACGCTGCTTTATTTTTTTATATATATTTAGTGGCTGGCTAGCCCATGAAATCCGATAACATCCTCCTTAGTTTTACCATAGATTTAAGACTCAATAGCAGGGTACTTCCTTATATTATCACCTTATCTAGGTGTTAGAAGCTAGAACATGTAAAGATTTAGTCTAACATGAAAGTAAGCAGTGCAACTTTATAATTCCAGTTACCTTTTTACTTCCTCTCCGCCCTCTCTGGTGATTCAGTAAAAAAAATCATTCTGTTTCTTTCCTCGCTACAGTAAGAAAAACTTTATCTTTTTTCATTGCTCTAGGAAGAGCTTTCTCTTGGGTAAAACATCTGTGAAGTCAGTGGAGTACCATTTGGCCTCTACACCAGATGCTGAAAAATGAGAGTGTAAAGGTGAACATAAGAAAAAAAAAATACAGAGAAAGATTTTAAAGTGCACCTGTAAAGAAGACTGCAAAACGAGAGATTAAAGTACATCCAACATCTGGTACTGTATAGTCAGAACAGATTGTTTCACTTCTCCCTTTCCATCAGTCGTGATCATTTATGCTTCCATTTGCCTTTATATTCTGTTCTTGGTACTTGTGAAGCTGTTCCATGAAGCCAGGATTGGGACAAATAGAAGGCCTTGCACTTTTTACCAAGGAAAAGGCTGAAGCAAAACTCAGTCTTTCTGAATTCATCAGAAAACCGATGACTATTGCTGCTGCACGGGAGACTCCTGCATTACAGTGGACCAGGACCACGCCATCCTTCAAGAAACAAATGAAACATTAGTCAGGACATTCATTAAGTAAATAGAAACAAGAAACTATGGCTAAGAAACTTGATTTACAATACATTATGATTTAATAGAAGCTCCTTGTTTAGATCAAGGCAAATATATACATAAATAAATACTTCCAAACACCGATACATGAGCCCCAAACTAAATATTTTTCTAGCCAAGGCCACTTGATGATTAACAAATACTTCATACCTAACTAATGTTTCAGAACTAAAAACCATTCTCTGTTCCCTTCTCCAAGGCCTTGTAGTAGCTTCTTCATGTAAACACCAAATCATGGACAGCTGGGACACTAAGACTTGATCTACTTGGGCACTAACTTTAAAATTTATTTCATTTGAAATATGGAAAGGAAATTGACTATATGTTGTTACCAGGTTAAAAACAGAAAGGCAGCCGTAGTGACAATGCTAAGTCATGGCCTGAAGCAGTGATTGAGCACCTGGTGGGAAAGCAGGGCCAACCCAGGGGAACTCAGGTGCATGCAATGAATCTGATTGACCAGAAGGGCTGGAGCCAGGATCCACCCCTTCCCAGAGCTCATTTAAGGGTTGCAGTAGAGGTGAGAAGATCGTTTTGGAGATTCCCGTGTAGTTGAGGCCTTCTAAAGGTAAGCAGCTCTTTTTCTTTCTTTCTGTACTCCTGTCTGTTGTTATTAGGTTCATTCTCATTTACTGTAACTAGAGGATTTGCTACCCTGCTATTATTGTGGTATTTTCTGTCCCATTATAAATTTTCTGTCCCATTATAAAATTACAGCAGCAAACAGCTAGACATAGAGGCAGATATTAGAATGTTCTCTAATTTTAGTTGCATGTTTCTTTTATGCTCTGGAGTTGTTTATTTAAGTTCTGGTTAAGCAGAATTGCACGTAAGAACACAAAAATCAGAGAATTTATTGTATGACTTGCAATAAGTCTTCTTTTTGCTATTGTATGACTAGTACAATTGTTAGTGGTTGGTACAGCTGGTTCAACTAAGGCCCCTTACCTGGGGATTAGGTATCCATCTGTACTCAACTTTCCAGGAATTCACAAATGTTTCTCCTAGTGGTTAAATTCAAGCTTATCTTGAATTACATGCGAAATCAGTATTTTTCAGCCTGCTTGAACACTTCACACACAACCCTGAGACACCTGAATGAATCTTTGAAAAGATGTTGTAAGTTTCATTTACAAAATACTAGGCACAAAGACATCTAGACAACTCAGTGTGGCATAGGCCAGCTATGCAATGACCAAGTATTGTGATTGTGTCATGTTTGTACACCAGATTCTGGCCTGGCAAAGCTCAGTCCAGACTGTTTGCCAAATAATAGTGGTGGTGTTGTTTAAATTAGCATCTTCAGATTTTAAATAAAGATACTGAAACATGACAGAGCACCCTCAGGTGTTTGAGGCTACACAAATATATTCTTGACATAAGCAGTCTGTTCTGTCTGTCCTTAACATGCACAAATTATTAAATGGGCCTCTTACTTAGAATAAAGAAAAAATAACCAACTGGGCTGCAAGATCCTTATGACTTAAGTCACAGACCTGGAAGTTCCAATTATCTGATGTACTGATACACACAGAACATAAACTGATTCCTGCTCCAAAAATATTCCAACCTAAATTACAAGAGGAAGTATGAAATTGAGTTGTTCCATCCTCACTGATCACAATACTACCTCTTTTTTTCTCCAATGGAAGTGACATCCTTTTCCTACTGTCTGTTGGAAACATCTTCATTTACTTGAAAATGAGATTTTGTCGTCATTTTCATTTACTTTCTCACACCTACTCTACAGAGTAGACTTGAAAACATGGACAATAGTATTAAAACAAAAGTAACACTGAGCACATTTATTTGTCCTTGGTAAAATCCATTGTTAGTTTATACAGAGATGACTTTAGCACATAATGCTTCATTAATTTTGCATTAGGTATGAGCAATATGATTGACACTGGTAACCTAGCATGTAATGGAAAATCTGTCTGCCAATTTGCAGCCCAGAGAAAGAGGTGACTCTGATCAGTATCAGCATTTGTACCACAATGTCTACAGACTCAAGCAATTAACAAGTGTTAGAAAACTTGATCCTGTTACAAACAATAACTGTCAGTGACTCACAGTACAGTGCACACCTTTCTTGCTTCTCTAATGTGTTTCTCCTAAGTTAACCACATTCTGGTTACAATTTCTTAGATATCTAGACTTCTTCATCAGTGAATATCCCTTGCCCCCCCGCCTTAGGAAATGAAACAGCAGTATCTCTTTGTAATTACTTACACAAAATAACACTTAATGATACATCTCATCATAAGGTCTTTTAACATCGACTTGACAAAGCAAACAGTATTATGCAGAGAAAAATCTGAGGTGATTTTTAATTACTTATATGCTTCGTGAACTAATCTTGAGAACACCTATTCCATCAATTACTTGATCTTCAGTGCAACTTTTCCATTACAAAATCACTAGTATTGATTGGGGGGAATAGGGGGAATAAGCAGAACTCCCTAGTTTACAAAATAGTAACTGGAAAATAAATACCAGAGGCTGAAATCAATCTTGAGGAGTTATGAATGGCAAGTCTCATTTAGAAATGAAGTGGAAACAGTAACAAGAAACCTTGAAAAGGTCATTAAGTGATAATGTGTATCACATAGCTTGTAAATGATACATGAGAGAAAGGAAAGAACACTGTGTGACACAAAGCAAACTGGGGCAAGATTATCTTCTTTGATCTCAAACTGTGTAAATAATGAATATGGTAGAAATAGTCAAATAATGTATAACAATGTCTGGTTGTCAGGTCATAGTGTCAAAGCTACAATTGATATAAATTAAACAGTAAGGCCAAGTTTAACAAATAGGAGTCATCCCTCTTGGTTTTATATGTAGAGCAGCTAAGCAACCCCAAATGCAGGTCAGTCACCCTACTCCCTACATGATGACTTCTTCAGGATTTTATCAGCAGTTAAAATCACTGGTTGGCTTCAAGCTACTAACCCATTCTCTGATAGTCTTGGTACATAACTTATGTGGATTCATGGCTTTTGACAGAGGCAGCTGTTTAGATTTAAGATAAGGTAATAAATAACCATATTGTATAGTTATATTGTATAGATATACTGTACCTGTATCTTGGCTTTCTCAATAAACTCAAAACATTCTGGGAAATAGGAGATGATATCAGTTTCTGGGAGGTCCAATATAGATATGGTCTTGTATATAAAGTCATTAAGGAAGGCATTTTGGACTCCATAGGCTACATTTAGAATATGTGTAACCTAAATTAAAAAAAAAAAAAATAGAATTCTGAAGACAGCAAGCAAAATAAGCAGTAACAAAGGTAAATTATTCTTTAGACATTAACAGATTGTAACTTCCACAACCACAGCGTTCAGCTGTATGTGCTATCTATGGTGTGCTTTTCTCCAAGTTTATTCAAGATCAGGCTGAATGAGGCTCAAAGCAGCCTAATCAAGCTGTGGGTGTTCATTGCGGAGGAGTTGGACTGGATGGCCTTTAGGGATCCCTTCCAACTCAAATCATTCTATGATTCTATCATACCTTGACAGGTGATGGTTAACACCTCAATGTGAGTATGATAGTGAGGAAGACCTACTCTCTGGGAGGTCACAGGCACGAGACAATCTGGTCAATGAAGTTTAAAATTCCTGCTACAAAGTGCTTGAAGAGCTCCATTTTTCCCTCTGAGGATGAATATGAGGAAATGAAAAGATCCGTGCTTACCCAAACACGTGGACTGAAGGAAGGACTTTCAGCAGAAAAGGGAATTGCCAGCACACAGGTGGAAAATGAAAAGCGGTGGGAGAGCACAGATCATCCAGTAACTCCCTGTATTTAAAGCCTGCCCTCGCCTGTCAGCCTCGCATTTGTGCTGCTCAGCTACCTCACTGCTTACTGGAGCGTGAGGATCCCTGAGTAAACTGTACCTGTGCTTGGCAGGAGAGACCAAGCCTGCCCTCCTGCCACCTCCACTCTGCTCAAGCCATGGATTGTTTTCATTCCCGGGGAGCTGATGTTTAGATAGCAACAGCCAGCAGAGCGGTACGCTGCACGGCGTCCTAAAGGCCTCGTTGTCCCCTCACTCGATGGAGGAGGGCGGAAGCACCAGAGCTGAGGACGGCCTTGGAGCTGCTGCCTTCCGTCCCTCGGCCCCGCAGACACGCGTCTGGCTCAGCTCAGCGCCCGACAGCTGCGCTGAGGGCAGCGCAGGGATCCGCTGTGTGAAACAGCGACACGTCCCGGCTCCTCGCCGAGCCCTCGGACGCGCAGCTGCGATGCACTTCCCCCAGCGCCGCTCAAAAACATTCTAGTCTTGAAGAACGAAACCCACGCCAGGTCAGCATGCCAGACGCGCTGCGGCGTTACCTTATGCTTCCTGAGGGTCTCCAGATCGTGAGCGGCGTCCTGCGACCCTGAGGAGAGAAGCGACCCGTTGCACGGCGCGCCCCGCGGCGCCCAGCGGCCCCGCCGCCCGCCTCGCTCACTCACCCAGCAGCAGCCAGGGCCGCGCGGCGCCGACCTGCAGGTCGCAGCTCAGGTCCCGCACGAAGCCGCCGCCGGGCACCGCCTCCGCCTCTTCCTCCACCTGCAGGCAGGCGCCCCGCCACGTCTCGATGACTCTCCGGCCCGTCAGCGTCGTCACCCGCGTGCGCTGCTTCCGCAGGTTGGCCCTAGAGAAACTCCTGATCTCCTGGGCGAGGGAGTGCATGGCACGGCCGCTCGGCTGCCCGCTGCCGCCTGGCCCCGCGCACGGGGCGGCCCCGCCGGCTGCCGGCCCGCTGAGGGCGGCGCTTGGGCGCGCAGCCGCGGGGCGGGCGGAGGAAGGGGGTGCGCGCCCTGCCGCGCTCGGGGAGGCGGGCGCCGCGGAAGGCGCTGCTTTCCTTGGCGACGTCCTCCTCGTCGGTTCGCGGGTAAAGGCTCGTTGACTTTGATTACTACTTGCCCTCTGGTGTTAAAATATCCCTAAATAGCCGTGTGATGGCTCTGAAACGATCCTTCCCCAGAACCAGCTACAGAATGAAGCCGGGCGTTGTAGCTCCGCGTAAGGAAGCCGACAAATGCAGTTCAAGAAGCAGAGGATAGCGCTGTGAGTTATTCCGGGGTACGCCAGAGGCGATTTTCTCACAGGAATTCGGTTACAAGATGAGGTTCATCTGAGAAAGGCCGGATGCTGCTGTGTTTGGGAAAGCAAGAGTGAAAACCAGGAGCTGAAGCCAAGGAGAAGGGTCAGGGCAGGGACAGGAGCACAGAGCAGAGGTCAGGTAACGGAGGTGCCAACAGAAGGCTGAATGTAACTTACAGCAATCCTTTTCTGCAGCCAAAAGTACTTACTTTCTAAACACAAGTGTGAGATTTGGTGATATCCTGCATGACAGACATGTATTTAATAGCCTCCTTGACAGTGAGCTGTGGCCTACAGTGGTTACCTTAAAATAATAATGACTTAAGTTTTATTTTTTTTTTCCAAGGTAGAAATTTCAATGAAATAAGTCAGCTGAAAGGGGGGTAAGTGAGGAATCACGTGCTGTTTCACTGCATACGATTTTAAGGTGCGTTGGTTTGCTACAGATGTCCTTGAGAAACACTGAAAGACCAAGAGCTGTAGAGTATCCTGCAAGAGTGCAGAGAGCCTCTTATATCAGGCAGCTCGGCGAGGTCTGAGCAAAATCTGCTTGCAGTTCAGACTCAGAAGCCTGCCTCTGGAGGAGCAGGGCTCTAGGATTTGCCTCATAATTGACTTCTGCACTGCACAAGTACAGGGAGTGTTGTGCGAGTCTGCAAGACTAAGCTCTGACAGATATGTAAGGTTCCTACGGCTAAAAGGTAATAATACAGTTAATACAATTATATATTGTTCCTTGACACCTGAGGAAGACTCTGCAATACACGCGAACACGGAAAAGAAGCTGGTTTCAGAAGAGCTGATCCAACTCTGCCAGGAATGTTTGTCATTGTCATAACTACCCTAACCACCAGGGGTCACTGCTGGACACGAAATCCGTACTGTTATCTGTGAAATGCGAGTATTCTACAGATATTCACTGAGGAATTTATATGATATTAATTATTGTGTCAATGTGCTAAGCACACTGAACGCTAACAATCCTAGATATTAACACTTTTTTTTGTCATGCAGGCATTTATATGTTGCTGTCTAGTTCATACTGTATATTACATGATAGAAGAAAAGATTGTGAGATTGGAGTTTTAAACTGGGATCTCATCTCACAGGTGAACACTTTCTTGCAATGTTTCTCAAAGATAGAAAACTTCTCTAAAGATATGGCAGGAATTGGATGCTGTCTCCCTGTTGTTACGTGAGTGTATTTAGGGTATTGCTGAATCTTCAATTCTTGAATAAGCTCTCTACCAGTGCATTTGCAGTAGAGCTTTAAGCTGTCTTTAAGATCATAGTTCTTCTGTTTTCTGTCAAGAAATTTAACAGAACCTGTTCTAATATTTGTCAGATAGAAAACACGAATGCTAATTGTTACAGAAAACATATTGTCACATGGGCTTTCTGAATATGTACAAGATTATCTCTCTGCTGTATTTATTTCCTTCTGTTCATTCTGGCCTAGATACTGCTCTTACTCATCTATGCAAAAGAGCCAGATTCTATCAGAATCTGCTGGTTTAGTCAGACATTCCAGATAGCTGACTTTGAGAAACCAACCTTGTACTCCAAAGAATGTGCGTGGCAGAGGGTTGAACTTGATTGCAAAATGCACCAAAAATTGATGATAGATTGCTTATATCAATAATTCAACTGAAGCAGAGAATGAAACACCAGATAGTATCTATTAATGTTACATTTCCAACTGAAATAACTAGATGATTTTGAGGACTGCAGTAAGAGAAATGATACAAAAATCAATATATTGTTAGATAATATCTAACTAACAATACAAACCTAGTGTGGAAGTTCATTAGCTGAAAATAGTGAGAAGCTGAAAATAACTGTGTATTGGTTGGTCACAGGATGACTGTGAATCATGAATGTACTGTGATGATGAGAAAGGCAAGCATGACCATGGAATGCATCAGGAAGTAACCAGAGTCAAGAGGGAGAAATAATAATGCTGTTTTATGAGGTTCTTGTAAGCCTTTTCTGGAATGCATTGTGCTATTTGGAGATGATCATATTCAAGAAATTTGAAACAAGTGCAAGGAGCAGCTTAGATTTTAAATCATACCACATGTGTTCATCACTTGACAAAGCACTTGGTGGTATGTGGTGTCTTTGGGACAGGCAGGTCATGTCAGTATGGACACATGGCACAGCACAACCCTCTGGCATAACAGATATTTCCCTACCATTTGTGCTGCTGCATACATCAGCACTTCCAGCAATGACTTCCCTGCCTCGTACATTCCGGAATGGCATGCTTCACACAGTGTGGATGCCACAGCCTGGTGCAGAGTCTGTTTCAGCTTTGCAAAGTTGTCAAAACACAATACCTACTCCTGTTGCCCTTCCTATTGCTGTAGAGATAGGAGTTTCAAGGAACAAGGTCAGAATCATTCACAGCCTAAGCAGTAGGAGAAGATGGCACATAGCAGGATGCCTAGAGCATGACAGTCTAGAGGAACAAAATGCCATATTTCTCTTCAGAGGCATTTGTTTTGTACAAATTCGTGTCCTGTGCTATTTCTCTCATGTAGAGAAGTTTTGACTGAGACAGCTACTCATTTGTTCTTATCCATTTGTTTTTGTCCTTAAGACTTGTTATGAATAGAAATGGATCTACATCTGGTAGGAATGAAAAGAATTTTCTAGAAGAGAACTAGAGTCCCAGCAAAGTGTGAGTGATATCACTCAAGTACGAACTATCCTCCAGCCCAGCTGTGTACTTTTGTCTTGCATCATGAAGGAAGGAGCAGATACTCCCTACTTTGTCTTGGTATCCAGTAACATACCTGGGAACTCTGAGAATTGTAAAATGCATGAAATAAAAATTGTCCCTTTTTGTGCATGGAGATCACATCACTGAGGTGAGACGTACAGGCCTAAGAAACTAAGCTTGTTAATTATTACAGGGTTTGTTTTTTTTTTCCTAGGATCACAGGAAGGAAGGGGAATGGTGGAGTGGATTGATAAGTTGGTCATCTTACTCTGACAACACACATGAAAGACCATTTCATGCTGCAAAAGACTGCAAGCAATTGGAGACCCTTCTTCCTAATAATCTTGGGTACAGCTATTGACCTACTCCAAATACTATTTTCTATCCCTGGAATGAAGGTAGGCAGCTTCACTTTATGTTATTTATTCAAACAGTTTGCTGGTTCTTGCCAGCCTGAACCAGTGTTGTTCCCCTTGGGATGTCTCCACATAGTGCTGCAGGGAAATTTTCCCCAGAAGCAAAGCCAAGCACATAATCAAAGTCAGGGCTCTAGAAACGCTTATCAGGGCATTCCTTCCTGTTCTCACCACACTTTGTGAGCAATCCACACACATGAGCAGGCTGATTCACTGATCTAAAGATGTGTATTTTTATAATGTGTCAGAAATAGTGTTGAATAATGAGTGCTGAGGAGTGGGGCAGACTGCAAAACTGAAGTGTTTAAGGCATACTGAGTACTTCTTGAGACCTGGTGTGAGGAAGATCTGGCACAACTCCTGTCTATGTATACTTAAAACAAGTAGAATCTGCTTTCCACTCCCACTTATACTCAAGTTTCTCTTTTGCAGAAGCTCTTCATCTTGCTTCATTGCAGTCTTGTATGAGCTAGGATAAGTGTATAAAGATCATGTTTTCATAAATCTTGGTGTAAAACAGTTTGTGTCAGTGGATATGCAAAGTTAATCAGGGAAAGAGAAGATTAGAAAAACAGTACTTTATCAAAGGTGTCCATATACAAAATGCCTTCCATTTGTGCTAGTTGCTCTGCAAATGAGTGATTGTTAATTATGCAGCAAGCACAGACTGCCAATCACTAGGGCAGTCAGTCTCCACCAGCTGATATCCAGAGGTTCCTTCCCATCAGCCATTCTGTGCATTTGTGTGAATCTGTATTTAAGAATACCTTCACTAAAGAGAAAGAGACTTAAGAGAAGTGAACTTTGTAGTATGGCCTGAAAAGAATGTGTAGGGTTCAAGACCATCACAGAGAGAAGAGCTTTTCAAGAGAAATAAAGCTAACTTAAGTGAACTTCTGTAATGTTTTCAATTCCTTTGAAAGCCAAAGCACAATCTTCTTTTGTTTGTTTCTCAGTAAAAAAAAAAAAAAACAGAAACCAAAAAGTAAAAAAGGTAAAAATGTTTTTCAACGGCTGAACATCAGACCACTCAGAATTTCTTGTTTTACCAGAATGCTCAAAAGAGCAACTTCCATTCTATGCTTCAGCTTCTCACAGCCTACTTCTGCATCTTTCTCCTTGCCTTGTTTCTGTATAGTTTTATTTCAGTTAGCATTAAAAGACATGTGAGTTTCTGTATATTTTAAGTCCCCAAAGGTTTCTCTGGCAGCAAAGGCCAAGCCTACAGCCTGGAAAGTCAAATCAGAGTTAATTTCACAATAATTGTTGCATCTTATATGTAGGTTTTGTTTCTGTGTAGTTTGAAAGGCATAAGAAAATATTAATATTAGGATTTATTGGCTGCATTACAGGCTTTTCTTGCTTCAGAGTTCAAATGCAGTAGGAGAATTATCTTGTAGCCAGTCAGCCATGGAAGTAGAACCTGTTCTTACTGTTTACCTTTAAGAGATGTCTTCCATAAGTAGAGGGTTAAGATCCAGGGTAACAGGTGTGAGTGTAGCATCTCACTTCCTACTAAATTGAAGTTGGAGAATATGGCTTCTCAGCATGTCCTTTTCTTGCCTTAACATACTGCTAATATTGCATCGTGCTTGTATGATCATGTGTGGGAGGAAGTTCCCTGCAGGCGGAGAAGGAAAATGAAATTATCTGTACCCTATCTCATTCCACATCTATAGCTTGATCCAGCCAGAGCCACTAACGAGGAGAGATCTGGTTTTTCTTTCCCTCTCAAGATAGAAATATGTTCAAGCAGGAGTGGGCTTAAATTATTCCTTTATCTTCCTGTGCACGAGACACTGTTAAGCTTTTGCTATAAATTTGTGTGGGTGCAGAAAGCAATGGACACATCCATGGAAGAGTGGATCAGCACCTATATGACATGTAAGATGGTGTCTCTGTCTCACAAGTTGTAGGGAATCTGGGAGTGTATTTTGCAGAAGCACAGATACCCGTTTTGTGCTCACGCTCTCCCTGTGGGCTCCATTCTTTGAGCCATGGGTTAGATATAGGGTATTGAACTATATGGATTTTTGGTCTGAGCAAGTCCGTATGTTCTAATTTTCTTTCTTAAAATCACTTGATATTTTAATTCCATAAGACTCCTGACCCCAGAGATTATATCTGTGAATTATAGAGACTGTAAATTGCAGATGATGAAGTAAAGCCCTTCTAGTCAATAGTATTGATGGGATAAAAATTTCCATCATAACTAAGTTTATAAGGTGGTATTGCTTGTGTAAGCAAAGAAGTAATACTGCTGGGATTTATTGTCATTATGGGAACTGAGATAGACATACCTATCAATATTGTGGGGACAGTTGAAAGTTTCTCAAAACCAAGGCTTCAAAAATGTGAAGAGAAGTGATAAAAGTTAAAGGAAAGACACTTCTAGAAAAAGAGATGACACCTTGGAATACACTCGTGTACTCACAGCCTGAAAAAACAAATTATTTTTGCTATATTGCACTGTCAAAGAATGATCCAGACTGACCTAAATGATCTCTTCCAGCGCATTCAATATTTTTTTTTCATTCTTCAATAAGCAGACAGGTTGGAAGGTCAGGATTTTCTTCTTTTTGTTGTTGTTTTTTTTTTAAAACTTGCCTACGCTTTCAGTATTTCAGTAAAAAAAAAAATAAATGAAAGCACAGGATCATTTTGTTACTCTACACTCCATCTTATTTAATCATGATTTTAAGTAACTTTAACTTCCATTCTGTTTTCTTAGGGGAAAAAAATAAATATTAATAAAACTATTATGTCTAAAAATTCAAGGTGAGATAGGAATATTTTCTGATTTACTTTAGAAAAAGTCTAATTCATTTAGTCCTAGACTAATGGCAGAAAATTAAAAATTTTGGAAATCAATATGGATAAATTTGAACTAATTTAAGACTTTGGCAAAATCTTAATTAGGAAGATTTCTTACCCTTGATGCTGTCTTGTCAAGACAAGTCACAACAGTTTTTCCTTTTCTTCCTGGGTTCCCCCCGCATCTTTTATCCACATTTTCAAAATCACCAAAAGATTTACTTGAATGTGAAAGAAATCTGTCAAATTTGAATGATGAGAAAACATCCCACCCAAAAGGCTGTTTCATATTTTGAGCTCCACCACTCACTCTTTTGTTAGAAATATTTAGAGTTCTTGGTTTTACCTTAATTTCAAAACTTCACAGTGTTCTGTGAGATTGAATAGCTGTCCTCTATTTAACCCTAAACATTGAACTTCATTAGCTAGTTCTCCACACATATGGATTCACACTACATACTAGAGTCTGTCATGTCTATCACAGTATTGTTTTCACTTCAGTTTTAGGTTGTGTATTTCTGTGTTGTGTGAAACAAGTGTTATGTTTTCTATACCCTAAGTGATTCATATTTTTGTCAAATGCAGAAAACATTACAGATGGAGATGTAGAGGATAGCTGTCACAGGTTTTACTTTTTTTTTCCCCCAGTTTGACATAGAACGCGGATGTGACAATTTGGGTGATGCTGGTGTCATCTTCCACTAGCTTGCTTTTCTCCACACACTTCTCTTTTCTATAAAAAAAGCTACTATTGGATTGCTCTGTCATATGTAAACCTGAGACTTTTAAAGAGAACAGTGCAGCTCGATTTTTACTACAGTTGGTATTCAAGGTCCCCAGTGGTTGGTAAACATGATTCCTAGCAACAGTAGGGGATAACACTTCCTTTTCAGACTGTTCCTTGACTAAAATTTTCCTCTCCTAAATCTAAGGAAAGTTTATTGCAGAGAACTTCTTCCTTGATCTTTAGATAGACTATGAAACCTACTGTATTTAAAGGTGTATGTGCTACTCCCCAGCATTCCCGTGGGGAAAGTGGGGAGACAAAGAGGCCTCTAACAGGTTATTTGTCTAGAACAGAAGCGTAACAAAGCCTAAAGAAAGTAGGTCAGAGCATGAGGTTCTATGTGCTTCTCAGAGAAGGCTCCATCGATAGACCAAAATGCAGGAAAATGTTTGTGGGGCCAGTGGGAGCCCCACAACTGTTGTGTGCAGGGTGACCTTGGCAGGTTCTCTTTGATTAGCTGGCATCTGTATTCCAGCAACAGCTTGCTGCTTTCTGACTTCATCCCAAGTTCAAACAGGGTGGAAATTGTTCTTTGCAAACTGATTACTTTTGACTTACTTCAGTCACTGGCCAGTTACTTCAGTCTAACTCATCTTTATAGTAAACGTTAAGCATTGTCTCTACTTGGTAACTGCATGGATATCTCAGAGATTGCTTTTGGCTTCTCTTGACTTTGCAGTCTGTAAGGAAACTGCAAGTAAAATATGCTTTCTGCTATGTGGACTCCTAATCCAGTGCCCTTTCTGGCTCCAGTATTTACCAGGGTGTATTCAAAAGTGGTGATGTAACCTCTGCCTAGAAACCTAACTTGAGGTCTACGCCCATATCAGATCAGGACCTTAATTTGGTTGGGTGACTCATCCTGACAGGCTTCCTAAGCTTTGTTTAACATTCAGAAAAAAAACTCTTTAATCCATTTGTTCACTGAGTTCTGCAAGAACCAAATGTAACCCAAACTCTGTACTATTAGGCCTAAGGCTGACATTTTGAACCCACATTTTGTCCAAAAGTAACAGTGCTTCATGCTGAATTGAGCCAAATCCTACTGTGTCAAACCTTCCTGACTTCCTTCTCTCTAGCCATACTGATAGCTCACACATAACCAGTTTTCTTCCTGCTGCCACAGACTTCTATGGCTTCCAGACTGACAGTTGATTTGCTATTAATTAGTGGTAAATCATGGACCTGAGATATACTGAAAAAGTCAGCTCTCACATGCTCCTAACATCCTGCGTCTCTATTGATTGAGGCTCATTGGCATAGTGTAGGACTAGGTGTTCTGGAGCAGGCTCGTTAGACTTGTCCTTCCAGTATGAGCAGAAGTGCCTGTGCATTCTCAAACCAGCAGGTTTCTGCAGTGCATTAGAGAACAGCTGCTATAGTATTCTGCACCACTTTCAAACCAGTTCTGCACATCTCTTTCATGTTCTCCTTAGAGTTCAAAGGCCTAGGATCTCTGTGCAACTGGCTGAACATCATATACAGCCTCAGCAATTAAACTTACTGAGACGTGCAAAAAACTAAGCAAGGAGCAGGCACACATACAAGCTCAGATGTTAATGACAGAATAAATTAAAAAGGGATATAGAAAACTGCAGACATGGTAACTTCCTGAGAATTTAAAGAATGAAAAAGTGTGAGATTCATCAGAGAAATTGTAGATTGAAATATGAGTCATTTTGGTTTAGTGAGCAAGATAGGCCTTTTGAATCTGTCCCCTCAGAACAAAAGCCTGTCTGATAAAGACAACTGCGTTTGTTTAATGCTATTTATTATTTTTATAGGTGATTTAAACAATGGCATAGACTTTGTATGGTGAAATTTGCAGCATGTGTGCCTTTAGATGCAAGATCAACATTAACTTAAGTATTACTGACAAACAAATACTCTGACATTAACTAATTGGGATTATGGTGGTGATGATTTAAAAACTCTAGTTGGTTCAGAGAACAGTTTGGCTTTGTTTTGATTTCTGTTTGAGAAGATGTTGAATGAAAGGAGTCTGTGCAAGAATTGCTTCTTGGACTCTGCCGGCCAATTGGCAGAAGCCAGGCAGTGGATCATGCTAAATCGCTTGTCATCAGCTCCTGATGGCCACTATTTCACTGCAGTCATGAGTTTTGAAATAGTCACCAGGTCAGAAGTTAAACCAAGAATAAAATGGACAGGCAAGGAAATATAGAGAGGGAAGTCTAAGTTAGAAAGGTAGCAAGGACCTAGGTGATAGTGCACTCTGCTCTGCAGTAGCGAATTGATCATTGCATATTTCCAAGTAACACTGCTGCAAAAGTGTACATAGATACCATATACCTGCTCTGTGAAACACCAGATGTAGTTGGTGCACATGGAGCTGCTTGATGTTGTGATTCTCTTTCTCAAGTTCTCAAATTTTCATTACTCAAAAGCCCCTTGGTGAGTTGTACTGTTAAACCCTGAAGTGAACAGAAAGTTGGCTTTAAAAGGTTCAGAGCTGAGCACAAACTGAATCTAAAATTTTTGGAATTTATCCGAAGCTTGTACTTCTGCAATAAGTATAGTAAGACATTTGAATGTGAATCATCAAAAATAAGTTGAGCAAACAGTTGTGTTTTAAAGATAATAGTTAGCCATATTTTTCTTTTCCCTTCAGTTTTGCCACAACTGTAAGACCTATGCTGTTGCTGATGAAGATTTTGTTACCGCTTTGTTGGTGTGCTTGCTGCTAAACTGGTGAGCCCAAGTTGTACAACAGACATATTTTTGTAATCCAACCTGCAATAGAACTTCCTGCTGAAAACCTACACATACAAAGCCAGCAGCTTCTGCATAAGGCTCCTGCAAAACTAGTATGACATGAGCTTTGCTGTACAGCCATTAGAAGTGATAAATTCTGCTGACAGCTTAAATAAATACAGCCACTTTAATTAAGTTTAATCTTAGTAACATCTGCTTTCTGTACCTGTGATTTCTCTGTTCACATAGAGAGAAGGTTTTGGAGTTGCTTTTCTTTTTAAAGCTGTTTCTACAAAACACAACTTTTCAGCTATATCCTACCTTCCCTAGCAGATGTGCACATTTTTCCTCTCTAATAAGCAGTGAAGTGTTTAGAAGCAAGAGGAAAAAAGCATGCTTTGTAGCTCCAAACTCAAAACTGGTCCTGACACTCAGATCAGCAAGATGCTGCCAATTACATGATCAGCAGCATCTTGTGTCTGTGTGGGCAGAAACACAGTCTGTCATGGAGTTTTGAACTTGCCTTTCACATCTTGGTCTAGCAGGGCTGAGATGCACCTCCTCCTAATCAGCACCTTGCTGAAAAAACCTTGTTCTGCCAAGGCTTGTAAGGGACACTCTGGTCTATTTTGTCAGGCTTCATTAAGAGTTTATTTTTCATTTTAATGTATCTGCCTGAATATTAATAGACCAACTAACCATGCTAAGGTGATAATTCAGATAATATCCTGTTTAGTATTAGGTCTGTACAGCTGCAAGGTAGTAAAAATTTCTTGTATCAGAGATTCTTGCTTACTGATACTGCTCCCTTCCCTCTTGCAGTATTTAGTCTTTTTTCAAGAAAAGCAGCTAATTTGGCACCATTTGCATTAAAAATTATAGCAAGCAGAGGTGCTCCCTAAAATAAGATTTTGTGAATAGCCTCATTAATAGTGTAGGAGTTTAAAACAGGATGCTCTGCCAGTACTATAAAAGAGAACAAGTCAGAAATCTTTTCTTTCCACACTTCAGCCTGTTGTTATCTGCACGGTGTGGAGAGCAATTGTGATTGCTTTCACCTGAGAACTGTTAGTAGTCACAGAGAGCCTGAAAGCTCTCCAGAGAACACTATCAGCACAAACCTTACCAAAATCAAGCAACCTGATCTCCATTGTGATCCCCAGCTTTCCTACTTATTTCAGGGAGAGAAATTTGGGATGTTAGCACACAGGTGATTGCATATGATACCCACAACTTCAAAATGAACTGTCACAATGTTAAGGCCATTCCACTTACTTGGCAATATAGATGGTTGGCTGTTACTGTTTGAAAGTTCCTGAAGACTGAATGTGGCTGAGAAGTAATTCAGTGCTGGATTAAAAATTGGCTGCTACTTGTTTCAGCTGTAAATGAGGAGGAAAAAAAAAGTGTATAAGCAGGAGGGGGACTTTTTACATAGTCTGATGTGACAGGGGGAATGCCTTTAAACTAAAAGAGGAGAAATTTAGGTTAAATGTTAAGAAGAAATTCTTTACTCAGAGGGCAGTGAGGCGGCCCTGGCACTGCCCCACAGAAGCTGTGAGTGCCCCATCCCTGGAGGTGCTCAAGGCCAGGTTGGATGGGGAAGCCTGAGCTGGTGGGGGCAAACCAGCCCATGGCAGGGGGTTGGAATTGGATGGGCTTTAAGGTCCCTTTAAATCATTCTATGATTCAGCAATAGCATTGTTCTTTTTTTCTTAAAGTGTAACTACATGGGAAACATCTTTACTGTAATCAGAAACATTAATATTAATTTTTAAATAAATTCGGAATAGGAAGAACAATCTTTATTTAAAAATACTCCTATAGATATTTGATTAAACACTTGGAAATTAAATAGCGTTTTGTGCTTGATTAAATTAAAGACTGATTTGAATATTTCTGATGTTTTCACAGATAGCATTGTTGCTAGGAATTCCAGGCTCCTGGACAGAATGCCTAGAGAAAATTATTTGATAAAGGACAACAAATTGAGTCAACAGCAGCTGTAAGATTGGAACTCCAAGTTCTCGCTTCCCGGTTTTGTTCTGAATCATGAATTATCTTGTAGGAGCTAAAAGGAAGGAGGTCAGTAACAATTTAATTACGTTTAGGCTTCTCATATTCAATTCTATGCTTTCTAAAATCTATTAGTTGAAAACTGCTGAAAGACAGAAATAATCTGCTTTATGAAAGTAGAAATACAAACTGAAAATTAAATAGAAGTATTAATATGCACCAAAAGGAACAGATGGTGAGGCTGTTATTTAAAAAATGAGATTAGAAGGTTCATTCTTAAGCCTCTCCCATGAACTAGATGAGGGAGCCCCTCATAGCAGCTGGCTGTGGGAGCAGGCAGCAGCGGGTGGCACTGAGCTCTCACTCGGGCCTTTATGCAGCAGTCACTGTGAAATTCATCACGTTATGGCAGTGTGTAGTTCAGACCTTGTTCTATGAGCCACAAGAAGAGTCAAGTTTGACACGTTTCATTCTAGCACCTATTTGTTCTCAGCTCACACAGTGCCGGAAAAGACCTCCAAGATCATCCTGTCCAACCATCTGCCCTCCCCCAGCATTGTTAACTAAACGATGTTCCTAAGTGCCACACCTCATGGTTTAGGGTGGGGATGCACTGGCAGTCAGACTAAGTTATCTTGGAGGTCTTTTTCAACCTCAGTGAGCCTATGATTCCACGAGTCTCCCTCATGAGCACTGGAAAATATCTGTAAATATGCCCTGCAGTGCTTTTCCAAGCATCAGTGCTGGGTTTTAGATGATGATTGGCAAAAAGAATCATTAGGAACTTCTAGGAAGCACACTCGCGGTTGTCTTTAAGCGTGACTTAGAACTGCAACTCCAATACAGCCTAGCGACTCGGGAAACCAAGAAACCAATCAGAAAAAGAAAAACGTTCACCATTTTGCTTTGACCCTGACGTTAGGAAAAGCGCGTTTCTCGGCCCTACGGCCGCGACGACGACAGCGCCCGCAGCGCCGGAGAACCCCGCGCCGGCTCCTCCGACGGGCCGCAAGGGGCGGCCGTGAGCCGCGCCACGTGACGCCGCGGGCAGCGCCGGGCCGTGGCCACGCCCCGCGGAGGCAGCGAGCGAGAGCGGCGGCGGCGGCTGGGAGGCAGCGCCGGGCCGGCGGCCGCGCCACGGCGGGGCTGCGAGCGACGGCGGCGGGGTCCGGGCCGGGGGCGCGGCGCGGGGCAGGATGTCGCGGTCCGTGCTTCAGCCGAGCCAGCAGAAGCTGGCGGAGAAGCTGACCATCCTAAACGACCGGGGCGTCGGCATGCTCACCCGGCTCTACAACATCAAGAAGGTGCGGGGGCCCCGGCGGGGAGGCGGGGAGAGGGACGGCCGCGACCCCCCCTCCCTTCACCCCCCTTTCCCCCGTCCCGCCGCCCCTCCGGGCCCCGGCCGCCCGGCGCTCCTCCCGCCGCCCCCCTCCGCGCCGCGGCCTAGCCGCGGGGCCCGAGGGGCAGGGCAGGGCGGCGAGGGGAGGAGAGGACGGGACGGGAGGGGCGGGAGGCCCCCGGGCGCTCCCGCGGGGCTGCGGGGGCCGGCGGTACCTGGCGGCGGGCGGGCCCGGAGCGCGCAGGCCGCAGCCCCCCGCCGCGGGGCCTAGGCCACGGGCCGCTCCCCGTGAGTCAGGCGGCGGCCCGGCTTCCCCGCGCCGCTGCGGCCGGCGGCGCTTCGGGGGAAAGCGGTGAGCTGGGCTCCCGCGGGTCGGCGTCGCTTGGCGGCTCCGGGCGGGAGCCGGAGCCGGGAGCTGCCGCGGGTGCTGCGGCCCCTCGCCGCCTTCCCGAGACGCGGCCCGGCTGCCCGTCCTGCGGCGGAAATCCCTGCCTTGTGCCGGTGCTCCGGCTGCTCGCCCGGCCTTCCTGGTTCGATTTTCCCAGTGCGGATGCGTGATCTGGAGGAACGCGTTTGTGTAATCCGGTTCCAGCAGGGAATTTCAGACGTGAACGTAGTTTATGGGAGAGTTTTTCGTTTTTCAGAGAAAACCTTGCTTCTGTGCTCGAGCAGCGAGCGCGCCTTTGCAGGCTGAGTGCATTAGAAGGCCTGTGCCGTTCCCCGTGCTGTGTGCTGCAGTGGTGTTTGGGGGCTGCAAAGAATTCTGAGGTCCGGTGAAGTTCTGAGGAGCTGGTCGTCATCTGTCTGTGAGTTAGTTGTTGTAGCCCTGAACCCCCCTTTCAGGTGGGAGTCATCCTGTCCGGTGCTCTGTCCAGCAGCTGTGCTCTGGGAGCAGCGTGAGCTGCTGGCAATCCCATGCACAGGGTTGGTCTTAATTGGCTGTTATTTCCAGGGAAAGAAAGTGACTGTAGTATTCGAAATCAGTGTTAATCCCAACCAACACCAGTACTTGATGTGCAGTTGTTAAGTGTTTCACTGACATCAATTAATCTAACCAAATAATTGCCAGTTTACATCTTCAGGAAGTAGAAATGGAGTTCCTTTTAACTTGCAGTTTTATATGTCAGAAACTTGCTGCTACTTATTAGTGGCAGTAGTAATAAGTATACTTGTAATGCAAAGCAGAATTTCCCTATTTATGGGGAAAAGCACCCAAATGTTGAAGTCATTTGTGTGTGTGCTTTGTCGTGCTTAGAGAGACTTGTCAGATGAAAACTGGTCCAGTAGGATTGTGCCTGAGCGAGGTTCTTGCCAGCAGAGCCGTGCTGTGTAGGAAGGAGGCAGGAAAAGAGGCAGGTGAAGCATCTCTTGGCATTAAGCTGTGCCTTAATGAGTGTAAGTGCAGGTTGTGCTGTGATTACTGGTTTGGAGATGCTCAGGGTAAGCAGCATGGTGCCTTTGGATGTGTTTCCGTCAGCGCATTTGGTGGAGGGAGTCCTGGGTGGGTTGGTCCATATGGCGTTGCTGTTGGTGCAGTGATGCGTGTGGATGGGCTCTCAGTGTGGGAGCGGAAGCACTGGAGGTGACAGCAGGTTTTCCTGCAAACACCGTGAACGGACTCAAAAACTGCTTAGGTCTCAGGCACAGGGAGAGGAGGTGCATCCAAGTGGCTTGGTGACTGAGCAATGTAGAGCTTGGCCAATCTGGAGACAAGCAGATAGAGCACTTTGTATTCAAATGGTGCACTGAGACACAAACGGTTATTTTCTTAAGCTGCAGTAAGTACTGGTTGATGGTGGTAGCTGGCTGGTTCTGATGGTGTGGCCCAGAAGTCTTGAGATGTTTGTGTTTCATCCCTTCAGACTGGTTTCAGCAGAGCTGGCTTCTTGGAACCCTTTCTTTTTTTTTTTTTTGTTTTTGTTTTCCTACCTTTTCCCTCATTGCAAGCAATTGGTTTCAAAACTGCTGCTAAGGCTTCTCCCAGCTTCCTCCGCAGAAGACAATATCAGAGCTGAAGTTTGCAGAGAACTGCACAATATGCGGTATTGCGGTTAAAGGAAATGGCTAAGATTCATTTGAATAAGGGGAAGTGAGAGCTGCCGCGCTCATCACCGCTGCGTGGATTGCTAGAGATGCTGGTTAGGGAGCTGAGATTTTAAGGGATTAGGATTTTCCTGAGTTACAGAAATTTGAAAAAACAGCTAGGAACTTGACAGTTACACTTGCTATTAAATATATATATATATCAATTTTGATCTCATTTTCCTTATAGCTGTTAATTCTTTCTCATTTCCTGTTTGCTGCCTGTGCTGCTGTCTTCTGAAAAGGTTTACGGTTCTTTTTTAAGATGGGATATCTGAACACACGATTTTCTGCCTCTTTGGGAGCAGTATGGAAAATATGAAATGCAGAGTTACTGAAGTAACAGTGGGTGGTGAGGCTGAACTCCTACTTGATCTGTATGGAGGTGGAACTTTTTATAAAGAATGACATTGCGTGCTGCTTTCAGCTGTTTTTAGCTGCCTATTGTACTGGGACCAGCATCAGTCCTGAATTTGGAAATGTTATCACTGCAGTTTCTCTCCTGTTTTGCTCCTTCTGCTTTTAAAATGTTTATCCTCAATTGTAGAGGCTAACGGTTGCTTTACTGCTCTTACTGTTTGTGCCTACAGCCATGTCTGTAAGTCAGATACAGCATTTTTCATGCCATTCTGGCTCAGGTGAAACTTGAATGCTGTTGTTACTGCCAGAGCAGACAGAGAGATGGTTTTGGTATGCTTTGTGTGATGCTGCTGTATTGTAAAATTAAAATCAGTGTGATGTTCAAGAGTGATGGCAGAAAAATAATCTTACTGTATGTGGGTCTGCTTTTGTTTGTTTATAAACTGCTTGGATACCAGAAAGTATTTGCAGTAAGAGATTCAGCGTTGAAATAGCAGAATGATAGACTTTGAGCAAATCAAGAGAGTGTGGTTTTGATGGATGTCAGAGCAGTGCTACTTAGAACTAAGCTGTTTGGGATGAGAGGGTTTTGAACTATTTAGAGTATATGTTCTTCAAAAATGATGAGTGTTACTTGATGCTAATGGCTTTGCAAGCAATGTCCTTCTGTTATTTACAGTACAGGTTTTAAGTTTGTATGCAAAACTTATTTCTTAAAATGTCATTAGTGCAACCTTCTTTTGGCTGTCAGAGCTTCCATGATTGCATGGTACCTGGAAATGAGAACCTAGAGTGGACTCTTAGGTACCAACTGCATAACCAAGCTGAAGGCTTAGGTAAAGGGCAGAATAAATCCTCGTAAGAGCTTTAGTTGGCTTTGTCTCTACCTCTGTAAAGTAAAATTTGGTCCAGTACCAGCACTGTATAGCATAATAATAAGTCAGATAGGAGCTCACTTAGTAGGTGATTGATTATTTGTTGGTTAGTACTTTAAAGGTGTAATTTGGGAATAGTGTTTTTGTACCTCTCTTAAGGGTGTTGCTTGTTAGCCATTTTAAAGGCCAAATGAATATTTTTCTCCTGGTTATCTCTTGCAGCAGTTAAATTACATACTATTTGTGAAAGAGCAACAGTGCTGTGAGGGTGAAGAAGGACAGCACCAGTTCTCCTGTGGTAAAACAATGAGAAGTTGGCTGGATCGGCTAAGGCTGCATAGAGGGCAGACCCTCACTTCTCCAAACTTTCACTCTGGTCGTGAGACTAGGGTGAAGGAAATGATCCCAAAAGCTCCAAAATTGGACTGGAGAGGACTTGACAAAGTCTAAACATTGATGAGAATGTAAGCCACTCAGTGAAGTGTGCTCTTCTGCTCAGGCGCTGCAGCGGCTGTTCTGGAAAAGTAGAAGAGCCTCCTAAGTGACTGGCAAGCGTGGAGAAATTCCCAAACTGCAGAGCTCTGAAATTTGGAAGGGTGTAGAATTAGATCACCCTTTGGACACTGAGCTCTAAGAGGGCTGCAGAGCATTGAGCTGAGGGGAGAAGCTCACTGCCAATCTTGTTCTGAGTTGTAAGTTTGATATTGGAAGGAGCAGATAACATCTTCAAGTCATCAGGAAGTGACTTAGGGTGGGGTAGGGCTTTTTTTAGTGCTTGATTGATATTAACAGTTCTTTAAAGGTTAGGACAACAGTATTTGTTGGTCCGTTTGTGTTTTTAGCCTTAGAGGAATGGTCCAAAATACTGCCCAGCTGGTAGTCAGGATAAAACAGCAAACAAACTTAGGATCCATGCTGCCAAGGCAGAAAAGCTACTTATTTTTCTCTGGAAGCAAATAGAAACTTATGATATCCTGTGACTTTCTTTTTCCAGATTGAATATTTCAAAAAAATTCCAAAAAGCAACTCATGTTGTAAAGAGACATTAAGCTTTTAAATACAGTACCAAAATATCCCTTGATACCTTCTCAAATATACAGAAGGAAATCTAGATTGATTTACGCTTTTGTCTCAATGGTGGGCACCTAAAATTATCTTGCATTGTCTCTTAGTTTAGAAACATTCGTACTAGTTGCTTTCCCCTGCCCCCCAATTGCTCTTCATTTGCCCTGCTGTGTGCTGAAAAAAACAAGTTCTGTTTTTATTGCAGGGGATTTCTGAGATTTGTATGCAAAGGAGATGTAGCTGAAAAGTCTATACAATTCATGCTATAGAATTGAAATGGGGAGGATGTTCCCATTGCCCTGTTCTCTTTTATTAGTGTTACTTTATAAATTACAATCAAGGAAAGCGTTTTGGCAGTGAAACTTCTCTCCTTTTTTGTTTTTTGTTTCATCTGCCCTATATTTGAGTAATAGATCCAAGTGCTGATTTAAATAGGCATTACAAACACAAGAAGATAATATGGATTTATGTATACAGGTAGTGTCAAAACAAGCATGTTTCTTTCATCATTGAGATGACAGGTCACTCTTGTAAGGACAGTTTGGTAGGTATTTTGCACACTGACCTTAGCAAGGCTGCTGATGTTACCTCATCTGATTGGAAGGAAAACTTGAGCCAGCTAGGTTTAATTGCTAGAAATAAAGACAGATTTCATAAATGTGTGAATAGGTGCTGCATGGCATGCACTGAGACTTACCTGAAAAATAGGAGTTTCAACACACTCTTGAAGAAGGATGTGGACAAAATGGAGGCAATCCAAAGAACAGTGCAAATGACCTAGAATGAAGAGAAATTGATCCACTAAATGATGAATTCCTTTAACGGTAGGTTGTTATGTTTGATATTAGTTTAGATAGTTTTCAAATATTTTAGAGTACTGCAGGGCAAAGAGGGATATCTTGTCCAAGTCAGCATGGCCACAAAGAATGTGAAGTGGTGGATTAGATTGTAGCAAGAAAAATACAGGTAAGTTCTTAGAACTTTCTGGTGATAAAGATGATTAAATAATGGAAGAAGTCATCTCAGGATGCTTTGGAGTTTAGTCTATTGGAGGACTGTGAGTAAAGATTTGACAGATACCCCCTGAAAGCAAGAGAAATGCAGTTGGTCCTGCTTTGGACAGGGAAAATAGGATAGGCAAGTTCTCAAGGCCTGTTTCTAGCTTTGTTTCTGCAGATTTCACGTTAGTTTACACTTGATGTGTTGGACCTTTGAGTTTAAATAAAGTAGATGCTGTGTGGTTCAATGCATGGTGATGAGCAAATAAAACTAGAGTAGGACGATTAAATTTTAGCCATCAAAATACTAAACTATAATTTGTGCTTGTGTGGTTGGCTGATGCTTGCGTATCACTTCATAGCTGTTAAAAGGGTTCATTCACAAATATCATATGGGACAAGCTTGTTTATTATTGAACTTGAGCTTCCTCAAAACCTGAAGTGCAGCAAAGCGGCCATGGTAGGTTTCAGCAGAAATAGTAATGGAGCGTGAACTGCTTCCTAATGCACTCAGCTTTCAAAGCAGTTACTCTTTGATTATTCACCTGTCTGTTCTCTGTAGTTTTACTTTTTTCAAAATCAGAGATTGTCAGTTGGTAATCTCATTACTTTTAAATGCATGATGTAAATGAAAAATAAATAGTGCATATTCTGTATCCTACAGAAACGTGGAGTTAATAGTGAGCTTGTCTCTTTGAATATTTCTTTGCCATTTATTATTTAGTATAATTCTGTAGGATGTGCAACCACAAACCAAGCATTTAAATTCAGATATATTTTAGGGAGAAGTCTTTAATGTCAGCATCAGGGAAGAAGAATGGTTTTTACTGCACATGCCTTTCCCGTGTGTCAAGAGAATGTGCTGTAGTAAGCTCTAAATGATACAGGAGTTTTTCCTCTTTTTTAATACTAGAGATCTTAGCGTATTTCTTTTTATTAATGAAAGTTACTAGCTCAGGAAATGACTTTTTAAAAATGACTTTTGTAGTTGAAATCCCACCTATTTGCTTGTTAACATTCAGTGTTTTTAATGCAGATCCGTTCATAAATGAAACTTGAAGGCAAGGTGATTCATTGACTGTTTCAGTATATATTGTCACCAGTGAAACTGCTCAGCAGTATTTTATCTCAAGACTGTAGTAGCAGTGAAATCCTAAATATAAAACCGTGTTAAACTACTGCAGTATATGACTTATTTTATCATAGTCTTCTGATGTTGACAGTTTGAAGGATGAAAATAGAAGAATACTGATTCAAACGATAGCTCTCTTCTGGCTCTATTTCTTTTTTCATTGGGCAATAGCCCTGCTCATCATTTGGAATAGATGGGCTTAGCGCCAACAAGAAAGGTATAAATGCAGTTTCCATATTTCAGTAACTTAGAGCTATATCACATAACTGAAGTAGCATTTTCCAGTGCTCTTGAGAATGCTGCAGGTCTGTGCAAAAGGTCAGAGTGAAGTGTAGGTGTTACAAATGTAAGTTTGTGCCCCGCACGCTGTGCCATGCTACTGGCTTTTGACAGTGATTGTGCCTGCACATAATTTATGTCACGTCACCTGGAGCCTGTCCTGTTTAATGTATTTTGCTGATGACTGGGATGAGGAGATTGGGTGCACCCTCAGTAAGTTTGCAGCTGACACCAAGTTGGGAGGAAGTGTTGATCTGCCTTACAGAGTGATCTGGACAGGCCGGATGGCTGGGCTGAGGACAGCAGGGTGAGGTTCAATGAGACCAAGTGCCAGGTCCTGCACTTCAGCCACAACAACCTCAGGCAATGCTACAGGCTTGGGGCAGAGTGGCTGGCAGACTGTGTGGAGGAAATGGACCTGGAAGTGTTGGTTGATGCTCTGTGAAATGTGAGCCAGCAGTGTGCCCAGGTGGCCAAGAGTGCCAATGGCATCCTGGCTTTTATCAGAAATAGCCCTGCTAGCAGGAACAGGGAGGTGGTCATCCCTCTGTATTTAGCTCTGGTGAGGCTGCACCTTGAGTACTGTGTTCAGGTTTGGATCCCTCACTGCAAAAAAGCCATTGAGGCCCTAGAGTATGTCCAGAGAAGGGCAATGAAGCTGTGATGATCTGGAGCACGAGTCTTTGGGGAGTGGCTTAGGGAGCTGGGATTGTTTAGTTTGGAGAGGAGGCGGCTCATGGGGGACCTTGTCACTCCTTACAGCTGCCTGAAAGGAGGCTTGTCCTCTTCTCCTATGTAACTAAAGATAGGTCTAGAGGGAATGGCCTCAAGTCGTGCCAGGGGAGATTCTGGTTGGATATTAGGAAACATTTCTTCCCTGAAAGAGTGGTAATGCACTGGAATGGGCTGCTGGTGGTTGAGTCAGTGATCCTGGAGGTGTTAAACGTTTAGATATTGTATTAAGGGACATGGTTTAGTGGGAAATATTGATGGTAGGTGGATGGTTGGACTGGATTTCAGGTCTTTTCCAATCTTAATGATTCCATAATTCTGTATGTGCAGTAGTTTTGTCAATGAACCTTTTTTTGTCCTTGTCCAACATCTGATGTCCTCAGCTTGGAAGTAGAGTGTTAGGCTTTGATTTTTGCAGTTTTCTCCAGCTGTCCTGTGGCAAAAGGTTTTTTTGGCACGCTTCTTAGTGTTGGTGTTCTGTGGTACAGGGACAATTGTACTGTAGTCTTTGGTGTTCTCTAGAGACTACTTAATCTTCAGTGTAGGTATTAAGTGTGCTGTTGCTCGGTGCTTTCTTGTAAGTTGCTGCTTATGGAGTGCAGTCTAGAAAGTAAAGCCATGTAGTATTCATTGTTTCCAAAGTGACACTTGTATGGAGGAATGCTGTTAGCTTCAAGTGAAGAGGAGTCTGAATTTTGTTTAATAATGTAGTTTCCAGAGGGAGGAAAATGCTGCTTTAGTTCAGAACACGTGGCATTGTAAAATACTTGAACAGTTTATGCAGCTTGATCTATCTAGTCTGTTTTGATGACCTGTGCATATGATGGCAAAGAAATATTCTGATTAATGACTCTGTTAGCTATAGAAATTGACTTGTTCTTGCTAGGGTTGAATGCATAGAATTGGATAAAGAAAAGTTGCTTATTTGGTTAAGAGCTTGTTGTAGGAGGGTGTTCTAAAGTACTGTGGAAAGAAATAGAGTCTAGCTTGATAAAAAATCCAGCATCTGCATCCTTTCTAGTTTTATTCTTCAAATAGTGATGTAGACTAGTCTCAGTGGTAATTCTGCATCGTCTTTTTCATCACAACTGCTTGACAGCTGTTTAGTAATGTTCAAAAGAACTGGGAGGTGTCTGCTGGGAGATTCTTGTGGCATAATATGTTGAGCTCGAAGGGGCTGGAATCCCATAGCTTCAGAGAGCTGTATTCCACGAATGCTGTGCTAGCAAGTCCATATTTATTCTGGAATTTTCAGTGCTCAGATACATAGCCTTGAAACATAGGCTTGTGTAGCTTCTTAGAGCGTGGGATTTGGGCTTATGTGAGCAATGGTTTAAAGCTCTTAGCATGCTAAAGTTTTCTTCCTGCTCTTTTATTAATTTTATATCGTTGATTAGGAGGTAGAATTACAGGTGCTGTATGAGTAATGTTAGCAAATAAGCAGTGGGAAGGAACAAAGCTGCCTCTTGCACTCTTGGATGTCTGCAGGGATTTGCCTCGTAGGCTGCGAATAACATTTGTCATTGCTGAGAACCAAGTTCCTGAAACCCAGCGAGGAAGTTTGTGTTTGTGTTTTCCGAGGGCTGCTTCCATGTGAAGAAGCTGCATGCAAGGGCCTGGTTAGAACATAACTTCTGGTAAAGTCAGCCTTCGTTTTATAGGAGGAAGGCCATCCGGTGCTAGGAAGCAATGAGAAATAGTGTATGTGGAAGTAGTTTTTGAAGTCAGGCTGAGAAACTTAGGAAAGGTGGTGGCAGGATTAAGAATTTTTATCTGTATGAGTGCAAGTGCGTTGAAATATAATGGATACAGATGCATGTTGGCTGCTAAGATCCTTCCTTAGTTTGTAATCCTTTTGCTAGAGAAAGCTACATAATGTGTAGCAAAGGGTACCAACTTGCATTAAGCTGATACAGATTTTTAAGAGACCCATGGCTTCTGGTTAATTAAGACTTCATAAAGCTGAAGTGTGAGTTGTTTAATTTTTGACACTTACAATTTTTGCTTTAGAAATGGAGTGAAGACTTTCAAGTGTGTGTGGAACAGACCTTTTGTGGCACGCGTTGTTTGCTGCTGTAAGAATACCAAAGCAACCATTTTCATCCCTCATCGATGACGTGGGTGTTGCTGAGTTGATTGTGGTTATCGATTCCTCTTGGGATGTTATGGATGTAAATAAAATTTAGTATGTCTTGTGGAAAAATTAGCAAATGTCAGAGTGTAGATATCGGAGTAGTATGTTAACGTGCATTTTGATGGGCGTGTGCTGCAGGCAGGAGTGGTAGAAACTTACAATAATGACTTTTGTTTTGTTTTTTTTCTTGGCTACCGTTTCTTTTTCAGGTATGTAAAACTTCACTGAGTTTCTCTCCTGTTTTTCCCCTGTAGATGCATGTGATGTTGAACTCATTTTTTTCCTTCCTTCCTGAACTTACGTTTGAAATTACTGTTAGAAGTTACGTGTTTCAGCTTATACTCGAACTGTGCGCAATAGTAAAATTCTATTAAGTACATGTAAAATTTTGTTGTGAGTATCAGAATAATCGCTATCCACTAGAAAGTGTGCTGTCTGTAGTAACAGATGGTCCTAATGTTCTCTTGGATGTAGGTAATAGTGTATTAGCTCACTTAAATGTAACGTATTGTAGAATTTGAGTCATTTGTTTATATGTAATTTTTCTCTCTTTCTATTGCAATGCTTTCCCAGCAAGGACAAGTTTGGAAGGTTTGCAAAGCTTTTCACCTTCCCTTTGCCCGCTTGCCCGCTTTCAGAACCGGTCTCATACTTCATGACTTCTGTCTCTACGGTCTGCAACTCAGCCATAGAATTGGATGTGGAAGAGTTTAAACGAGCTGTCATTCAAGTTCACTATGTTGCGTAGAAATGCGTAGCATGTAATTCAGTTTTGCATGTGACACGAAAATCCCTCCGAAGAGCATAAAGCTAAATACATATTTGAGAGAAAATACAATTTGAGCATAAATTGTTGCATTAATAATGCTTGCTGCCTTTAGTTTGTCTCTCCCAGCTAAACTGTGTAGCATGGCTCGTTAGAGTAGTTGGGAATAAGTAGCGTGTCCTCAGCATGCTCTGCAGCTGGCTAAAGTAACTGAGTCGCTCCTCCAACCTGGGCTTCTGAGATGTCTGTGTAGGCTATTCAAGAGGCTTCCACTGAGCTGTGGCTTCTGTTCAAATGGAAATTTAATCAAGTTTCTTCATTGCTGCTTTTAAAGCACAGCTTATGCTACTGCAGGAGTAAAGGAAAATGAGCAAAACGTGAGTTGCTAATTTAAAGAAATAGGGTGTTTTAGGCAAGTATTGGTGTTTTTATTGTGGGGTGGAAAACTCTCTTGCAGTTCACAATTTAAAGAAAAGTTAAATGTAGATTGGTGGTGGGGCTTTTTTAGTTTTGTTTCACCAAGGGTAGTCCTCCATAGATGATGACACGATTGAATTTTCTAACAGTTTATTAACTCCAGATGAATACAACACTACCTCAAACCAGGAATAGCAGTAAAAAGAAAACCTTTTTTTTTTCCTTCTTTTTAGGATTGAGTTGTTTTTCCCTCACTGCTGTTCTGCACTAACTGCTTTGATACTTCCATGCATCTTTTTCAGTAGAAGAGCATCTTTGTACTGTTTCCCATTGCATACTTCAGCTGTGACAGTCCCTGCACTTTGCCTCTCATTATCACCTGCTCACTTAAAAAAAAAAAAAAAAAGTAAAAAATAACCAACAAACCAAAACAAAACAATCTTTCTAGTTTGTCTTCAGATTTGCAACTATCGCTTCATTTGACGTGGTTGATTTTTTTTTTACTATATTTTGTATTGTATTTTTTTATAGGCATGTGGTGACCCCAAAGCCAAACCATCCTATCTTATTGACAAAAACCTGGAATCTGCCGTCAAATTCATAGTCAGGAAGTTTCCAGCAGTAGAAACACGCAACAACAATGTAAGTATAACTAAATGACTGTATATATACTGTTTCCTTCAATGCCCTTTGACACATGCTGCTCAGTTCTGTGAGGTTCTGTGAATTACATGAAGCACCTGATGCTGACATACTTGAAATACAGTTGTTGATGCAAATGTCTGACAAGATCCTACAGCAGGAGCTAACTCCAAAGTTAGAATATTACACCTTGCTGTAATTCTTTGTTGTTGTTAGTGTAGCTTGTGTTCCAGTTTTGGTTGTTTTTTTTTTTTTGGTTATTGTTTGTTCAGATTCAAAGAGCTGTTAGTGGGGAATAGTCCTAGACACAAAAATCTAAATTTGCATGCTGCCTTCCTTTGATAGCAGAAATCATTGGTGAGTGGAAGATGGAAGCTGTGTAATTTCTAACTTCTTGTGATGAGGCCTGACAAGCAGATCAGTAAAAGCCAGCTGACTGAGAAATGGGAAATTGTGTTTGTACCTCATGGGTGCTCCTGCCCGTGGTAGCAGTCTCCATAGAAATAAGGGATGTGTATGTAGGAGAAGCCTTGCACAGGACAAAACACAGATCCTGAAGAAATATATTTATTTTCTTCTCAGATGTGTTGAGATCAGTTGTGATTGCTAAGTATGACATTGTAGTAGCCTTTAATTAGATTGCAGGTGTTTTTTTGGCAGGTAATGCACATTAAGTTTCTCTATTTCAGTTTGAAAGTCAAGGGAAAGATTTTTTTTTTCTTTTTATCTACTTATATTTCTTTCAAAAGGTGGAATGCAGAGGTAGGTGATGGGGTTTGCATGTTCCCTGCATGCAGTTAATTGCATGTGTGCTTGAGAGGGTTAGCCTTGCTTTAAGCATTCTGGTTTTTGCAGAATGGTAGTGATAGCAGCAGTGGGAATAGTTTGTTTTTTAAACCTCCAGAATTCCAGTGTAATGTCCTCAGTAATGCCAACAACAATTTAAAAAGCAAATACAACCACCAGAAGCTCTTCTTTATGGTAGAAGCTATTTCAGTTACAATGTGAACAGCGTGCTTTCTCTCTTTAGAACTTACACACCTTGTACTGTTTGATATTGCTTGTTTTGTATTGATTGTGTTAGTTGCAAATAGAGCATATTCTTTATCAAATTAACAGTAAGAAGTAATTTTTTTCCCTAATCTCTTGGTAAACTCTTCTGTGTTCTCTGAACTTCTGTGGCAACTATGCTATTGAAAAAAGGCTCTTCTGTGCATAAGAACTCATTCAGCGTGGTTAAGGGGATGTTCCCAGTGTCTTCCAGTTCTTGGCTATGAATTTAGAGCTTAACCAATGATGGGTGTGTATGAATTTTGTACTGTGAAGCTTATGAAAATTGATCAAAGCTCTTTTGAGGTATCTTGACAATCCCATTTTCTGAAACAGGACACACTCAGATGTTTCATTGTTGCTTTTTGCTTGTTTACCATGAGGCAGCCTGGACCGTGTTGAAGGAAAGCAATGATAGTAGGGCAGGTTATGAAAAGTCTGCATTACATAGGAGCACAGTTTAAGCTACAGATTTTGACTTCCAGCAGTAGGCATCCGTGGTCACAGGAAACAGCAGTTTGTTTCTCTTAAAAGATTTCTTTTATAGCGTTATATCTTTCAAAATAGACCTTTATAATCAGTGCCTCGTGGGACGAAAGTCATGTTGTATTGCAGGGAGAGTTCAAGTCCAATGTGAGATAAACTTCTGTTCATAAACCTTAGCTTTGGGAGGGCATGAGTATCAAGTCCAAGTCAGGAGGACACTGTTCCCCTACTTGTTCTTCCTTTGTCTTCTTTCTCCATTGACCAGCAGTGCTCACTGTTAGTTAAAAATGAGTTCCTTCATCAGGGATACATGATGAGAGATGGGGAAGGGCAAAAAGCTTACTGGAACAAGGGAACAGCAGTTAATAAAACGTTATTGAGGATAATTACAGGGGAAGTGCATGAGACGTCATAACCTGTGTCCTTGAGATGAAAATTGGAGGACAGCCTTTTAGGACTATTTTTGGATTCCATTGCTTAGCATTGTGCATCTACACAGTTGGTATTACCTATTGATGTGTCGGTAGGTGATGTTGCCAAGCAAACAAGCTTGCATTCAGTTAGAGAATGATTAGTGCTTGTATTTTTGATTTTTTTTTTTTACTGATTCTTAGCTGTTACATGGGTTTCTCACATAACATCACTTGCAATGCTTTGTGTGTCAAAGGTGAACAACCTGAAGAATATGAGTGGTCTCTGCGTTAGCTGAATGGGTGCCTTATCTTAATGTGCGTTTTAATTCTGTTGAAACAAGTGATTCTGTAACATTTAGTACAGAGAGCTTTAAATTTTCATTGACTGAAACCATGGCTGCTGATTGTGATCCTTCTCTGACATGCTGTCGTGCTAGATTCATGTCCAACAACTGCTGACTTTCAGTACTGCAGCAGGAGTGACAGAGTGTGAGCAGTTCAAACAAAAATGAAGTACCTGATGAATCCCTGCTGACCAGGCAGAAAAACTGAATGGAGTAGTCTGTCTTCCAAAAGATCGATTATAGATAACTCAGGACCTCATCAGTTCATAACTCTCTGTCCTTTTGTCAGAGGACATTCCCAGTAGCCTTACATTTGCCCTTTCTTTTCCAGTCACTATCTAGAGCCATATAACCTTGAAAACGAGTAGTGTGAAGACTGAGCTCTTCAATTGCCTGTTAATGATGTTGACTAGCCAGGTAGCACTGCTTAATAGTATGTGAAATATGTGACTATGTGTGAACAGTCACCTGATGCAGTAGGACCTAAAAATTACTCTTTTCTTAGCCAATGCTAACATTTAATTACATTGTAAAGACAGAATAAAATACTTCACGCTGAGGAGCTGGAGATGGAGGGAGAGAAGATGTACGTTATCTGTATGCTGTGGGTAGGATGTGAAAATCCACTGCCTGCATAGGTAAAATTCTGTTTTATGTAATAGAGCTAGCTCACTTTCTGCTTTCCAAACCAGCACATATGGGAAGTAGTGAGAATTTCTGCATTCCTTCTTGAACATATGTTGATCTACTCAGATTGCTCCTGAGCATTTTTCCTGTAGAAAAACTTCCTATATTTTGAAATGTCTTCTGGTGATGCTGCGACTTAGTCATTGCTTACCAGCAAGCAGACTGATGAAACCTTACAAGTGTGTAAGGTCTGCTTGGTGGGGGAAGTGTCCATGCTTCCGTTAATCTTGATTTGTCAGTAGCTACATTCCAGTTCTTATCTCCTCATTTAGGTTGATTTCAAATTCTTGAGATATTCTTTTGAGAGCTATTTCCCTGTTTTAACTCCAACTGCAATCTGCTGGTTTGAGTCGGAGGGGACTGGATCAGATCAGATGAGAACAGAGTGCAAGCGGTGAGACCGTTTCCAGTCTCCCTGGGTTAGGGTCTGTACATATGAACTATCTTGCTCTAAATTTTATTTACTGTTCTTCATGGGTGCTGGCTTTCACTCTTTAGATGACAGTATGTACGTCCGGGCTGCTTGCTCTCCCTTTTGTAGTTTCAATTCAGAGTGATTGGGCTGCACAGAATGAGCTGAGTGTGGGAGGGGTGCTGGGGGGCGCACATTGGCTGGACCTCCTTGGCTGAAGCATGCTTTTATTAAGTATTTTCTTGTAATGTTATTTAAAGATGGGTTTTATAACCTACCTTGATTTTAATTTGTGGTAGATGCTTCCGATTACGTCTTTTTCGAAACACTTAAGTACTTAAAATCGTGCTCTTTTAAAATGACTCCTTTCAGCTCTTTCCAGTACAGTGCCACAAAGCAAGTGGTATTGGTTTGTTTGTTTTTAATGAAACTCTTAGTATTGCCATTTGCACAGTGTTAGTGGATACAGTATAGAAATTCTCCTGGATGAAAAACTATTTCAGAGTCTCAACTGTGCTGTCTTATGTATTATTAATACTTCTTCACTAAAAATAATCATTTACTTTCCAGGGAATGGTGTGGTATTAAAATCTATGGCAGCTGTTATTTAAAAGTCAGGTAACTTAATCCTCTTAGCCAGTAAACTTGAGAATAAATGTCCTTCTGGTGAGCTAGGTCTCTTGCCTGGAGACTTGACTTTTCAGACACCTTATTGCTTAAGCAATAAAACCCACTCCCTGTATGCTGCCACAAAGCTATCCAGCTTCCTGGCTGGGAAGATAAAGACCTTTCTGGGTCAGAGGATGCCATGCCCTTCTTGCACAGATGTTTGTTCAGCTCCCATGCTGCCCAAAGAAGCTGTGGTGCGGTAGGCACTGCAGATGAGCTTAGCTTCCCCGAGCTCCCCAAGGCATCATCTGGCTTGCAGGAGATGCCCTGCATGAATAAAGCAATCCAAGCAACAACCAGTCTCTATTAAGCTTTGCACTAGCTGTTGTTTTTAATAATACTTGAGAATAGGATGCTGTGATGACACTTTTTCAGAAGAAACTATACCTTCTCTGCAACAGCTATCCTTTTGTCTATATTTTTACAAAGAATTATTCAAGAGTTGAACTGCTCTGCCAGTGCCATGCTCTGATAAAGTCATACCTACTGTTTTCATTTTGTGTGCAGTAGTAATTCTGATGTCTTCAGTCCTTAAAAGTCTGGCCATTGAAAAACACAAACAAACTCACCGTGCCCTCATTCATACCTGAACAGTATCTTAGTTGTGTGGTGATGGTGATAGAGATGGCATCTCAAAACTGTCATGCGTCTTGAATGAAGTTTCTTCCCAGTTTCAGGCTGTGAATGTTAAGTGTGCAGGTAGATGGACTTCTTTTTTTGCCCCAAACATTTTTGCCTGTACAACAGCATGGCGGACAACTTTACTCCATGAATGGTTGCTACGGTGACGTCAAGAGCAGTGACCAAAGTTTGGATGATACAGCAATGTGTAATGAGCTAAGTGTAGGAATTAATGCAGAAATTTGTGTAAAATTGAGGGAATAGGGAAATGTGGTGAAGGCTGGCAGATCAGCTTCTGAAGAAGGGCCTCCTGCCCAAAGAGCAGGCCCTGCACACAGTAGCAGTTGTGGAGGGCCATGGCGGGTTATTTCCTTTTCAGGAAAGCTGCCTTGGTGCTAGAAACTTGAAAACTAACCAAAAATAGATCATATGGTACAAATGCATTAGTTAGTAAAAATGTTAAATATTTTGTAACATCTTCTTTATGTGCGGACTGCCAGTTGAGAGTCTGCTTTTAATTGGAGAGAAAATCAAGGGCACGTTTATCATTCTGCAGTTAATTTACACTACTTAAAACTTTTTCTTCAGGTAGTTAGATTCTCCTTCTCTTTCCACTGTGCTGCAGTGGTTTTTGTAGATGCAGAATTCCATTCAAATGAATTGAATTTTTGAAGTATTCATTGAAAGACTCTATGTGTGGCAGGCATATGGAATAAAACAAATAATATCAAGAATACTGTCAGTGAGTGTTTTCCCTGTATCCCTGAATTGTAGCAGTCAGACTTTGTAATACTGCTTTGGGGGCATATATTCCAGCTAGCAAGCTGAAAGGTGATGTTGTGTCCTCTGAGGGCATTGTAGTAACGACAGAACAGCGTTGGTTTGTAAAGAAAGAACTACACTATTTAATGCAGGAAAGATGTCAGTATGTAGAAATTGGAGAATTCCCCTACCTATCATCTACTCTTGGATCATGGTATCAGACATCTGTGCGCATGCTGCTGCTGCTAGTCAGGTAAATGATTCAGTAGTTACAGAGCTGTGGTTATCCTATTTTTCTGCATGCAATTCCCTTACAGCCTTTTTCACTTGTCTTCTGTTTTTCTTGTGTATTCCTATTTACTGTAATATGCCAGCATCAGTGTTGTTACTCTCACACTGAGCATTCATACGAGCTTTAAATGATGCTGGCTTGTGATTGCTGGTTTGATTCCTGTTTCTTTTAAGATACATTCTCTATGAATGTAATCAGTTGTTTCAAGATTTAGGGGTTAATATGAAAAAAACACAAAAACTTGGTAAAGGTCAGTTTCTCTCTTGCAGATAATGTATTTAACAAACTGCTGGTTTGTTAATGATTTCATATACATGATTTTTTTTCTATTCTTGCTCTTCATATGTCTTAAGTCTAATTAACCTTGTTTAACAGTGTCATTGACATCCTTGCTGGTATGTTTTGTTCTTCAAGCTTTTGAAGAATAAATAAAACTCTTCTGTCTAACCAGTAAGTAAGGCACAGTTAACTGCAGTGAAAACAATATCATGATGATAGTTATATTTCAGCTTATCCTTGTTTAAAATTACTGCTGAATGTAGGAAACAGAAGTGTTTGCTGATAGAGAGATGAGAATTACAGCTGAGGAAAACAGCCTCAAAGCAAATACAAGGCAATATGGTACCTAACGCATCTAAACAGCTGTTAGGAAATTGGTAATGGAAAATCCTGTTGCAGTGGGTGTGGTAAGAGCTACACCCACATTCCTGAGCAATAAAAATGCAAATAAATGTCCCAGACCCTACATGATGTAAACTGCTTTTAAATATCACTGTTCGGTCTGTGTTGCATGAGGAGACCTTCTTGCACCATGCTTTGCTAACAGTGATTGCAGTTGGCTAGGTAAAAATCCAAGTGACAGTGTATAGCAGTGATGCCTTAATATGGGGTAGGGTGCAAGTAATGCTTCCCTAGATGTTTTTATTTATTTAACAACTTCCTGGAATTTCTGGAAAGCAGAGTTTCCAGCACCATCTCCTGTTTGCTGTGCATCCCCACGCTGTGGCCTTGAAGCACGAAGCTCAGACTCAGTTGTAGGTATTGCATACAGTACTCTGTCACCTTAGCATTGCCCTTTGCTTAGCCCAGGTTGGGATTGCAGTAGGGAGGAGACGTTAAGGCCTGTGTGCACTTGTGATGACAGCCCTTTTTTCCTCTCCCGTAGTCTGTCACAGAAGATTCATGAAATGGCTTTTCAGTTTCATCCTATTCGTGCTTTTTTAATTACATAGAAATAAACCCTGCTTTTGCTTAGTATTTTAAATGCAACTCACTTGCAGTAAGTATTTTAAACATCCAGGCTGGAGGCTGAACTCAAACACGTAAGGCAATGAGCTTTCATCCTGTAACAGCTGCGGACTGGCAGAGCAATCCTGAATGTATCAAGCGCTCTTTCCTCTGTGGATGGTGGTTCTGGTGCTCCATTCTCTGAGTATTGGGCAGCTGGAGTGTAAGGTGTGCACTGGGAGAGCTTCATTGACACTGATGGGCAGGGTGGAGCTCATCAACTGTAAGTCTCACGGGCACTTAGAGGGCAGTCTTTCATATTAAGTGTCATGAGGCTGCTTTAATTCACGTATCGAGACAGTAATGAGTAACTGAATATTGGAGGTTAAGTATTTGGATCCTTGTAGTACTTTGAGGCTCTGATATGTAGCTATTGAACAGCCGTCCCATTTATTCTAACAGTTGCATTTTCTGTTCTCAATTGCAATCTTTTAAGGGAGCTGTTGGACTCCAAGGAAGTGTTGAAGAATATGGAAATTAAACGAGATTTCTTTGTCTAAAAAAAAAAAAAAAAACAACAACAAAACCAAATCAATCCATGTGGACTATTTTATGCCTTTGTATTCACATTTGCCTCTTCCATTTTATCCACCAGTGTCTACTGCTAGTGTTTTGCTTCTTTTGTGTTTCTTTATTTTGTTGCTTTTGTTTGAATGTATTATTGTGTTATATGGAACTGGTCAAAGAACCGTTACTGTATTTTATGTTTGTATCTACATTTTATTTTGCATGCTTAACGTGGCTTTGCCTGGATATTCTTTTTGGTAAGTTCAGAATTCAAAAGCATAATGTTTTCCTGTAGTAAAATTTGTAACCTGCCACCTTCTTTTCTCCCACCTCAAGTAATGTCGTTATTTTTTTTGTCATACTGATTCGTGCTCACGTACTGTTCTGCTTTTGCTAATAATGCACATGATAACACTATTTTCCTAACTACCCATTTTTATCTCTAGTTGAGCTAAACAGTAAGATTTTGGTACTAATGTGTACTAATTTGGTTTTTATCTCCAAAGTATAGTTAGCAGCTATTAAATGATCCGCTTTGAGAACTTTGTGTGCCTTTAAGATGCACACAGAGCTTCAGACTTAGAAAACTGCGTTAAAACCTCCTTTTATGACCTGGTGGTTAATCTGCACCTTACAGGTAGTATTTGTCAGCTGTCTTCTCAAGCTCTCGGAACAGTGAACGTGTTTCTGTTCTTCTTTTAGCAACAGCTTGCTCAGCTACAGAAAGAAAAGTCAGAGATCTTGAAGAACCTGGCATTGTACTACTTCACGTTTGTTGATGTTATGGAATTTAAGGTAAGGTACAGCATGTGAGATTTGTCTTCTATTTGTAAATGAAGATAGTTGAATTTATAGGTCTGTTTGTTCAAACCAGCATGATTTCATCCAGTAAGCAAGTGAAGTGATTTACTTAAATATCTTAAATTATTCTTTTTTTTTTTTTTTTCCAAAGGACCATGTTTGTGAGCTGCTGAACACTATTGATGTTTGCCAAGTCTTCTTTGATATTGTAAGTTTCTGGGTTAAACTGTTAAAAGCCAACAAAAAATGTGTCTAATCAGAGTGTTCTGCATGGTGAATTAGGAAGATTTGTTTATGCTAGGCCAAGAAAAATGACACCTCTAGTTATAAATGGGAGAGAAATACGTGCATTATGAAAGTTAGAGATGTGAACATTCTAAGTAGTGTGATATCAGAACATACATCCTTTGGAACAGGCTAATTATGGACTGTAATTAACAGCAAAATACAGACAGCATTTTTTGCTTTATAGCAACTGCATTCTTAGAAGTTTACTGTAGTCTTTATTTGTGAATTGGGTGAGGCTCAAAGCCAGGAATATTGCTGTTGTCCCATCAATGTGTGTGTGATGTGTGAGGTCTTCACTATTTTTGGCTAAAGCAAGAATAAAAGTATCTAGAAGTGTTACATTTTAAATAAAATCAATTTTCTCCTGGTTTCATCTTTATTTCCTATTGTACATAGTGTCACCTTGTTAGTTTTAGTCATTCAGAACTTTGGTTGACTTTCTTATGGAATGGTTGTGGCAGGTGAGTGGGTATCTGCTGGCTTTATACAAAAGAGTCTGATTAAAATCTAGTCTGGAGGCTAGGCACTTGTTGACTGTTCGTAACATCCAAGAAAAGCTTTCTTGTCTGCCAGCTGCAACACTTGAGCCTGAACGGGTTTATTTGTGTGATTGCTTTCACAAGTAAAAACATTTCTGGGCATTTGGATGAATAAATTGAGAACATACAAAGTCTACATACAAGCAGGACAAAAACACTGATCAAGACAGTCAGTTGTATTTTAAAAATGCCAAAAATGGGTGGCAATAAGAAGAAAAAGTTTTATGCTTATTTCTGAAGGTTTTAGAATAAGATTTCTTGTTTGTTTTTGTTTTTTTTTTACCTCTAGACTGTAAACTTTGATTTGACAAAGAACTACCTAGATTTGATTATAACCTACACTACACTAATGATACTGCTGTCTCGAATTGAAGAAAGGAAGGCTATCATTGGATTGTATAACTATGCTCATGAAATGACACATGGAGCAAGGTAGGAATCTGTTGTGTAGGAAATGTGTTTTTAAAGAAGTAATCATTACACCTCAGTGAATTATTGTTGTTTTTTTCTCTTTTCAAGTGACAGAGAATATCCACGTCTTGGCCAGATGATTGTGGATTATGAAAATCCTTTAAAGAAAATGATGGAGGAATTTGTACCTCACAGTAAAGTATGTAACCACTTTTCACAGGAACACAGTAACCTTATTTGAGAGAAACAGAGATCAGAAAGAAAATATACAAGAGCTTTTGTCAAGGCTCTTAGGTACAAATTTTACAGATGTTATTTACAATGGATGGTTGGGGCTGGAGATTGATATCTCAGTGAATGAAAATCCAGAAGTGCAGGAATGCTGTGATGCTTTGGTAATGTTCCAGCTTATTCAGTGAGGAGTAAAAATTGCTTAAAAATCGGGTGTAGCTGATTCTGTATGTTTTGATTTGTAGCTTGAAGTGAAGGAGGTCTCTTAAGAAACGAGTTCTCTTTGGGTTTACCATCTTAGTTGAATGTTTCTTTCTGTTTTGTAACCTGAGGGTTTTTGCTTTGGGATTTCCTTAAATCTGGCATCCTGGGGGGCAGCTAATCACCACTGTCTTATTAATAACATCTGAGCAAAGCTGGCATTGTGCACCTTACTCAGTTGACTTCACTGAGTTAAATGAGCCTGTAGCCTCTCTTGTACTACTTAAAACATTTTGTATTCTCACACATCTGGTTGTGCACCAGTTCTGTGATAATTTATCTAGGCTGTATTTTCATCTGCGAATACCTGGGAAAAGTGAAGCCTTGAGACAATCAGCGTGTACCTGTACCCTGTTATTACTTGCCAAGTGTCTGTGAGGCTTACTGCTCTGACAGAGGAAACCAGATTTGTCTGTTGTGGTCAGTGCCGACCAAACCATAATGGTTGTCATTTATATAGGTGTTATTTTCCAGGTGCTTTCAAATTGTTTGCCTAACAACTCATTTTGAATTTTTTTTTGCCAGATTTTAACTTAAGTAGTAAATAATTGCCTGAAGTTTTTACATGGATTTTTGCTTTGTGCTTTGAAATCTAGGTACTGGTTTTGTTTTCCTTCTTTCCTCCTCCTTGAGATTTTATTTATAGCCTTATCTTTTGAAGATAATCACTAGAAGTTGAAACATTTCCAACTATTTTTCTAAGTAGTACTCTAAATAGTTGTTGAATACTACTTATTTGTCTAAATGATCAGTAATCTCACCTTTGTTACATTTTCCTGTGCGTGATTCCTGTCTTATTAAGAGAGATTGCTAAGGATCTGATTTGCAGTTAACCTTTTATTGTGCACATTCTGGTGCTTCGCTTTTCTGTACCATCTTTGTTTATGCATTTGTGTTTAATAATGGACCTGTCTTTTCCTTTGAAATGTTTTGTAAAGCCATTTGCCAGTCCAAATTCTGTTTTTCTTCTGATTCTCTGCTAGAGGAATAAATTGGGGTCAAGGATCCCTTCAGGCTGCACAAATACTTAAATTGTCATGGATCTACACATTTAAGTTGTTCTTCCATCTTCCCACAACTCTGTAGTAGCCCTGACAGTTGTTTAGCCCTTTAAATTAGCTTCAGCTGAGAACTTTTTTTTTTCTTTTGCCTGAGTGAACTTCTGTGCTGCCTTAATGCTTAGATCCTGGCTCCCTGAGGGCTCATGCAAGCACCAGTATTGGTATGGAAGACCAGGAAAAAGCACGTGGGACCAGAATTATTTGGATATGCTTAATCTGTTATAAAGGTGCTCCTGTAATGACTGCTCAGAATAGTACTAATCTGCTAGCAAAAAGCGGGGGACCTAATAAAATAAGTGGCAGAGAAGGGAATAACACAATAGGTGAGATGCTTGAATAAAGAGTGAACAGCTTTTAGCTGTCACAGATGTATTATCCCTCTACTTCTTTCTTCTGTGTGGAATAATTCTGAGTGGAGAATTTTCTAACTCCATTTACACAGACAAATAAAAAACAGCTTCTCTTCATCCTTCACTTCAGCCTAGTATAGTCTTCTGTCTGTGAAATGAATTAGGCACAGTGGCTTTAAACTCAAGTTAAATTTCAGAATTGTTTCATTAAAATAAATTGGTGATTATTGGTAATAACCCTGAGAAAACAGCACTAATAAAATATTCAGTTTCTCTTGTGCTTGAATTATGGAAGGTTTTGAACTTCAGATCTAGTATGTAGCTGTTGGTATAAATTTTAATTTCTCATCGCTTTGTGAATTAAGACTCTTGTGCTATTGCATTACCATAGATTCTAACCAGTTTTATTTGTCTCTTTTTCAGTCCCTTTCAGATGCTCTGATTTCACTCCAGATGGTCTATCCTCGAAGAAATCTCTCAGCTGACCAGTGGAGAAACGCACAACTACTGAGCCTCATCAGTGCACCCAGTACAATGCTTAATCCTGCACAGTCTGACACAGTATGGCCTTTTAATTTGATGTATAATATAAAGTTAAGCAGGGTTGTCTGTAAAATAATGTAGGGATGATTTGTTTTCTGTTTGGTAACCTTTACAAGGCTTCTAATCAGGGAGATTAATAAGTTTGTTGGGAAAATTGCATCCTTTTGTAGATAGAAATACTTCTGTTGAATTAGCCCATGCCTTTATTTCTAAAATTTGATAATAAGGGAAGTGGTGTTACTGCTACAGTGTAGAGCGAAGGAATCTTGTGAACTGTCAGATGGCTTGGGGTCAACAGACTGGAAATCAGAACTGATGCATTCTTTAAAATGTTTACTGTTTTCAATGTTTGTCTCAGTTGGGATAGGATTAGTCATGTTTTGGGGGAGAAAAATCAAGCGGTTATCCTGTTGTGATTGGGAAACATCAAAAGTCTTTTGTTCTTAAATGCAATGTCAAAATATATTTTTTTCAAGGTATCTGTGAGTATTGCATGTTCATGTAATGTTCCATCTCCTAGTTTCTAAAGCAGTGACTTGTTTAGCAGTCAGAAGCAATCTGCCATGGTTCATCAGCATTTGAGACTTATTTATCCCTTTTTCCAAAACGTACTTCTTCTGTAATATCTTGTATACAAATAGTTTGCTGCAAATTACTGTCTTTTCAACAGATGCCATGTGAATACCTCTCTCTGGATGCAATGGAAAAATGGATTATTTGTGAGTAAAATCTTCTGAAATAGCTCATGCTTGTATTTAAAAAAGAGAAGAACTAACATTTAATAGGCAGTTTGTGTTTCTGTGCTGTACAAAAGATTCCAAAGGGCTTCATTTAATAGCAGTTTTATGGATCGTATTCTATATGTAGTGAAGCTAGAATTCATCTTTTGCTGGAACGTAGATTGCCATGAGTTTAGTCTGGACGTTGACAAAAAATTGGGGTTTTAGTAATTCACATGAAAATAGTTGTTGTAAAACTATGAGTAATTTGTTACAGGCATGTAAGGATTCCTCTACTGCAGTGTATTGTGGAGTATTTTCATGTGTGTAAACTACATGTTTTCCATTAAGGAGTTGATCAATAAACTGTTGTCCACTTTAAGAGAAAATACCTATAATTTCACTGTTCTTCTCTTACTGTCTTTGTGCATCTTGTTTATGACACACGTTGACATGAACTTCTGAAGTTGGATTTATTTTGTGCCATGGAGTCCTAAATAGTGACGCGACAGCTTTGAACCTTTGGAAACTTGCACTTCAAAGCAGCTCTTGCTTGGCTCTGTTTAGAGATGAAGTATTCCATATTCACAAAGCTGCAGAAGACTTATTTGTAAACATACGAGGGTAAGTTTTCATTTTCCTTTTCTTCTTTCTTGTATTGAAAGTGTATCATTTCTTTAAGAACTAGTCTGAAAACATCAGTTCTTCTGCATTCGCGCTCCACTTACAGGTAATCAATTAAAAAAAAAATTCTTAGTATTGTGACCGTTTCTTTAATGTACAACTTCCAAGAGCCTGTTTCATAACTGTCATGTTTTTTGCTTTTGTTTTGTCTTTATTCTTAGTTGTGAAAATTTCTGGTGAATTGGTCTCTGAAATGGCAAGCATTTAAAATTAGTGCCCATGAATCTAGGGAAGAGAAACAATGTCATGAATGAAGAGTGTGCTTGAAAAGTTGCAAGCATTTGTCACTATTTTTGCAATAGATCATGCAAAAACTCGGGCAAAAGTGGGGTCCTCTACCAAAGAACAGCAGGAGCACTTCAGTAGAGAGTGTTTTTTGGCTTGAGTATCTGGTTTAAGCATTTAGATCTGGATGTAGAAAGAAGTCTTACTTCAGCTTTCTGCTGTACCCTGCTTGCTTTGGAATTGCAGTTCCTTGCAAGTCTCAATTCTTGCTAGATTGTGCACCTGATTCTTTCTGACCATCTTGGGTTGTTCTTTTACTTACAGCTACAACAAGCGTATTAATGACATCAGAGAGTGTAAAGAAGCTGCTGTTTCACATGCGTGAGTGTCTTAAAGAGTTTTCTGGGGGATACTAGTGTTGAATGTTCTTCTCAGTGAAGTTACAAAGACTGTATAAACAGGACTTGTTGAATCCCAATTGAATTGTGCGTTTTCAAGAAAGACCAGACATTGACTTTTTTGGATTTGCTTAGTAGTATGCCACTATCAACTGAACTTATTGAGTCCTATATTATTTGTCAGATTTTCAGAGCATTTAGTTTATGTATTCTCTAGTTTCTTTTTGTCTAGTTACTTAATGTAAATGTTAATTGAATAGAAATGTTTTAATGGAGTCAAATGCAAATCGCAGGCTGGAGCAGAGGACTCTGTTTTTTAAATTTTACATTACTTCAGGAATATGCAGTGTGGATGATGGAGGTGCTAATTTCAAATGAATCATGTCCTTTGAAATACTGAAATTTTGAAGTTGATGTGATAAGAGGTGGGCCTTAAATGTCTGGAATGAGTCAAGTGCTTGTGATTTGCATGTTGGATGATGTTTGGATTTGTTCCTTTGATGCAGCGGTTCGATGCACAGAGAGAGACGCAAGTTTTTACGTTCTGCACTCAAAGAACTGGCTACAGTCCTGTCTGATCAGCCAGGCCTGCTGGGCCCCAAGGTAATTACCAGTCTGGTTTCATCTTGCCTTGTAGTTTGTTCATTGGTGTCATTTGAGGGAGGGCAAAACCTTCCATACTCTGAGGTAAAACCTGCTTAGGTTCTAAGATTCTTTCATTTTAGTTGTCTTAGTGTTCACAAAGTGTCCTACTGTTGTACAAACCTTAAGTATTATTTTTCTTTTTCAGGCACTTTTTGTGTTTATGGCATTATCCTTCGCTCGTGATGAAATTATTTGGCTTCTTCGTCACGCAGATAACATGCCAAAGAAGAGTGCAGATGATTTCATAGATAAGTACGTTAACAATTTGTAGTGCGATAGCTTTAATATTTACAAGAACTTTATGGTGGAAATATAGTTGAAGGCAAGTATGAAGGATTCATAACTTGGCAGGAGAACTGGGACTATTTGGGGACAATGCTAATTTCCCATCAAAATAGAGAAGCAGAAGTATTTATTGTGTTAGAAACTGCTGGACCAATGGTAACAATTCATTTTCTGCTGAAGATTTATTTGTAAAGGAAAATGACTAACCTTATGCTTTTTTTTCCCTCTAAGAAAGGAGGGGGAAAAAAAATCTTGTATGGTCATCATTGTTGACTCTATTGAACAAATTAACAAACTGTCCTGGAGATTGATCTGTAGAACATCTCCTGATGATGATAAATAGCAGAGCTGTCATATCAATCAGACAAGGTTTATTCAGATAATATCGTACTAGTGTCGTCATAAACAGAAAGGAAAAATGAGAGAGAAGATTAAGAAATCTTATGAGTGTGAGTAGAAAGAAGAGAGCTAGTTGTCCATGCACTGTTTTCAAGATGAGAGAGCATAGCAGTTTGATCTTGGGAATAAAATCTGAAATCATATCCACTTGACAAATGATGACCACAAGGGTATTTCTAGAGCTGAAATAGGAAAACCTGGGGTTTTCTTCTCTGAGCTGTGTGGAAGGGATGGCAGTACTGCAGATAAATAAGATACCTTTCTAAAATGTTTGCAGGAATCTTTTTGTCTACCTCTTCTGAACAACAGTAAAGGTGGCTGTATTGTGATTTCCCAGGTGGTACACCTGGACAGTTGGAGTAGTTAGCTGCCATTACAGTTACTCAGTTTGATTTATAGACATAACGTACTGTTATCTCTGTCATATCTCATTTTTGTGTCATAACCCTAGATTTGAAACTGTAATTCTAACTCCATGTATTCTTGGGCTTCTCTTGGCTGAGTTCTCGGTCTTTTTGAAATAGGTAAATGAGCAGAGTTGGTCCCTCAAAAGAAAAGCATGCAGGATAAGTTTGTCAAGCCATCTGATTGTTTCTCACATAGCATTGGGCTTAATCCAGGAAGCTATCAGTCTAATAATTGAGAGAGCAATTTAAGCTTTCAGTTTTAGCTAGGAGTCGCAGGTGTTAGAACACTGATAGTGTTACTCATAGAAAATTGCTCAGTGTCAACTATTTTTAGTTTATTCATGTCTACATGTGCAGTATCCTCTGTGCAGAGGAGGACATCTTACATCTTGTAAGATCATGGGTTTGTAGAATAAAGATCTTCTGACTAGAGCTGAGATAAGCAATTACAATTCTGTTTTTCACACTTAACACTTAAGCTTTTTCTTTTTAATTGACCATTGTAAAAGGGCTTCTTCAGAAAGAAATGGGTAGTTACAGGAACCTCTGTGAGGGGGATCCTGTTAATTTATTTCCAAGTGAGTGGAAAATATTATATAATGTGAGGTAATACTTTAATACAAAGGTTACCTGTAAATAATAGTCTTAAAAGCAAGGTTTAGGAGGAAATCCCCATGGGAAGCATTGTACTGATAGAAGTCTTTAATATTTTTCATACTCCATGTTTGTAAACTTTCCTTTGTCTTTTTGCATAGGCACATAGCTGAGCTGATATTCTACATGGAGGAGCTCAGAGCGCATGTGCGAAAATACGGACCTGTGATGCAGAGATACTACGTGCAGTATCTCTCTGGCTTTGATGCAGTGGTCTTGAATGAGCTTGTTCAGGTATGACAAGGGCATGGTTTGGGTCCTGGGTTTTTTGTCCAAAATGTCTTGATAAACCATATTTGGTTTTGTGGGTTTTGATTAATGTCATGGAACAAGGCCAAGTATCTGAGCTTACTGCTTAATTCTAGGATTTAGACTTGTGCCTTTGTTTGCTGTATGAATACCAAAATGTTATTAAGCAGTGTTTTTTTTTTAGAGACCTTCCTTTCTCCTCAAGGAGCAAGCTGTAATTTGTCTTAATATTAGACTGTACGGATGGGCATGAATTTTTTTTGAAAGGGTTATCCTGGAGGCCTGGGGTTCCTTTTACGTTTTCAGGAATGCTTCTGCTTTTTTATTGAGCAAGATGGAGTTTTGCTCTGCTACTTTTGAGTAGGGAACAAAGTATTTGTGCTTGCAACAGTGTCAAGCTGATCTTGCTCGCTATGATTCTTTTATGTACAATGTTTCTTCTTTGAAGTCTTTTGTGAGCCGCAGTGCTGCCTAAGTAACACCTTTAATGCTGTTTAATGCTTCTGCTTTCTGACACAATGGAGAAAATATGGCTTGTGTCATTTAACAAATGGTGGCAAGTGAAACCAGAGAGAAACAGGAATCCCTGGTATCCTTTTGTAATATACTCTATAAATGGGTGGCTTCTCTTGTTTGGATTCAGTGTATTGAAGAAGTAATTTAAGTATTTGAAGTCAGTGCTGTATCATTCCAGTAATGAGTTATCAGTCTGCATTCCTGTTTGCTCCCTGAAAAAAATGGACAAGTGAGGTAGCTTCACCTGCTTAAACCTAAATATGAAGTCAAGTATTTGTAGGTGTCACCAGAGAGTGTTTTACTGTGGTCTCCTTCATTACCTTTCTCATCTCTGCAAGTGAATATACACTGGGGAGCTTCTGAGCTGCCTAGGAGCTGATGTAGTGTCACTCAGCCCTGCGCTGTCAAAGCACTTACTCTTCTCTTCTCCTGAATAACTGTCAAGATTTCTGAAGTGCTTTGATTAGACTTCCAAGTGACCACGAGGTGGAGCCCAAATTCAGTGAACACAGGAGCTACTCAAACTGGAGAAGCTTTTGTTGAATATTAGGCTTTTTTGTTGTTTTCAAAAGTAACTTTCATACTTGAAGTAGTGCATCAGTGACCAGAAGGTGGAACTAGTCTCCTCTGCTGTTCATTTTAACAAACTATTCAGACAGTTTCTATAGCAGTTTATATATTACTGTTATTCAAAAGGTTAAGTGTATCTGAATCTTTGGTTTTACTTTTATATGAACCTTATATTCAACAGAAATATGGTCTTAATTGCTGAAACTGCTTCTTCATAAACTATTCCATTTTGTAGGATTTCTAAACTTGATAGACTATCTTTAAAGTGTTGTAAATCGCTCAAGTTGATATCAGTAGAAATCTATTGATAGATGGTTCTGTGGGAAGCTTAGTGATTCTGATCTGGACTCTGTTATATTCTGTCTTGGCTGAATTTTCTGTGCAGGCCTGTAGAGGTCTGAAAAATGTTTGGTATATCTTATATAACAGAAAAATGGTCCATGTCCATTTTGTAAATGACAACAGCCTGAAAATATGTGGGCATGTTTACTGACAGATTCTGTTTTGGGGCTGAGTTGGTTTGGAAGCAAACTTTTGTTGGTATTTTCATTAACCAATGAACTGAAAAACAGAACTTGTTAATTCTTACTAATCAAAACTCCATTGATTAAGCTACCTTTTGTAAAGTATGTAGAACATATTTTCAGATTACAGATGATAATTTGTCATAAATTTTGACACTTCTCTATAAATGAGGTTTGAAATAATAGTTGTTACTGTTATTATTTCAGAATCTTTCAGTGTGCCCAGAGGATGAATCAATCATCATGTCCTCTTTTGTAAACACTATGACTTCGTTAAGTGTGAAGCAAGGTAAGTCTATTCCTATGAACCTGGGGGAAAATGGTAACCAAATGAGATGTTCCTCTGGAAAGCTTCGCAGCTTTCTGTTTTGTGCAATCAGTAGTAGCAGATAAATGGCATAAACTCCACTGGTTTCCTTGTTTCTTTTCCATCATGGCATCTGCTTCTTGCTCTGTGTCCCTTTTCCTGGGCATATCTGTACAGATAAGGCTTCTGAAAACACTATTTGAAGAACACTAGCTTTAATTTAGGATATTATACATGTTCTTATTGAAATATGTCAGTTCCTCTTAGCGTGGTTGTGCTGGATTGAAATTATTAGGTAAAAGAGGTTCAATACCCACATAATTTTTTACTGATTTAGTGTTTCTGAATTGCTGTAGTTATTTCCTTGAGCTTTTATGTTCTGTGTTTTTCCTTCATTTTTCTTTCAGTTGAAGATGGAGAGGTATTTGACTTCAGGGGAATGAGATTAGATTGGTTTAGATTGCAGGTAAGACTTTGTATGTCTGCATGATATTTAACTTAAGCACATTTCGGTTTCAAGTTATTACTCACTGCTATTGCAAGTAGATGACAGGCTACATAAGGATATTCATCACAATTTAAAATCAAACAAATACACAAGATAATTTGCTGTGTTTTGATGTAACTTGGTTCTTACCTTTGCATCGCATACTTTTCACAAATAATTCTTGGGAGAATTTATAACAGTTTGGGAATGGAATGTGTTGAGGATGAGTACTTGGTTGGCAGCTGTGTGCTGTGCAGAGTATGATTCAGCCTGCTCAGCTAGGGGAAGATAGAGACTGTTCAGTGAGAGCTTGTTCAGTGAGATCACTTCTGTGTGCTGAGGTTACACTGTCTTCAGTTTACATAGTGAAAGGGGGAATACTGTTCAGACAATAAATTGTTTATCTCAATTTTAGATGGACAGTATGTTTCTATATATTTGAAATACACTTTCTTCCTCTTGTGTACCAAAACTTGTATATAAGAAGCACAGGGGCAGGTTGTCTAAACTTGATTCCACTAGTGTGCATACGTGTTTTGTCATTGCTTTCCTGCCTCAGTTCATCTGTGCCTTGCTGTCATACTCAAGATGTTTGGTGACTTTGCTGAAAGGCAGCTTGCTTTCCTTAAAATACAGTAGAAGTACAAACTGGTCTTTGTAAAGTCTTTAGAAACACTTATTCTTTGCATAGTGCAATAAGTGCCTAACCTTCGTATTGGGCAATAGCAATGAAATTTGCAAAAAAAGCAGCACTAGGTTTATTTTTTCTCTTGTTTCTGTCCAGGCCTACACCAGTGTCTCTAAAGCTTCTCTGGGACTGGCAGACCACAGGGAACTAGGCAAAATGATGAATACAATCATTTTCCACACAAAAATGGTAGATTCTTTAGTGGAGATGTTGGTTGAAACCTCAGATCTCTCTATATTTTGGTAAGTTACAAACCTGAGCATAGATTTTCTATAATTATTGTTTGATTTGTTCTTGCAAGTTCAAGTTTCAATTAATAAGCTTTGTAGGAGGATTCTTAGTGGGAGAATCAAATGAAATTCTGGTTAACTGTTATTTTTCTCCGAGATGGTTGGTGTTTTAGAGTTTGGGGTTTGTTAATTTGTACTTTCTTTGGTACTAACCTTAACATGAAGTTTGTATGCCTTTTTATTCCAGAGAACAGCAACACTCCTCAGAATTGCTTATTTGTGTAGGTAGTGTGGTCTAATGAGCTTCGATAGAGGATTGTGTGCACTGATTGTCCACTGAGTTTCTGCTCTGGAAAAGAAAAAGCAGTTGATTCCCTTTTCTTTCTTCTCCTGTTCCCAAACAGGAAGAGCCAGCCTTGCATTGCAACTTGTATAATGGTTTTTTGTAGTTTGCTTTTATTTTTATTTCTTTGTTTTTCTTTTTCTAAGTTTGTCAGCATTACATTGATTTGGAAAAAGTAAACGAATAATGTCTTGCTCTTGAAAAAAGCTCTGTGAGAACAGGATCAGGAAGCAGACAGATGGGAACCTTTCTCTGACTGTTTAAGGTCAAATAATTACATGTTTGCAGTGTCTGCCATAGTTGAAATAAATCATTGGAAGTCCCAATGTGAAAATACTGTCCTTTGAGAAGCTTTCTCAGTGATATTCTAGGTTCTTCTTTTTCAGTTTCAAATGGAGAAAATACAAACATTTTAGGGGCTAGATTTAATTGTGAAAGTCATCTTCATATGGTTGTGTTGAAAGGAGACTCATGTACTTTCTTTTTTTTTGCATGTGTTAAGGTATTTTTTTTTCTGAAGCTGGCTTAAAAAGAAGCAGCTATGGAATACATGTTGTCTTAGTGTTCACCAGAATTAGTTTGAAAGTATTTCTGAAGATCTGTCAGATTTTTCAAACAGCCACATAACTGATCTGGGGTCACTTGTGAATTCTTACACAAAGAAACACAAACTGTTGCAAAAGCTGCAAATTCTTGCAGTGCCTGTGTGTCAAACATCGGAATAAAAGGATATCATTATAAGAGATGTAAACAGAATGTGTCTTTGAAAACATTGTGCGATTTTTGATATCACATATTTTACAATGACGTACCTGGCATCAGCAGCACATTTGATTTGTGTAAGTAAACTTCCTTTGCAGCAGAGTTATGGGTGTATTCCATTAAATTGTCTATTTCTGATCAGTTTTTATAGCCGTGCTTTTGAGAAGATGTTTCAGCAGTGTTTGGAGCTTCCCTCTCAATCGAGATACTCAATTGCATTCCCACTACTTTGTACTCATTTTATGAGCTGCACCCACGAACTGTGCCCAGAAGAGGTAATTTTTCAATACATTGTCTTGGATATTGTCAGGTGTGGCTTAAAGTGGAAAGTAGTGGTGCTCAGGACTGCAAGGTATTTGTTGTAGCAGTGTAGGATTAGAGAAAGGAAAACGGTCAAAAAAGGGAAGTTCGAGTAAGGGAAGTTCAGCACCATTATTGAGCTCAGAATTGTTTTCTGAAGTATGATTATCTTTGCTCTGAAGAGAGATTGAGTTAAGGTACAGAGGTGAAATTACTTTTTGAGTCATTCAGGCTTGGGTGCTGATACAAGCTGTATGCCTGTTAAACTTGTAAGAAGCAGTTTTTCTTTCATTGTTCATAAACTTATAGTTCTAAAAGTGAAATAGCAAGTTGGGAATTCTTCATGGCTTCTTATACGCTTTTCCTTAGCAAGTCTTTAAAAAATGTAATCCTAAGTGATATATGGTATAATGTGAGCATTCATAGTGCTATATTTTCTTTTCTGGTTAGCAACAGAAATGCAAAATGTGGAGTGCTGCTTCCAAAAAATTGATTCTTTGTTAAAGCAAGTTTCATTCTGAGGAAATTTTTGGTATTTTTATGTAATGAAATAGATCCTTTAGTACATTGCCTGTATGCCCGTAGACTTTGGAATTACCCTGGGGGTTAGCGTGGCCAGCCTGGTGTAGTGCTTGTGAAAGTGTCTTTTCATTCTTAAATGTTAATATGAAATTATTAGATCTGTTAGACTATACGTAGTGTGAGTTTTTCCTTATTTATGTTAGGCAACTACGACAAAGTTTCCAGGAAAGCTTCCCTTCAGGACAGGAAATATCTTTCAGAACCATTCTAGTACCAGCTAGGAATCGGTGGCCGAAGTCTGCTATGTGCTTGTTGCTGTGAATTCAGCTGGAGCAAGCACGTTCTGCCACAGCCAACAGGAGTGTTATTTCAGCATATGAATTGCATCACTTAGTAGCTAGTATAGTTACGGTGAAATAATCCTCACTGTGTACTGTACCATGTGTGGTAGTGTGGCTGTTACAAAGTAAGCATTAGTGGTAAAAGAAGGATTTCATGAAGACAGAAGGCTGTATTTGTGCGGATCCTGTACAGAGGAACCAAGTCCAGAAATGTATGCAGCAGGGCTTTGTTACTTGACTTCTTTGAGGAAATGAATGACGCTGTGTGTGCTTTTGCTGGAGCTTAAGTTACATATTCTTTTTCTCTTCATTGATTTGTACCAATACTAACTGTGAGATTTGCAGAAACCTAGAGTATTGGATGCTTCAGATGTAGTTCAGAATTGAAGATGAAAATCTGCTTATAAAAACTTGTCTCCTTTGACGGAAATTTTTGCTTTTTTAATATATAACACACTATGTCAATGACTGAGAATTTCACAGTTCAGGGTGTCTCCGTTAACAAAATTATCATGGAGGATGAAAGGAGCTGAGTTTATTAAGGACTTATTAATGTGTTGTCACTTCAGTTCTGAGTGTGAATGAGCTGCAGAACAATGTATGCATTCTTTGAGAAGTGTGGAACTAAGAGGAAAGTGACGACAAACTTCTGTTTTTTAACAGCGACATCACATTGGAGATCGTAGCCTTTCCTTATGTAACATGTTTCTGGATGAAATGGCTAAGCAAGCTCGAAATCTTATCACAGATATTTGCACAGAACAATGTACGCTGAGTGATCAGGTGAGTATTTTTTTTGTCTCCTTCAATTCCATTTTGAGGCTTTCTAGTTAGTTTGACTTCGTGAAGTGTTATGGCTCTGTTTCCTTTTCACCTCTTTTCCTCTGACCTGAGGAATTTCTCTGTTTGTAAGTGGTAAGTGGTTTGAAGAAGACATTAAATTGTATTGTTAGTAATCAAAAGAGATGCTCTGTGTGTCATGAAGTCTCCACCTACATGTAAGCTTGTTTTTTATCTCATGGCTGCTGTGAAGTTGGATTTTAACTGTGGGGGGTGATTTCTTTCCCTCTACTAGTTGCTGCCAAAGCATTGTGCCAAAACCATCAGTCAAGCAGTGAACAAAAAATCGAAAAAACAGACGGGAAAGAAAGGAGAACCTGAAAGGGAGAAACCAGGAGTAGAAAGCATGAGAAAAAACAGATTGGTTGTGACAAAGTAAGCTGCCTCTCCTGTTCCTTTCACCGTGATTCCCAAGTCAAAACTTGTGATTTTTACTTCTTGCTTACATTCTTTCAATAAAAGTGACTGTAAATACAATAACTTCCTAGTTTGTGAGCATATGGTACTCATACCTTGTACAGAACTGAAATTTCTTACTTAAAGCAGTGGGAATGTATAACTCTTACTAATCACTGTGGCTGTTTCCTTTCTTGAGCAGAAAAGGTCTGTTCCTGTGCTCTAGTTAAGTTTCCTGTAGTCCTATCAACTGAGGAAGTGGGAGTCCCAAGGCATGGATGGCATTTTTTGGTTCTGCCTTGCTTAACACTGTTAGCTGGATAACGTACAGATTGGGCTGAAAGTTCATGCTGCTGAAAGTCAGTTTGCAGCCGTTATCTGCTGGGATGGGGAGGTTTTCTTATTCGTAGCTATAGGAAAACTGAAAACAGTAGCAAACTAGAAAAAAGACCCATTGGAAAGAGAGGGAGAGATGAATAAATCCAGCTTGAGATGTAAGAGGAGATAGGGGAGGAAAAGCAGCAAGGTAGGAAATAATTGCTAGGAAAAGATCATAGGGCAAGATTGTAGAGGTTGAAGGAGGAAGGGAGCTATGAGAGAGGACAAGAGGTGTTCATTGTTGTGTCTGGAAATGGCTAAATGCACACATGCTGCTTAGACAGAATTACAATTGCAACAACCAAGCATCAGAGCTGCAATTGTGTAAAGAAGCTGAGAGAGGAGAGCTGTAGCTGATCTTGAAGCATCTTCCTTCTGTGTATGCTTCCTATGATACTATGTTACATTAAATATATTTTTAATTTCTTATTGACTTCTTAAAGCCTGGACAAACTGCACACTGCACTTTCTGAGCTCTGCTTCTCAATCAATTACGTTCCAAACATGGTGGTTTGGGAGCACACGTTTACCCCAAGAGAATATTTAACGTCTCACCTGGAAATCCGCTTTACCAAGTAAGGAATAATGTAAAGATAAACGTATTCATAAACAAGATAAGTCGGTCTTGGTTTGATATTAGAAGTATTGGATGCTTACTACATAAGATTAGTTTTTAAAGGTAGATTGCAAGCTCTGAAGTTATTCTCACTGAAGTTACGCTTAACTTTGTGGAGACTTAAATATATTGAAATGAATATCATCTACTGAATAGCCTGATGCTGCATTCCTAGTCCTGTCTTTTTTGGTAGGAGTTGGTGATACCTATTTTTGGGCATTTATAATCTTGCTACAATTCTTTTGCACAGTATATGGCACTGTTCCAAGTATTTGGGTTTACTGGTCTGCTGAAAGGGAAATCTGAATATCAGAACTCAGTAGCAGACAAAGATAACAAAATTTAATTACTGTCATTCTTAAAGTAAAAAAAAAAAAAAAAAAAAGCTTTGTCACTTGCTATGCTCATCTGTTCTTACCTTTATCTTCACATCATTATTTCCAGAACGGTTATAATCTTAAATATTAAAATGATGAATGATGAACAGGTTTTTTTATCTGCATCTTTGCTTAATCCTTCTGAGAAAGGCATGTAATTCCTTTTGTTTTTAAAAGGTCAATCGTTGGAATGACTATGTATAATCAAGCAACACAGGAGATTGCAAAGCCTTCAGAACTGTTAACCAGTGTAAGAGCCTATATGACGGTCCTCCAGTCAATAGAAAACTATGTACAGATTGACATTACACGAGTATTTAACAATGTTCTGCTTCAGCAAACCCAGCATTTAGATAGTCATGGTGAGCCAACCATTACCAGTCTGTACACAAATTGGTAAGTAACTGTATGAACACTTGTTACAAGCTTTGGTTATCACTTCTATTTAATCAAAAAATCTAGCATTGGTGAACTGTTTTTTGAAATTCTTAAATTCCAGACTCCTTATGTTTACTGTTCTTGATTCCTGTTAAAAACACTTCAAACTGTAGAATAAGATGTAGATATCAGCTCAGCTGTGAAAGTAAAACTTAACGTATACAGGCTTTGCTGTTCCTTTATTACACAGGTGTACTGCATCTTTGTAGAGGTATCTACAAATGTATGTCTTCATCTTAAAACTTTTTCCCTTTCTGATAAGGTATTTGGAAACATTGCTAAGGCAAGTCAGCAATGGTCACATAGCCTATTTTCCAGCTATGAAGGCATTTGTGAATTTGCCAACAGAAAATGAATTAACATTTAATGCTGAGGAATACTCTGACATATCAGGTAAACTTTGCTCGATGTTCCTATTGAACATTTGTGAGGGATAAATGTTGCTTCAGTGATTGGAATTACAGTAACTCTTAAAGCATTTTATCTTAGACTGCTCTTGTTAACTTTCAGAGTATTTTCATTTATTTCTGCTGTCTCTGTGCCTCGAAGTAGCTCATTTTTCATTTTGTTTAAAAAAAAAATTAAAATGAGTATGGTGTGTCAGTGACTGCTTCAGTTCTGTTACAGTGCAAGTTCTCAAATCTGAAATGCAGTTTTGAGGTAAAAGAGTTTTGTAATTAAAACACTAATTGTTTATATGTTATGAGCATCAAATAACTGAGGAAGGAATGTTTGAAGAACAGTTTGTTTTATTTCTCAGAAATGAGAGCCCTGTCTGAACTCCTGGGACCATATGGCATGAAGTTCCTAAGTGAAAGTCTGATGTGGCACATTTCTTCCCAGGTTGCTGAGCTTAAGGTAATCCTGGGGAACTCGTGGGTGGAAAAAAAGGGTGGATTTGCCTTTCAGCTTCCTGTAGGATGTTTAATAGCTGTTTGTGCTATCCTTATGAGGTGACTGCATGACACAAATGGTAAAGCTGTACATTTGTACTTCATTGTGTATTACACTGGCATGTATAGTACATCTGCATACCACACTCTTCAGTAGCTGAGTGGACAGGACTTTATGCAGGCTCTGTTAATTTACTGTAATGAGTTTTCTGTAGCTACTTGTGTGCTGCTTTATTAAAAATGCACAGTCAGTACTTAGAAGAAACTTTCACTTTTTCTTCATTAGCCAGTATGAGCATACTAGGCCTTTAGAAGTATGGTTTTCTGCTACATCTCTAGTTACATCTTCAAACATCTTGTTCTATCTGTAAGCACTGAATTTTAGTGCTGCTGAGTTGCTTAGAACATGTGGAGCTCAAAAAGATGTGAAGCCTTTTATTGATTGAGAGGGGATGCTCATGTTGTCTACAAGATGCAGGTACCCTGTCCCAAGTGATCAATACTAAGCTGGATGAGCCTGTTGATTCTTTGTGCCCATTCCAGCTGTTGAGTTTTAGAATGAGACTTGCCAGGTGAGAAGGCAGTGAATTGAGGGTTAAATTTCGTCACTCTTGGCAATGCACAGTGACATGTGTCACGTTTCAAGTAAAACAGAAGGGCACTAGAGAGATGTTTTTTGGTTGCTTCTGCCTTTGTCCATTTGTTATTGTCCTACTTCCTTAAAATCAGTATATTTGTTATTGTAGCTCTGTGGTTTTTTAAAAAAACAACTTTAAATTGTTTCTGAGATTGTTTTCTGATACTGCTAAGGATAAGCAAAACATAAGGTGGATCCATGTGCACATGACCACATATTTGGAGGAAAAAAAGTAATAAAATGTTCATCTGCTTGGCTCAGATACGGTTGGCCTTGCAGAGAGCACTGAGAAACATCTGTGTTTGGGGATAAGAAGCACCAAGAGAATAGGAATGGGGAATTTATTAAGAGTAGGATTCAACATGCTTGCTTTTGGTTCCCGGACCAGGTGTTGGTTTTGTATCTGGAGTTAAAATGAGGGGGGGTAACAAGTTGGCCTCAGTTAACTGTGTGAACTGTATTCATGCCTGTCTCTTTTAAATCTTAAACCAATATGCTGGTTATTTTTGTGAAGCTGAGAGCCTGACTCAGGGGCAGCATGTGGGCTATTGCCTTTAATCTTGCATTCTGTAGAGCTTTGAGGAGTTTAAATTCAAATGTCATACATCTGCCAGATTCTGATACATCAAATGACTTAAAATTGCCCAGCTTGATTTCAATGTAAACTGGTGATCTATTTTGCTTTCTGGCTTTCAGCATAGGAATTTATTTTTTGGCTTTGTGTATACACTCTTGCAATCTCCTGGAAGTGGTTAGTTTGCTGCATCTTTTATAGCTTATTTCATAGGATTATAGAATTGCTTTTCTTCCCTTGCTTCTCAGTGAAAACAAGAAAATGGAAAGAAATATCCTAAACCATGCATTTATCATATTAACCTATCAGAATAGGTTATATAGCTATATAGGTAATATAGCTGACCTGAATCTTTGCTTCTCTTTAGAAACTTGTGGTGGAGAACGTTGAAGTTCTGACACAAATGAGGACCAGCTTCGACAAGCCAGACCAGATGGCAGCACTCTTCAAAAGATTATCATGTGGGTAACTAGCAAGGTCCTTACTAAACGTATAGAATTGTTTCTATCCTTATCTTTGTAAAGAACACCTTCAAAATGAATCTCTCTGTATAAAGTTGACTTTATACAGAGGATAAATTGGAATTGTAGAGTCAGAATGGTTTGGGTTGGAAAGGAACTTTAGTATCCTTTACTTCCAACCCCCTGCTATAGGCAGGGACACCTCCCACTAGACCAGATTGCTTACAGCCCCATCCAGCCTGGTCTTGAATGCTTCCAGGGAGGGGGCATTCACAGCCTCACTGGGCAGCCTGTTCCAGAATCTCACCACCCTCACAGTAAAGAGAGTGGTGAGATGTATGCTACTTTTTCTGGATGTGAAATGACTGCTACTTTTTCCATGTGTGAACTCATAAGCTGATGGACCTTTTCAAAATACTTCAGTCTTCTCTGCTACAGACAAAATGAGATTTCAGTACAGGTGTTATGTGATGAGCTTTTAGCATCATTTTTCATCAGGTCTGATAATATGCATCTGTAATAACAACAATAATCTGAGTGAATACATACATGTAAATAGGAAGTATCAATTTCTTGATACATATATTTCTTTGGGTTGAGTTGTTATATTATTTGAAAGGACTTTTACAATATAATTAGCTGTTACCTTTAACAAATAATAGTTACAGTGATGTTTTGGCCTCAAGAAACAGCTCTAGTGTTAGCATTGAATACCATTATCTGTTGTAAGAGGCTTCATTTGTGGAATGGCTTACAGGAAGTGTCTTCAGGAAATCTCATCATCAACTCAGATATAAAAAACCTGCTTAAGCTCATATTTATTTTGGCTCTTAAATGCCTATGTTTCAATATCATGCTATTGGCAGCATTTTGATTTTTTTGTTCTTGGTTTTATTTCTTTATTTCACATTTCTTGTTGAATTGAGCTTGTAAACGTGAGTAGGTTTTCGTTTACTGTTGTTCTTGTTTCTCTTCAGCTGTTGACAGTGTTTTGAAGAGAATGACAATTATCGGCGTCATCTTGTCTTTTCGGTCTTTGGCACAGGAGGCTCTTAGAGATGTAAGAAATAACTGAATGTTTTCTGAATAGTTTTTATTAAATTTAATAGAATAGGAAGGAATTCAGGCATAAAGTTTTGAAAAGGTTTACATGTGGTTAAAATAGTTAGAAGTGAACCTTGAATTGCAAGTTCTAGAAAAGCAGTACTTTTTGAGTACTGCTTAGAGAAATATTGCACTAAAACCATCAGTTTGTAGTTGCAGCATGCCTCTTGATGTTCTTAGTATTTAGTATGTTTTAAAGCCTGCTTTCAGTTTGTTTACCAACAGCTTGATTTTATTGGGCTTTAATTTCTGAAGTCCATAAACTAATTAATATGCGTAAAATGAGTCATTCAAAAAAACAAATGCAGTAAAATAATGCTATTGTCTAAGTGATGGTGAGCTTTGGAAATGTTTTGTCCTCATTTTGTGTTTGTGTCTCTTAGGTCTTATCCTACCACATTCCTTTCCTTGTAAGTTCCATTGAGGACTTCAAAGATCACATTCCAAGAGAGACTGACATGAAGGTAATGTGAGGCCCAAAGGGTAATAGAGTCATTTTTGGAGCTTACTGAAAATATGCAAGGGGCAAGACTTTCATTCTTTTTATGAAAAATGTTGTAACCAAAGAACAGTGTTTTTTTCCAAAGAGCTAAGTAATTATCCTTCTGCAGCCTTCATATGTTCTGAGGAAAAAAGACCGATGGAAGTGCACAAGTCTCTTTCTACCTATTTTTACATCTGAGAACTTTCACGGCAAGAATTAAAGAAAAAGGTTTATCAAGTGCTAAAATATGTCTAAGCAATAAAGGGAAGAATGCTGCTTTGCTTCATAGTATGTGCAGTGCAACTTGTGTAATTGAGTTTTTAAAAGATCGTGTGCATGGTTAGAGCTGTGTGCTTGTGATGTCTACAAGCCTGATTTTTGCCCTAAGTAGAAAATTCTTCCACACCTCATTTTAGACATGTTTGAGAAGAAGTGGTGCTGTGAATTAGATGCCTCACTTCTGGATGGTATTGTATTTTCATTCAGAACCCCTTGTCAGTGCATCACATGGCTTCTGGCCCTGGATGCACAGTAGCCGCAACCTAAATGTTTGTTGTTTTTTTTTTTAATCTTTTGTTCTAGCTTGGAGCCTCTGAAGGCTTGCAGATTCCTTAATAGTACTGTGGTGGTTCAGAAAATGTATAGTGGCTATATGTTGCACAGCTCTTCATTCACACATGTAGAAACAGCTTTTTGAAAACTGCTCTTGAGCCACATGGGTTTTTGGAGGGCTGCAATATGTTGTTATTCCTGAACTTGAAGTCTGTATTTTGCCATTGATTCTTGCTGCAAAATAGCTTAAGTGTTTGATGGATAATAAAAAATCCTTCTCCTTTCTAAGAAGTATATTACAAGAACAGTTAGAAGCCCTCTAAGGCAAACATCACTAGTTCAGAAAACACAGTTTAGCAGTCTGTCTGAAACTGTCTGAGGCTGTGTGACAAATGCACATACTGAAATCGCACATGCTTTCTGAAACTTCTGATGCCGATAAGCTGTTTGTAAGTGTTTGAGGTCCAGGAAACTCTGACATTTCTACCGCCACAGAAATCCTGTGGAAATGCTATGGAAAATATATTTCAAGGATGCTGGCTTACAATAATTACATTAAAATTATGCAAGTTGCCTTTGCTCTTAGCAAGAAAAGTCTTTTACCTTTCTAGAGAAAAATTCTCACCTGTGGTTGCAAAGAAAATGGTTGATCACCAGCATCATGTTCCATTATTGAATTTGAAGAATCAGCTTGTGGAAAAGATGAGCAGGAGTCGCTGCTATTGGCTTGTGCCTAATCTTTTCAGTTAGGCAGCTTATGACCTCTGGTGTCAAAACATTGCTGAGAAATTGGATGGAATAAAGGCTCCAACAGTAATAAATCCTTGAGGACAATCTTCTACCATTGACATCTTAAAGCTGATTATGTTATATCATCTTGAACATCTAAATGATCTGTAAGGCTATCACTAACCCATTTGTGTCAATAGATATGACAAAGCACAGTGTTTGCTGCTTCTGTTTTGCAAGTCCCTGCAGTAATTTGCAGTCTCTGGAATAACTGAGTGGCAGAAAAGCTGCCTTCTACTAAATGAAACTATACTGAGGACTATTCCCCAAATCATACACCACATAGCACCAGCTAGTTGCCCCTGCTTTGTGTACTGTTTAGCCTTTTCTGGGGCCCTCTATACTTCCCTTGTGATTCTCATGATGTACCTATTTTGTGTACTTTTTTTCTAGCTCAAAGTGTGTGAAATAATACAATGGCTGTGGTATGGTCTATGCTGCTGTTTGCATGGTATCAAGTTTAGATGTTGCATCTTGGTGTGGGCTGCTGATGTGTAGTCTTGTTTAAGAAGTCAGCACAAGTTTGCAAGGGTGATGTTGGCGGACTGTGAGTGCAGAAGAAGCCAAACCTGTGTAGTCCTTTCTGTAGTGCCTTCTGGGAATACTGGGAACTTTGGCATATACTACCCCAGAACTTTGCCAGAGCTTTGTCTTGGAAACAGCTTGTTGATGTGGCGAGAGCTAGGAGCCTGCTAACAATTAAGCCCTGAAGACAGTCAGCAGTTCCTTGTTTCAACTTTCTCCCCAGTCTTGTCATGTACAGAACTTACAAGTCTCTGTTCAACAGATGAGGAAATTGCATATTTTAGGATACAGTAACATAATAATATTCTGTATACTGAACTTGCTGTAGGAAATAGCTTTAATTCATTAATGAAACATATATTTGATATGAAATATTATTTTGGTAGCCCTAGAACTTGAAATTTGGGAAGACTGATAGAATGAAGAAAATGAAGATTTGTTTTCCCTTTATTTTTAGTGTCAAGTTAATGCAATATTTCTGTTAGAGTCAGGCTTACACTTGATCCAGTATTAATAGTTAACTCACTTGTTGTGAAGCAGCCCCCATCTCTGTAATTCTTTGAATGCAGCTCTGTACTCAAGCTGTTGTGTCTGCTGACAACAAAGCACCATGCAGACAAACCAGTGTCCTTACTGTATCAGGGTTTGCCCTCAGGTAGCTGAGCTGGACCACCTAAGTAAGCACAGTGCCACCACCTGCAGCTGGCCAACTCTGCGGGAGTTTGAGAGAGCTGTTGTGTGTAAGACACATCACCAGCATTTCCATGGGCTCCTTTGGTACAAGCCTACTTTTGAAGGTGTAATTCAAATGAATCTCTCCAAGTGTTTAATTCCACATGTAAATTAGTGAAAGAAAGAAATACAGCATTACATTGGCAACAGTATAAAATGTAGCCTGAGCCAGGCTTGAAAATGGATTATATTCTTAGCTCCTCCAAGTGTTGGGATCACTTACAGTGTAACTCTTGGCATCTGGAATCACTGGACACTGAATCTGTATCAAATTTGTATGTTGTAAGATGCCTGCCTTTCTCTGATACTTTGTTAGCTTGTGACTTGTGGCTTTTGTCTAAAAACGCAGTATTTGTGGATGCTGGTTGTCTCTGGTGGAGACCATGTGTTAGTTTTTTCTTGTTGAACAGAAAAAAGAAGCAGAAATGGCTAATTGAAAGTCAGGATGTTTGCTTTGGAGAAAAGTATACAAGCTTTGTTTGGTTTGAGAGAAAGAAATGATAATTGAGCACACAAAGTACTGACCAGTCTGCTCAGAGTAAGTTAGAGGTGGGGAAAAGACAAAAGAGTAAAATCTAGAGGTTCTTTATCTAGTTCCAGCAAGTCTCTAAAGTACCTTAATGCCTCAAACTAATATAAACATTTTAAACTTGTCAGCATAACTGTGCTTCATCAAGTTTACACAAAAGCATTCCGTTATCTTGAAATTGCCTTTCTTCTGATCCTCAGGTGGCAATGAATGTATATGAACTGTCATCAGCTGCTGGATTGCCTTGCGAGATTGATCCTGCCTTGGTTGTAGCACTGTCCTCCCAAAAATCAGGTAAGAATTTACAATTTAAAAAATGTAATGAAAAGAATCGTTAGCAAAAAACTAAGTCCCCCAAGGCATGGGTATGTTTTAAGTATTGGTAGAAGGCTTATATATCTCAGATCCTTTGTATCCCTTTGAACTTCATAAATTGCCTGCAGAACGCAAATGCTTTGTGCAGACTGCTCAGAATATACAGATGAGCATCTTGAGAATCTTTTCAACTGCATATAAATTGTTTTCTTGACCTAGGAAAGGATAATGGGTAGATGCTGAAGGAGGCTAATGGTTAAAAACTGCTGTACTTTAAGGACATTGGAAATAGGATTCTGTTGTGAACAGCTGTAGACGGGATCAGTTCTGTTGCACAGATCTGTAACAAATCTGTGTAATTAAATTAGACATTAGAAGCTGAAATGCCAGCTGAATGCATTTGATGAATTTCACAACACTGTTACTGATTTGTAATACAGATGCTAACATGCAGTTTACAAGGGGAAACATGTAAACCAAATATACTGATGCCCTCACACGTGTAGCACTTCCTGGCACTTTAATGCACCTCTGTTGAAGCTTTTCAGTTTTGTTTACCCTGGCAGTTTTGAAGGCATGAATTAAATTTAAGTGCTTCTGACAGTCTTAAGTCTTCCTGTCCCTGGAAGTGTTCAAGGCCAGGTTGGATGGGGACCTGGCAACCTGATGTAGTACAGGATCTAGTAGTTGGCGGCCTTGTCTGGGGCAGGAGGTTGGAACTTGATGATCCTTGAGGTCCCTTCCAACCCAAGCCATTCTGTGATTTCTACTGAGCATTTTATGCCTTTTTTTTTTTCCCTGTGTGTAATGGGTAGTTAAAGTTATAATGAGATTGTAACTGTTGTAGATGTTAACCTGCTCCTTTTTTGTTGCTTTAATACTAGCTATTTGGCAAGAGAAAATATACATAATTTCAAGGGGCAGTTCAGTATTAAAACTTAGATGTATCAAGCAGAGTATATTTGTATTTGTAAAATACAAATGTGTATTTGTTTATATGTACTGTGTGTTGATACACATAGTTGTTTATTGTTTATTAAGACAGCTAGTATCTGCGATGGCATTTTAAATAGTTTTTGTTGAGGTGCAGCTATGAAGTGTTTAAGCTGTGTGAACAGGGCAGAGAATTTCTGTATGTTTTCATGACTGGCTTTGATGTGGTATTAAAAGGCTTATTTTTGTTTTCAGAAAACATTAGTCCAGAAGAAGAATACAAAATTGCTTGCCTTCTCATGGTCTTCGTGGCAGTCTCCTTGCCGACTTTGGCTAGTAATGTGATGTCTCAGTATAGCCCTGCCATTGAAGGTAAATGTCAGCAAAATGTTTGCCCTGAATGCTTTCTTCATAATAGACCTGGGAGTTTTTTTAATAGTTCTGTTTCTAACAGAACAAAAGTTAGAAAAGATCCAGAATAGGTTTTTTGAGAATTACTTCATAAAGCATTTACTTAACTCTTTTGAGATGACTTCCAATAAAGGAATCTTTTGCTTGAGATTTTGAGAGCAGTTCATTTGCTGCAGGGGGCAGTGTCGTACTAGTGTGTGGAATTGGTAGAGAGCATATTCTGTGTTAATTAGGGCACAGTGTTTCAGTAATGGCTTTATTGGCCTTTGTGCTACTCATACATAGTAGCTTTTCTGTTCTTAATATGCTATTCATGTTACTAACCATAAACTTTTGAAGATGGAATCCAGAAGGTATGAGCTGTGAACAGAACTGAAACCTACAGAATAGTTCAGCTTAGAGAGAGTACTTTGCCTCAAGGAAATTCTTTGCTTGTAATCCACCAAAAAAAAGATTCTTTCAGACAAAATTAAGTTGAAAAAGAATGACTGAGAAAACTGTTCCAATGCACACAAGAGTCACCTTTCAACTGTTCAAGCTATTTTTATTATGTTGTGTAGCTTGCATAAAGGACTGTTTATTCTGCAAGCATTTACCAGCTACCGAGAGAGATTCTTTTTCTATTTTCTAAGTTGATTTGTTTTTAATCAGGTCAGATTTAACTTGCACAGTGTCTGACGTGACTTCTGAACATTTAAAGTACCAGGAAAAGACCAAAAATTCTGATAGTCTTCTATGTCATTTAGTGAGCGTGTGGTATGCAAATCTCTTTTTCTTTTACCAAAGATCTTCCCTTTCTAAGATTGCTGTTTTAAGTGAAGTTAATAATTTTGTACTACGTGTTTGAATTATCCTTCTTGATAGGGAAACATCTTCAATTTTAAAAGATCAGGGGTTTGTTAACTCTAATTTTAAACAGATTGTGTAGCCCTTTGCCTGTTGTGAAAAAGTTGGATAAATCTCTGATGTAATGAGTAGAATTTGAACATTGATTTGAAAGGTCAAGTATTTGAGGCTAAAACAGCTTGTTCTGATGAACAGTGAGAACAATTTGTATCCCACAGGGTTGTTTTGTGTTATCTGCGCTCTGTTTCTGCTGCTCTGTTTTTTCAGTCATGATGGCTGAATGAAGAACTCGGAATACGTTGAAGAGTATGAAGGACTGAAATGATTGATGGGGGCAGGCAGAGACACTTGCTTGTGAGAGGACAGTTAGGCTCGTTCTCCAAATGTCATCCAAAATGAACTTGCTTATACCCTTTGAGAGGATAGATAACTGGAGGACGAGGGGAAATGGTTTTAAGTTGAGGGAGGGAAGATTTAGGTTGGACGTCAGGGGGAAGTTCTTTACAGAGAGAGTGGTGAGGTGCTGCCCAGAAAGGTTGTGGATGCCCCATCCCTGGAAGTGTTCAAGGCCAGAGTGGATGGGGCCCTGGGCGGCTTGGTCTAGCATTAAATGAGGAGGTTGGTGGCCCTGCATGTGGCAGGGGTTTGGAGATTCATGATCCTTGAGGTCCCTTCCAACCCTGGCAATTCTGTGATTCTGTGTGATTCTGTGATATGTATTCAAGGCCACTTCTCCTAAGTATTTATTTTTGTAGATTCATAAAAAGAGATCAACTGGAAGCACTTTCCAATACCAATTTTTTTCCTTTAATAGCCTCTTACCCGCTGTGGTCTCAAAATGTATACTACTTGCCACAGGGACTGTAGCACAGGTTTTTAATGGTGGTTATATTTGCTTATTAATGAATAAGGTATGTCTATGAGATGCACCTACCTTTCTGAGTACTTCTTCCTATGAACCCGAGTCAGGCGAGCGAGATGTTGCTGCTCCCAGATTTTCTCTAGCAGGTTGGAGCTCGTGCAGTTCACCTCCCCCAAGCTCCCCTCTCTTCCAAGGATCTTCTTTGTCCTCAGGCTGCTGGCAGTCTGAAACAATAGAGGAGGATTATCTTCTGTCTGTTTGATATGATGCAGCCAAAATATTTCAGTTTCTATCATTTAATTCAGTAACTCTTAACCTGAAGTCAGGCAAAGCCTCTTTCATAAGTGGTTTCTTAAGTTAATAAGATCTCATAAAACTGTGACTGGAGAGGAATTGCATCTAGAACTCAAGCCTGTATTAGGAGTTGCTACTGATTTTATGAGATTTGGTCTCTGTATTATGGAATTCTTTACTGTGTGGACTCTTTTTTTATTAAGAGGAAAGGAGTCTGGCAAAAGGAATATATAAAATATGTTCACTCTACAAAAATAACAAACAGAATAGACCTTGTCAGTTCTGCCTTAGCTGTGTATTATTTTTTTCTGTTCTGTCCCTTACTGTAGAACATCTGACTTGAGACACTTAATATAGATGCTATTTCCAGAATGAGAACTCAATAAATGCTGCTTTTTATGAAGTAAATTCCCTGGCTAAATCCTGAATTTTACCATCAACAGGTCACAGTTTTGAAGGAGTTTCAGCTTTCTAATCTGGCAAGAAATTTGTCCCAAATACAGACAGTTCTTGGACAGCTTCAGCAACGTCTGTGCTCCCTCTGCCTTCTTCAAGATCAAGGCAGTTTCTTCCACTAGTTTCAGATACAGACTTGGGCTCTAACAGACTTTTCTTTTTGCTTGATGTTTGTTCCCACTAAGAAATCTGAACTTAGTCATTTTCCAGAACAGAGCACTAGTTTGTGTCTAGAGACTAGACTAGAATAGCAGGCTACAGAGACCAGGCCTGTCCTGAAAGCGTGAAACCTGCCACGTGTTGGAAGGCTGCAGCTTCTCAGTTGAATTCCCCTCGCTGAGTCTTTGACAGAGAAATCAAGTCATTTGAGAAACAAGCATAATTTTAAATGGGCAGCATTAAGCAGAGCAGACATTCTTGACTGATGCTGACAGGAAGCAGCTATCTATTTATTTCCTTTTGGATTAGCATATTTATGCAGCAGTTTTTAATAAAAAAAAAAAAAAGAACAGCAGTGGTAGCTCATGGCTGGCTGGGGTAAGGGCATGCTGGTGGAGATTTATGATTCTATGACCTACTGATGAGCATGTTCATAGGCTTCTGGAAAAGTGGTGAAAGACCAGGTAGCAGATTTCAAATTCTATGAAGTTCTGGAAGCATGAAGAGCTGCAGATAGATACTGTGACACTGAGTAGGCTGTACACAAAGTGCCAAGTGAAAACCATTGTAAATGAATACAGTGATTTGTGCGTGGAAGAAGAAATAATTTTTTCTCACATGAAGTGATGGAGTTTAGCTGACCTCACTTCTCAGGTGTCATCTTGTAATGAAAAAAAAAAGAGCTCAATTATCAGCAATGGTCAGAAAACAGGTGTAACCTGTCAGCATTGTTTGCAAACATCCATACTTGTTAACTCCTTCAAAGACCTTTTCCTTTTCATAGGTTGCAGTTTCCCAAGGTTTTTATTTAGGTCTCTGTTCATCTAGTTCTAATGTGCTGTACTGGGCTAAGTTGCCCAAAGAAATAGCAGGCTTGCTGATGAGCAGTTCTTGTTTTTCATCTATAGCTCTTCTTGAAAACTGGTGTCATCCAATCACCTTCCAGCCACCTGAAGCCTAGGTGAATCTTGGCAAGATAGTTACATGCAGCCATTAGAAATTCACTACTACTATTCTTGAGGTCCTGCAGATCTCTTGGGGGAACGCCATCCAAGCCTGCTGATTTGTTCGTGTACGAAAAGGGAAGAAAAACAGTGAGTCAGGCTGATCAAGTCTTTTCTTACACAGAATATTTTGTCAAGTGGTGATGCCATCAAATTTTGTAGTAGAGTACGGCATTTGGAGGGAGATCTGTACTTCTGGTTGCTCTGATGATAACAAGTTTGTGTGAAAGAGCACTTTGCTCATTGTTTAAGATGGTGAAACTTGCTCTTTCACTGTGATGAGTATGCTTACTCTTTGATAATGTTTTGGAAAATATTATCAATTTCAAACACAGTGCTGAGGTATTCTGTGTATGTTTTTGTTTAGGGCATTGCAACAACATTCATTGCTTGGCAAAAGCTATCAACCAGATTGCTGCAGCTTTATTTACCATCCACAAGGGAAGCATCGAAGACCGTCTAAAAGAATTTTTGGCTGTATGTATGATTGAATTTATAAAATTAGCTTTTTTCAGTATAATCCTCTGTGTATTAATTAGTATTTTAGCACCTACCATCTCTTGTACAGTCTATGAGTAGAAAAAGACGTGTAGTGCATATGAAGTCATGATTCTGTCTAGCAAACTCTTCTCTTGATGTACTGGACTCTCTTAAATGATTTTACCTTTTCAGGGAAGGTGCCTTAGGAGTGACTCTTTGACTGGTACCCTTTGTCTTGTCTGCCCTCCTTACACAGGAGATAGCTGCACAGTACAAGGATATTTGTACAAGTACAGTACAAGGATATTTGGGAAGAGATGTTTTTATGCTTTAGAGTAGACTGAAGATCAAAGCTGCTGGAATCCTCACTGATGCTTCAAAAGAAGTCAGAAGCCTTTAGGTCCTGAAGATGTGTTTTAAATTCATTTTGGAGTAGAAATAGAGTTTTTTTTAAATTGCTCTTGATTACTGACTACTTAAAGGGAAACTAAAGGCTAACATGGTGATTTGATTTTTTTTTTAAAGGATACTAATGTGAGTGATTCTTCCTTTTTGATGCATATATGTGAAATGAAAAAACGCACACACCCTGCTTCTTACCTTCCTCAGTTATGAGGGTTGGGTAATGGTCAGTTTATGTAAGGAAAAGTCCACAGAAGCAATCGTTTTGTTTTGTTTTAATCCTTAGAGGCTTTTTCCCTTCTGGAAGCTCATTGCATTTTGTTAAACTGAGAAAGCCTTTAGCCGTTGACCTTGTCTAATGCAACTGCTGGCTGTAAGAGATGAAAGAGAGGTGGTTGCGTCAAGTTGCATACATTTGACAAGTGAAGGAAACCAGTTTAGTTTCATGTGACAAAAGCACTTTTGGTATGAGGTTTGCATTTTTGCAGTGTTTATGAACTGATTTCAGACCACTGCTTTTACTGTGCAGACTGTGACTTGATGGTTCAGATATTTTGCTAATCTATCTTTAAAGGCACCTTTTATTTGTCACTTACTGTCAGTCTGGAAGGAAAGCATCTCCTGAGGAGAAAATATGCTGCTGGAGATGATCTGCTTTCCTGTCAAAGTTAATTAAAGACGGAAAATACTCACTGGGTTATTCAGTACTGATGAGTATGTGCGAAGATTCTTTTGAAGTGTGTACATTCACTTTACATTACAAATTAATTTGCAGAAATTGCTTCAAGAGGAATACTGAGATAGGGTTTTTAAAGTTAATATTTTAAATTAAAATCCCGTTATGGTAAATGTTGCTTAATTATATTGCTGTTGCTTGATGGGAGTGCACAATCGTTTGTACACCTGACAGCTGAAAAGAGGTGGGTCTTTTTGTTGGTGTTGCTCTTGGATTGGATTTTTTTGTATTTTTGTGAGGTATGGGCTACACACTCATCTGCACATCAAGTATTTTATTGTATTCTGTCATCTTGCGTGCCTATGCATACATGTAAGTTTCTGGGATATCTATTTTTTAGGCTATCTTTTAAAACTAGTAATGGAAGGCTGCTCATAGTCTAATAAAATATAATAAATTCGCGATTAGGATGACTTCTTAAATTAAATATATAGTTTTGGAAGTGATTTCCTTCTACAGCGAAATGGGTATAATATCAATCAGTGAAAACTTTAAATTGTAATGCAGTAAGTTTATATGCTTACTGGGAAAGACCGAAAAAGTGAGATCTTGATCCCAAGGGAGCTCTCACTGACTTTAGTAGACTTGTCAACTTGCAGTCAACTTACCTACTTTGATTATCTGCTTTGATGAACAGAAGTTCTTCACAGTAAACGAAATGGCTTTTTGACTAAAATAGCACGTACTGCTTATTAAACACTGCTAGATGTAAACAGAAAGTGAGAGCAAAGCCCAGCTAGCATCAGCACTGCTTTGTGGTTGCAAGTTCAATGCTGTCACTACTGAATGGGCTATTGATGTCTTCAGAAATGTGTTGAGTGAAAGAGAAGCTGATCTGTGCTTTTATTTCTTCATTGCTTTGAAATATTCATTTTATGTAGCTTGCATCATCTAGTCTACTGAAGATCGGCCAGGAGACAGACAAAACTACTACAAGAAACAGAGAGTCTGTTTACCTACTACTGGACATGGTAAGCTTTGTCTGTTTTATTGGTGTAACTAACTAAAGGAATAGGATCGACATCACGCTGTTCACACCTTTGGTGTTGTAGTTCATCAGCCAGTGGCAATAATTTTTTATGTCACTCTTAATCATACTCTAACATCAGTAATTTATTTCTTTTATTCCCCCAGCACCAGCACATTGTCATTTGTTGCCATTGTACATGGTTTTGTATTGTTCAGACAATTTGCTTTGTTGTACAATATTAAAACAATTTACATCAAAGAAGTGCTGTTCAGAATATGTGAGAGGAGATCATCTTTGCTCAGAGACATTTTTCCTTTACTACAGTGTCTATTTTGAAAATGAAAGGAATGCAATATGATCTTATACGTAGACATATGAAAGCTATAAGACTAGTTTGGAGAGGCACTGAAATTATAGCAATTTTTTTCTTTCCTGTCTCTCCCCAACCTCGTAATAATCCTTCTTGCTATGAAAGGTGGTGGTGGTGGTGGTGGCATAGTGCAGAGCAGAGATACCTGCATGGGACAGGGTATGAGCAACAAGTGGTAGAAGGTGTTGTGCACAACCTTACATTTCTGCTGTTTGTCAGATTGTGCAGGAGTCCCCATTCCTGACGATGGATCTCCTGGAATCTTGTTTCCCTTACGTCTTGCTGAGAAATGCGTACCATGCTGTCTACAAACAAAGCATCACATCCTCTGCCTAAGTATCTACTTCCTGGAGATAAGACATAGCACGCATCTATGTGGCCTCAGTTTTACCTGTCAACTGTGGAGCTATTTTACTTTATGGCCTGATGAACAGTTTTGTGGATTATAAACTTTTTCCATAAAGTTGTATTTCTGATCAGTGGTTTCTTAATATGGTTGTACTACAATATCGGCTTGGTTGATTTTAGGTTGCACATTCATGGAAAATCTTTTTTTCTCCTTTCTTCCTTTTTTTTAATTTTAGAGCATCAGTTACGTTTAAAAATATACTACTTCTGCTATATGTTTTTGATATTGATCACGCAGAACAGAAATTGCTTGTTTATTTCCCAGAAGAGAAATGTATTTAGTGATTATTTTAGTGTAGCTTTCATCTGTGTGTAAATTATTTCATATAGGGAGAGTTATAATCTTGTACCTATTGTTCTTATTGAAAACAAATATTGGATGTGCATTTCTGTGAAGTAATTACAGCATTTCTAGTTTTATTTTGAAACATTCACCAATCTATGTACTATGACACTATCTAACATTAAAAATGTTATCCTTCAGACAGCGATCCTTTCCCGATACTCTTAAACAACAGCAAGTGGTGTTGTTTGTATAAAGCATAGTGGAAATTTTTTTTTAAACTAACTTCTGTGGTGCCCTGTTGGCATTAACACTACCATTGTACCCTGCTGTATAATAAACATTCTTACACATTTATCACATGTTGATAAAATGTTAGCCCTTAACCACTTTTTATATGTTTTAAATTTTTGAAATTCAAGTGTACCTTCCATAACATACAATAAACACTAGACTGTACTATCTGTAGGTGAATTATTTTTAATATAAATGTTATCCTAGTATTTTAAGCTTAAACTGTGCCGTGGTGCATTGATTTACATCTCAGAGTTCATTAAATATCAATCCTTAGAGCTTTTATGTGAAGATTTCTTTCTGTCATCCACCTTTTGGCTTACGTGACAGTGATTCTTGTAAAAAGTGGAAGAAGGAATTAAAGCCAGTGTAAAAAGTGTCAGCTTACTGCCATTAGCCTTTAAATCTAACTTGGAGATAATAAAATGAGAAAAGCATTTATAGAGTGCACAGTGGCGCCAGTTATGCCAGTGGGGAGAAGTTAGAATGTAAAACTTGAAATAACTGTAGAACAGGAGAACCATAACATCAGACATCACTGAGACAGATGTGTAATGAGCCTCCTTTTATCAGTGGTGCTCGTTGGCATGCAGGAGAGCACTGGCTCACTTTGCCTGAAAGCTGACCAGATGGTTGTGCTCTGTAATCCGCGGCGTGGAAAGAGATGTGGTGCTCTGGACATTGTATGAAGCTCTTGTTCTTCATGCACACTGCGCACACTGGTAACTTTTTTTTATTATGAAAGAGCTGTTTTGTGCTCCTTTACAATAGCTTCCTGTGTCCAGAGGAAAAAGAAGGTACTGCAGTATTTCCTTAGGACAATTTTATTCCAGTACATCTGTATTTTTCCCAATGTTGCTTTTTGTGTTAGAACTACAGAACTGTTCTTAAGCTGATAGTTTAGTAACATAACACATAAACTTGTTCATGAAGAAGTCAGGTCACATGTGAGACTTAAGAGTGTAATTCTGTATTATTTGAAACCAGATATGTTCAGGTATCTTACTCCTAATTAAGGCTTTGATTGTAATTTGGCCTTTTGTGGAAAAAATTACTTTCAAGATTGACTTGTGAAAAATTCAAGTAATTTGTGGATTAAGAAATAACCTTTTTTTGTCTTTCATCTTTGTAAGTTCAAAGGAATTGTGATTGGTCATTTATCATGATCCCTGTCAGCTTTCCACGGTGTGAGGTTATACTGAAGTAATCCTAGAAAATGAGTAATGGATAACAAGGGCAGCATCTCTCTGTGAAGAAACCACTCTGAACAGTCAGATGCCTGAGATGGCTCTGGGTGTCCTACCTGCAAAGGCTCAGAGCAAGCTCAGAACCAAACTGAAAGCAAGGAAATTCAGCAAGGGAGATTTGGACTCAGCCACCAGCGTTTTGGGTTTTGAAGATGTGTGAGGTTTGCTGTCTTCTAGGGGCAGGGGTTCTTTGTTCCTTTGTTCCTACTGTATTGCTACTATTTCTAGTTTTAGCTGAGACACCACAGAATCTGCTTATTGAACGCAGAACACATTGACCACAGGCCTCAAGACAATTGGTGTCCATGCACAGACAGCAATATGCCTGTTGAACCAAGATTGCGGGGGAAGAAGGCAGAGGAAGAATGCTTCCTCTGCAGCCAGCAGCACCACATCCTCCACGGCTTTGTAAGTGATGCTGTATATGTTGAGTCACCTCAGGTGGCATTTGCACAAGTGCTTCTGATTCCTGAAACATGAAGCAGGCATAGCTGAGCTGGTCCCATATGGAGCCTCTTTGAATCAGATTCCTCATTTGTGGGGAGAGGGCTCTCCATCATGCAGGACAGAGTGTGAAAGAATAGTGTCCTGTGACTGCCTAGAAAGCTACTTTTTGGTTAAAAAAAAAAAAGATCATCAAAGTAAATGACTGCTGTTAAACCTTTTTGTCTGTAGCAGTTCCTTTTCTAAAAAGGAAGAGGAATTGATAGTCACACTAATACTCAGAACTTATCTTCTCTGATGCACTGGAGAACCTCAGAAAATGTTGACGGGAGGTCAGTGATTGGAGGAAAGATAGGAGCTTTCTTCAGCAGGTCATCATGGACTTGTTATGGGACTTAATAAATGATTTATTTCAGATTCAAGAATTCCTGAAGCCCTTAATGCTAAACTGTTTTTGCCAAAAGCTTCCCAGATACATCGGATACAGCACAGACTTGTGCAAGAGTGTTCAGTGTACACAGAACTACTACAGATTCTCTAAGTACAGTTATAGTCAAACTAATGTTGGAACATTTTTCAGTGAATGTGTTGAGCTGAACCAAACTCAAAATGAGGCTTACAGGTGTTGCAAATTATTCTGTTAAATCAGTGATCTATTTCTTTATTTCAGATACAGGCTTCAGAACTTAACTCCATAGTGTGTTCTGGATCCTATAGAAGATGTTGTAGATGTATTCATTACTAAACATGGCTGGTAAATTAGGGATTGAAAGAAGATAGGGGTTTTGGTGCTTTTGGTGAATCTCGAACCACAGTCGCGGCCTGTGCAAAGTAAGGCAGCTGAACTGGCAGCCACCCATGTTTGGTTGGTTTTGTGGATCAGAGCAGCTATTTTCAGGATTGCCAAATAACCAATTTTCAGGAATACTTTTTTTTTTTCCTTTTAAGTAAAACTCAGAATCTTTTTTTTTTATACTTACCGAGTTTTCCTTGGAGTTGACAAATGTTTTTTGGTAGAACGCAATGCTCCCTAAGTGCTTTTGCTATTTTTTTGTTATGTTCTATTGTCTATAAACATTTTCACTGAAACATAACAAAATGTACCACCAGCACCCAGGCCTATGTCCAAAACCATACCTAATTAGCTATTAGTCATGCTGTTCCTAGTGCTATTAGGTTAAAATGACCCATTGACTGGCTATGGTGTCAGTGCATCTTGCATAACTTCTTAATTGGAAATGCTTGTATTAAATTCCAAATCAAAAGCGTATGTTGAGCCTAGCGTGCAGCAGGGGGATTTGTGTATCTCCTTCTGTTGAATAAATTGAGTTGTATTGTACTGCACTTGCATAAAAAAAAGTGTACTGACACCCATGTGTAAAGATAAGACTTGCAAATCCACTACAGCATTTAAGAGCCTAATGCTAGTAAATCCAGTTCACAGTCTATTAGCAATGTAGCTTAGGACATTGGTGGTGGTCACATGAAGTTACGACCTGAAGATGAAGGCAGTAAACCTCTGCTTTTTCCTCTTTGCCCTTCTCTATAATGCAGTCATTGTAGGGCCTTTGTGTTTGGCTAAATTTAACTTAATGGGCAGGTATGCAGAGAGCTCTATTATTTGTAAATATCAAATGAGAATCTCTTCAGTAGCAGGGATGCAACAGTAACTTTGTGTGGACAGCCACAGAGAGGAAAGAATGAAACTTAGGGAATGCACTGTGAATGTATCTGATGATATGAAAAGGGAGGTAGAATGGGAAATCAAAACTGTGAGCGCAGTGCTTAGAGCTGGGGACAGTTGGGAATCTGAGTCCATTTCATAACTGAGTTCTGCATCTGATACTTATTAAGAATTAATTCCAGATTGTATCTCATAGCCCCCACAGTTGGATTTAAAACCTCCACAGAGACATCTGTGTTCCACTCCACAAGCAAAGCAGCAAATTCACGTAGGTATAGAATCATTTGTAAAGTACATGTAAAATGTCAAGATGTCTTTGTGTGATGTATAGTAAGGACCAGGCCAGCAAAACTGGATGGGAACATCTCTCTTTGTTACACTGGCGCCATAGAGGCTCAGTGCTGTTAGTTCCATTTATGTCTTTGAGGTGGAAGACAGCAGGAGTGATGTTTAGCAACAGTGCTATATTGAGATTGGGTAAGCACAAGGGTTTATTGTCTTGGATAGCAAAGCCCTTCAGAAGGCAAAGCAGCAGCTTTTAGAATGGACCGAGCCTGTGACACTTGCTTTAAAAATAACTTCATTCAGAAAATAATCACCCTACTATTCTCCTACAGGCTTTTTGTTTGAATGCTGAGATTGTATTTATGAGCTGTTATATGATAGAAGTTCAGAGGGAGACCATAATGATCAGACTAGAATGTGTTTGGATTTTATCCCATAATACTGGTTTGCTGGCTCATTACTGGTAAGGTGAGGAGTCAAAGTTCCTGAGCTCTCAAGCATCCCTCCAGCTGCTGGAGGTTGGCATGGCACACTCCTGTGGTGGTGGTGGCTGGGTGACGGGTAGCCCAGACCTTAAGTGCCTTTCAGGAAGGATTATTTCCTGTCAGCATCACCTCAGAGCTTCTCAAATTCCCAGTGATGCAGAAGATCCAAGCAGCAAAGAAGCTGCATAGTGATCTTGTTATTTTGCAGCTAGGTGGTGATGATGGGGAAGAGTACGGATGGAGCCTCTGGCATAATATTGAGGTACGTGGACCTCATCTTTTAAGTCTATGAGCTGGTAAGTTTGTAGTGAGCACCTAAATAACATTAAGGCAGTGATAACCTCCTAAGAGCATTGTAAATCCATCGTATTGTCTGTCTGGGCTGACTGGGATGGGATGTGAGAGGGTGGATGGCAGCACTGGAGCTGAGATGCAAAGCAGACAAAACTACTGCTGTCTTCTGCTGAAGGAAGACTAGCAATTAAGAACCCTGTGGTATTTTTCTAAACTTGTATTCTAATGATTCCAGCATGTGCCTTACAGCCCAGCTAATAGTCATCGTAGATGGAATTGGCTCTCAGTGAGCAGATAAAGCATGCAAGGCTTTTCTAAGTCACAAAGCCTTCATTAAATTTATCCCTGTCCTTTTAAATTGTCAAATATTTGCATATATGCTAAAAAAAAATAAGTGTTTCCAATTTTGGTAAACCTGTGGCTTCCAGGAGAGAAAAAGCAACACTCTTGTAGGAGCAGTCTATAAATGTGTGACAAACAGCCTGAAAAAAAACTTGTTGGGAGGTTTCTGTTATGGAAGTTCACTGGGTGGACAAGTAAAGCAGCTTTAAAATGTTTCAGTTGTCAGTGCTGTCATCCCAGTGTTTCCCCATTTCTATGTTCAGCTGAATACTCTCAGGGAACTAGAAGAAAATGAGTGCTCTGCTAACTCCGCAGGCATAACTCCCCAGCAGTTGTGGGATTAAGAAGGATGATCACAAACCCACAAAGGTCCCAAACTCGTGTTGGTGAAAGCTTTTGGGAAAAAGCATAGGTTTTTTTTCCCTAAAACTGCTGAGGCTTCATGACAACCCCTTGTAATCCCACTGGTAGCTGCTAAAAACATGAGTAAAACACAGACGCTGTTTGGGCTGCTATATATAGGAAACACTTGATCCCAGGGCACATCCAACCCAATCAGCTCCCCCTGAAATCAGCAGTGAGCCCATGTTCAGCACCTGGCAGCACTGGGCGGTCCCCATACAGCTGAGCTGTGTTTGCAAGGTTTATTTTTAGGTGTGGGTGTGATTTGGTACTTAATGCTGCTGTGCGCGGCTCATAAATCTGTGTGAGCAGGAGCAGGCTTGAGCACTGTGACCAGAGAGGCTATAAATCCCTAACAGTGAATTTAACAAAATTAAATTCAGAGTGGTTATGGCACTGAAGCAAGACAGCTCAGGTTATTTCTATAGAGGCCAGAATAGAAATACTGCAAAATGTACACAGTGTTACAGAGCTTTGCAGTTTCTGCCCGAACTGCTCCATCTGGAGGTGGCTGTAGCTCCAGAAGGGTTAAGTGTCTTGTGTCCTGAGTACGGCTGCAGTGGGAGGAAAGGATGCATTCTTCATTAGCAGCACGTCCATTGTAACAGCATGCAGCCATTTGCTGAAATAGAGCAGTAAGATCAACGGATATAGAAGCTGCACATCTGTGCATAATGCTGCCATAGAGGCTACCTCATATGCTTAAGTACTTGAGCAGCAATTTGGGAAGGAAAAAAAAAAAAAGAAAGGAAAAAAAAATATAATAATAAACTTTCCTAATCTTTGGCCTGTGAGCCCAAGTGCAGCCCAACCAGCTGTGCTTTGGGTGTGTGTTCAGTTCAGCTCCTTCTGCTGTTTTCTTAATATTTTCTGCAATGCAAATTGATCCTGCAAATACTTAGACAAATGCAGTAGTCCACAGTGCTGTTATCTGAGGGGCATGTTTGTAGAACGGGGACAAAGGTCCTGTTTAACCTCAGTTCTGATACCTCTGAAAAATAGGGTTTTGGACATTTCTTAATTGTAAGAACATTTTGGCTTATTTTCCTACGCTTTCAGTCACAAAGTGGCCAGATGCTCTGTCAGGCCTGCTGCTTGCAGTGCACCTGGCTGCAATGTTCTTTAGAGAAGCAAGTGCAACTTCCAGCATCCCGCTGGGAAGTGAGCACTGCATGTAGGAAACCCCACCAGCAAGGAGCTGTGAGCCCCTGCAAAGCCTCCCAAGCAGCTAACAGGTTTGCCCTGCAGAATGAGACATCCAAGGCAGATGGTTATTTCGTGGTTAACGTGGTTATTTCTGCAGGCTGAGCGTCTTCAGTGGTATGAACTAAAGCGGTTGGCATCATTTGTCTCTAAAATGTGTGTCAGATTGTTCTTCTAGGTGCTTGCAGATTAACCAGCGTATTTCCCTACCTGTGCTGTTGATTGTACCAATCATACAGAGTGCAAAGCAGCAGCTTTTTGCTGAGATTTCAACAAGACAGGTAATGTGAGCAAACATAATGTGAAAAATTTGCCTCTAGTATGCATGCATGTCCTGAGGGCATAGGATACTTAACAACGAGCTGTCTCACAAAAACAGCCTGAAAAATTGCAAGTGTGAAAGAGACTGCATTAAAAGAACCTTTTCTTCTTCTTTTCCACTTCCAAGCCATCCACTCAGATTATTAATGTAAGTTAATGGTCCCCCTGTGCTTTGTCTACCTGAGGGAGCTGTAACAAGACCCAGGCTGGAGCAGGAAATGTACAATAAATCCCATTTTTATGACTCTGGAAGTCAATGACTTTATGGTTTTAGTAACAGCCATGGAAGAAGTATTTTAGGGTTTGGGGCATGGTGGGTTTTGGGTGGTTTGTTTTTCTTATGTTTTGTTTTGTTTTTCCCCAAGGCAGTGTACTTAAGTAAATTAAATTGTAAGAACCCTGAGATTGCTACAGAAAGTCTCAGAAAAGTGAAAACTCATTCTGAAGAAGTATTCTCAGCTGTTTTTCTGAACAAATGCAGGTTGGGGCATGTTCCTTTTTTAGCTGCAATGCGCAGGAGCATGCCCTGAAACAACCTGTGTGCTTCATACCCACTTGCACCACGGCCCCAGGCCCTCAGCACCATGCCTGCTGCTCCCAGGCTGCTGCAGGGCCCGGGGACTGTGTGAGCAGTGTTGTGGCAGAGAATTCAGCATCACCCAGTGCTCACAGCTGAGCTCACGCCATTTCCTACTGCTGGGAAGCTGCTCTTGCTTCTCATGCCTCTTGCTGTTGTTATTTTTTTTTTTTTTTTTTTACTCTCGTGGGAGAAAAAGAAGCAGAGGGCAAAAATTAGGCACTGGGGGAAGAAAGATGAATGGCTAAATAGATTAATCCTTGTAGCTTGGGAGCAGTTTCTCATTCTGCTCCTTCTGGTGCACCAACAGAGATGTTAGTCCCTTTCCATGTCCTCTGCAGCACTCCGTGTGCCATTACATGGACGTACCCAAATAGAGTTACGCTGTGCTAGCAACCGCGTTATCAAACCTCTGCCAGCTGAAATCCATCTTCCTGCTTAGGCAATTCCTCTGATTTATTGTTTTCACTTTTTTTAGAGGGTTTATACAAGAGTACTGAGGGCAGCTTGGCCTTGAGATGTGCTTTGTGCTATGCTGGATTACCAGGGTTCTGGTGGGATGCAGTAACAATAACAAACTTTGTCCTCCTTCTGCATACGAGCTCTTCCAGGAGCAAATCCCCACCTAGGGACCCATCCTTGCTGCAGACTGCTTTGTTCTAGGAAATGACTTAGTGAGATATTACTGCTGTATTATTATTATTCCTTAATGTTATGGGTCTGCACTACTGTCTCAAAGCTCAGCAGGAAAGCCCGGGCATGTTTTCATTACTTAGTGTTGATTGCACACCACACTGAGCTTCTGTGGCAATAACAGGGCTGCTCCTGTTAGATGGACCCATTTTCAGGATGTATCTCTGCTACCCATGATGAGAGAGCACACTGTTGCCACCAGAGAGCTGTGATGCAGTGCTTGGTGCAAGCTGCAGAGCAGTATGTTCCTTCTTAACAGGAGAAGATGAAGGGCAGAGCAGTGGCACACAAAGCAAAGCCCCTTTCCTGCTTCCTTGATTTTGATATCGAAGTGCTCAGCATCCACCAGCTCTCTAACAGATGTTGTAGTCGATGTGAAGAGAGTGCTGTGCCTGGAAGTGAATTGGTTGTTATTTTGAGCTCCCATTATATGTGCTGAGCATCAGTCTGTGTGTGTGCTGTGGTGCTGCAGTTGTTGGTATTGTCCCCTCCTTGTCCTCCTTGACAATTGCCATTGTGACCATAGTTTTCCTCATGCAGGCGGGTATTTGTTTGGAGCTTTGAACGCAAATGTAGGCAGTGGTGCTTAGGAACTTTACGATTTTGGTTTTTTGAAGTAAAACCTTAGAAGTATTTTGTGAGAACTCTCCGAAGGAAAAGTACTTTGAAGGAAAACTCTTTGGAGGCAAAGCACAGGAAACGTTCTGAACCTGTTTTGTGCGCACGCTAGCAGGTGACGCGAAGCCAAACGCGGGGCTGAGAGTCGCACGCCGTCCAAAGGAAGCCGAGGCTCCCGGCCGCCAGGTGCGCTCCCCGCCGGACGCCGCTCGCTCTCCGCACGGCGCTTCCTCTCGGACCGCGCTCTGCGAGGGGCCGCCCTCGGGCACGAGCAGCGCGGCCCCGCCGCCTTCCCCGCTCCCCGCCCGGCCCCTTTGTTCCGCCCGGCCCGGCCCCGGCCGCGACCCCTCCCTGCCCGCCCGCCCGCCCGGGGGCGGTGCCGGGGTCGGGCCGAGGCGCGGAGCGGAGCGGCGGGCGCGGCGCTCGGCCCCTGAGCTCGGGGCCGTCGGCGGCATGTGGCGGGGGCTGCCGGCGCTGGCCCTGGCCGCGCTGCTGCTGCTGGGGCGGGCGCCGGCGGGGCGGGCGGCGGCCTGCGAGCCGGTGCGCATCCCGCTATGCAAGCCGCTGCCCTGGAACATGACCAAGATGCCGAACCACCTGCATCACAGCACGCAGGCCAACGCCGTGCTGGCCATGGAGCAGTTCGAGGGGCTGCTGGGCACCAACTGCAGCCCGGACCTGCTCTTCTTCCTCTGCGCCATGTACGCGCCCATCTGCACCATCGACTTCCAGCACGAGCCCATCAAGCCCTGCAAGTCCGTCTGCGAGCGCGCCCGCGCCGGCTGCGAGCCCGTCCTCATCCGCTACCGCCACGCGTGGCCCGAGAGCCTGGCCTGCGACGAGTTGCCGCTCTACGACCGCGGCGTCTGCATCTCCCCCGAGGCCATCGTCACCGCCGAGGGCGCCGGTGAGTGCGCGCCGTCGGGCCGGGGCCGCCCGCACAAAGCCCGGCTCCCGGCGGCTTCTCCTCCTCTCTCCTCTCCGCGGTCCCGTCCCGTCCCGGGGTGGCTCCGCCGCTCGGGGGAGCCCGAGGTGACACCTCCCTCGGGGCAAGGGCAGCGGCTGCGCCGGGGGGCTGCGGGAGCGCTCCGTGGGGGCTGCGCGCTGCTCCGTGCCTTGTGCTCGGCTCCCTGCCCGGCCGGGGGCTGCGGCGCTTGGCGGTGCCGGTGAGAGGCGCCCCGCAGAAATGTTAACTTGCGGTAGCGGCGGAACTGGAAGTTAGAGCGGGGCGGTGGGTGGCCGTGTCGTGCGAGATTTGACCCGTACGAAAACGGTGATGTTCTGAGCCGGAGGCGGCCCCGCAGCTGCCCCGCGTTCTGCCTGTAGCTGAACCAAGTCCGCTGCTCTGAGCCCCGTCCGACTCTCGATCTGCAACGTAGCACTTGGTGCCGTGCCCTGGTGCCTCCGACTGCTGTAGTTATTCTCTCTCTGGCCGCCCTGCTCTCACCTGTCCTTCCCCCCACGCTGTGTGCCGGGGATGCCTTGCTGCTGCCTTGTAAGGGCTGCTGACCTGCCGGGCTCTTCAACGCCAAGCGCCTTTCTCGGCAGAGTTGAGGTGCTTTCAGAACTGCCTTAAAAATGGACCCAGAGAGAGCGAGGCTTGGCAAGCCTGCAGCGATTTGAAAGCAATCACATTCAAATCTGGAGGGAGGAAGTTTGGCTAAAATTGCCCCCGAGTTACCTATTCCTGAGGACCTCAGCAGTACAATGACCTCTTTGAGGGATTCCAGTGCCGGATCCATGAACACTCTCTTTCAGTGAATGAGAACCTGATGACATTCTCATTTCTGGGCTGAAAATGTTGAACCGATGCATTATGTACCAGACTGAAAGAATCCTTCTTGAGGGAATGAAAATGCTCCTTTAGAGAGCAGAAGGAAAGATTCCTGTTAGAGGAAGAGGTAAGGTGAATTGCAAATTCAATTCTCCAAATGGAGCATCACAGCCAAGCAGAAGACACCAAGAGCAAGCTGCTTAATGACTTGAATACAAAATGCTGCTCTTGCTTTATCTCCTGAGCATTTGCAGACCTCACACTGTTTGCAAACAACAGCTAATAGAGCAGGCAGAACTATAAACCCATTTGCAATGGGCTTTTTTTGTAAAAGAAGGTGCTTTTATCTTTCAGAAGTTCAATCTTAATTTTTCATTTTTCCAAAGGAGTCTGCTACCTGCAGAGTAAGACTTCCTAATCGTTTTCTGTCCTCCCAAGGTCTCCATGTCATTGCTGGTGAGGATTGATGTGTCTGCCTGATCCCTTTGGTAAGGTGGCAGCCTGAAGGGCAGCACACTCAGAGGGCTTTTGTGGCTGGAACAGGGGTAGAGGTGAGGAAGCTCTATTTCCACTCCTTGTCCAATACCAGACTGAGATTTTGATGAGCAAGGTGCTCCTCTGACCTTCAGGGCACACCTTGCTAGAATTCCCTCTCACCGTCACATCTTGGCTCTTAGAACAATGATGCTAAGTTGAAGATGAATAGAAGTTCACTTGATATTTTTCTTTTGACATCACAGTAAGGATGGTAAGATTCCCTGTTAGTTATCCTCCCTTTGCCTGCTGGACCTGGGCTGTTGCTAAATGAGGAGAAGCTGTGGTTGGCAGAAGCTGTGGCAAATCCCAGAGAAAAGTTCACTGTTACTGAGGCTACACATCCTGTGTGTCTCCCAGGACTTCTTTCTATCTGCAACACCGGTTGATGGGCCTGTTTAGGGGCATTCTCTTAGCAGGGATGAGGAGGTATTTGTGTCTTTCTCCTTATGTTGCTTCTAGGCTGATTACATGTTGAAGATACGAAATAAGCATTGTTATGTCCACGATGGAGAAGCTGCTGAGGATAGTGCAAGTACTTTGTTTAGGGCTCAGTTAGAGGAGAGTTGTGCAGCCGGAGTTAAGAGGCAGTGAACCCCCTGGGCTTGTGCTTGTCTCCAAACTTGAGCAGGGCTGCTACACCTTGCTGCTGGCCTGCAGGTCTGAGGGCCACCTTCAAGCCAGCATTCCATGGGAAATGTATCATGTCTTTTATTTTGCACCCAATAAGTAACCAAAGTGACTGTGTTAATTGCTGATGCTCAGATGCACGTACACGTAGGCCTGTGTGCTCACTCTGGTTATGTCTCTAGTGTTGTGTTCATTTCCAGTTTTGAAGAGGGAACTGGGCACTGTCCGTACCAGAGGACAGATCCATTCGTTGAATTTCTGGCTCTGCAGATGTTAAGATCACACTAAAGTGTAGACATGGTTGAAAAAACGGGAAAAAACTCTGTATCTTGTTGCTTACCCAACAGGTGCAGGAGTGACTTCACGGTCCTGGATGTTTCCTTTGGGAATTTTTGAGTGGTGCCTTGGTAAAGACAGTCACATCTCACCATACCTTATTTTCTTAAATGTTTAGTTGCTTCTAAGCAGCAATATTTACTCTCTGATTTAGTTTGTAGATAATCCAGATGCATCAGGGTACCTGGTTGCGCATATGTGAAGCTCGTGCATCTGACTCCCTAGGAGCTGTGGAACTCTTCCTGCTCCTGTCACAAGTTGCTCTGTGACCAGTTGTAAGTGCTGATGGATTTCAGTACTAGACAAACTGACCTCTCTGCTGCACCAAACCACCTGCTTGTCACTGCACATACTTTATCCTTTTGGCCCAGAATAGGAGCACTCCATATTAAAAGTTGACATAAAAATGGTTTGAAGGCATATCGGGCTGTTAGTGAGATGCTGGAGAAAAAGGAGACATCATAAACATGTACAAAAAATGTCAGAACCATTTTGACTGATTACCATAAAATAGTGGATTAGAATTCTGCCTCTTTTTAGAAATATAATCCCTTAAACATTAAAGAACATGAAATATGATTTAATTGATGGAGACGTGTTCTTAAATCTGAAATGAAGCTGTGGTTTCTCTATGTAGTCCAAGTCCTCCACAACTGCTGTGTGCCCAGTTGAAGTTGTTGTAACCCAGAACTTGAATTTGGTACTGTACACCTAAAAGCAAAATAACAGTTTCCCAAGCTCATTTTTCACACGTTGTTGACTTTCTGAATCAGTGGTTTCCAAACTCAAGATCAAATTTGCTCTGACTCTTGCTTTGCCTGTGTCTGCTTATGGCAGTCCAAACACACAAAGGAGGTAGGGGGAATGGTCAGGGCAGTGCAGAGGATGAGCAATTATGCCCATCTTAAAGTTGAGATTTGTTTGGGTTGTTCCCTCAAAACTGCAGGCAGTCTCATTTCTTAAAGAACAAAAAAACTGCATATTGTGAGCTTAGAAAAAGTCCATATTAATGAGAATACCATTGGTCACTTTGACTACATTTTTACTTCAGTTTATTTGCCTTTGGAGACTTGAATTCCCCAGGATGGCTTTTTTTTCTTTTTTTAATTTTCATTATGTGATCAGATAAAATACATAAGATGTATGCACAACATTAAGTTTTACTGAATTGCTGCTGTTTCCCACAGCTCTCATCCAAATCTGTGGTCCAGGAATTGTTCTTTTGTGCACTTAATATGCAAGTGACTTTTACTATCTTTGTTAACTTTTTCTTTTTTCTTTTTAAATAGCACCCCTGTTAAGAAATATTAATTAAAACAGCTAATTGGAAAAATCAGTTTGGACTTTTTCCCCTCACTCTTAACCAAAATTTAATAGGAAGCCTTTGAATCGAAGCTCTGGATAATATTTTCTCTTTGGCAACCCTGCTAATCATCACTGACAGTTATTTCTTTCAAAAGATTGTTTTGCATAGACAAAACTTGGCAAAGAGGTCCTCTCAGAAGAGGAGTAGAACAATAGGAAGTCAGCTGCTTATTTTTTAAAATAGCTGCTTTTTTTCTTTTTTTTTTTTTTTTCTGTCTCCCTGGAGGTCTCAGCAGTGTGTGGATAAGCCTGATGGAGAGGTCCTGTCCTCCAAGATGGTTGGGGTGAGAGGATGGCATATCATGGTTCCTTATGCCTCTGTAAGCTGGTGGCTTCTGGTAGGGCTGGCCATGACCACCTTCCTTGTCCCTTCCCTGGTAGATGGGAAGTGACCAAGTGGTATGAGCCTTGTGTGGTTGTTGGCCACAGAAGCATTGGGAAGTTGGAAGATTTTTCAAGACGTTGTACAGTGGTGAAAAGTCTCCAGTTGCTTCTATAAGCCTGCACTTCTCTCTCGCAGTAGAAACTGCTCATCTCTTAACATATGCAAGTGCCCAGAGAAAGATGAACATCACTTTAAGGTCAAAACTTGCCTGTCCCAAGACCTCAAAAGTAAGATTAGTCATGATTCTATGATTCTATGAAGTGGCATAGTGTTACCTGTTTGCTCCTCCATCATTCATCAACAATCACTATGCACTGACCACAAATGCAGAGCACAATATATTGCACACCTCAGCCTGAACTCAGAGAAATTGTACTAATTTATATGAATAGCTTCTTTGCACACAGCTGAATTGCTCTCCTGTTGCACAGCCAGCTGTTATGTTACATATCCATAACAACTGGCTTGGGGGTTGGACGAGTGGCCTTGGCAAATGAAATTGGTCTTGTAAAGAAAAGAAAAACCTCAAACCAATTGAGTTATGTACCTAGAAGTGGAAGAGAACATTTGGTGGAACACAGTTGGGTTTGGTGTTTGTTTACAGTGGCAGGTTTATATTACACGTTGAGTGTTTACCACCCTTGCTGCATTGGTGTTAGTTTTGAGGATGGTTCTTCAGCCAGTACAAACGAGTCCTGTACTGGTAAGTGCAGCTGGGGATGCCTGGGGCTCTCTATTTACAGAATCTGTGATTCAGTGATAGCCCCTGCTCCTAAAATGCAGTCCACACATCTAAGTTCTTCAGCTACGCCAAGTATCATCTTAACGTGTATTGCAATACCAGCATTGCTGTATCCAAGATCCCATATGGATACAAAAAAGATTTTGTATGATAACCAGCTTTGACATCTGGAAAAGGTGAAGAAGCCTTTAGCCAGACCCACTTAAAGAAGGGGATTTTATTTAAAACCTATTTATTTTCCCATTTTATTTGTCCTTCTCATAAAGTATGCTATCTCTCTTCCTAGTCTTGTTTCTCATGTGTCTTTTTTTCTCCTTATGTTGTGCAAGACTACAAGTTAACATACACATATTTTGTTATCAAATATATTTATAAATCCATTAAATTATGTGATTTAATAAAAAAAATAGATTTAAAATTTGAAATGTGAGGCACATTCTACATACCAACGTGTCTCAAAGCAGTTCTTTGGAAGTTTGGTACAACAGTTTTTTTTTTCCCTTCTATTCTTTATCTATCCTTCAAAATAATCAGCATGTTCTTCAACATGCTGAGGAACAGGGGAGGGTCTCAAATGTTGGTTTGGCATTTCTTTCAGTGATAAGATTGCGGTTGGTTTGATTACTTCAGTAACTGAAAAAAGCAAACCAAAAGCAATTTCTCCTTCATCATCTTATTAAATGCAAACTGTGTGTGTAATTTTTAAATTCGGCAAATTCATGCCATAGATTTTCATCCTAAACCTGCCAGTCTCTGCACCACTAGAAGCAGGCTATTTAATATGGTTCAGCATGTAACATTATGTGCAACATTAGGGTAAAGCTCAGGTAAGAATCGATCACAACTCTGGCAGAATCAGGCTGGCTTCTGCATCTTTACAATCTGCTTATTTATTGAGTTTTAATATATTAAATATCCGAGGAAGATAAAATGTCGTATGTATATGTGTTGAAATAATATGATACTAAAAATGCTAACATTTTTTTAATGTATTTTATGAATCCATGCCAGATTTCCCAATGGATTCTAATAATGGCAACTGTAGAGGCACCGGCATCGGTGAGTACATTTTTCTGAAACTATATAATAAGCTGTATGAGCTCGTCCTTTTAATACTTAATAAAGAGCAGCACTAATTGATGCATAGATATTCTGCCCTATCTTGAGATCCTGTAGATTGTGCTTTTGATTTGTGCTTATAGCTGTCAAGGAAGGGTGGGATTTGGGGCTGCAAAGACTGCGTACTTCTGACCAAATCAGTTGTACAATTCAAGTCGAGGGGGCTGTGCTGATTTCACTGCAAGTTTTTTCTTGAACAGTGAGAATGATCATTACGTGGGGTTTCCTCCCTACTGCCTCCCTACTACCAGAAATGTTATTTTCTCTCCAGTGCACCCAGTTGTTTTTCCATGCAGAACTGAAAATGCAGGGAGGACAATAACACTGTATTCGTTGGCAGACTTCTGCTAGCATACCGCTATGAGTTTTGATTTAACTGAGAAATGCTTACTGAAATGATGAGAAAGAAAATCCCGGGTCTGTAAACTGCCAAGTGACATAGTTGGGATTGGGTGCACCAAAATGAGTTTCTATAAACTTATAAATACCACTGTTGTTAAGCTGCAAGGAGAGCAGAAGTGAAGTTGAAGGTGTTCACAGTCACGTGCTGCAGGAGCAAAGTGAAAAACAGTTGGACATGTAATGTTCTTGGTGTTATGTGTTTTAGCCAAAGGGGGCTAGATTCAAGCAGACAGATTCAGTACAAAAGGAAAATTATTTCACTTTGCAGCAAGTTGGTGAGTACACCAACTCTCTCAGTCATTGGAGGTAAAAACATTGAGGATTGTGCTTTACTATGACTCTCAGATTTTCAAATTAAAGTCCAGCTTCTCTGCAGATAATGGTAAAACTCAGGCTAATCTGAGGAAATGGAGCCTGAGACCTTGTGAGGCTGTTTTTATTCCAGCAAGTCTCCCGCTGTTTCTACTTTACTGATTGGTTTTGTTTTCCCTGAACAGAGTGAAATCAATATCTTGAGTGTCACCACAATTCACGGGCTATGAAAAGAAAAGCAAAGCCCAGTTTGGTAGCTAACATTATAGAAAGGTGAATTTGTTGCTTAAGCAAGTCAACTGTAGGTTTTCTTGAAATTTATTACTATTCCTTTGGAATTTTTCTTCCCCAGCTAAAGTACATGCTGATGTCCAGTTTGCTGACATAACCACCTAAATATGATTGGGCAATGCAGAATTAGATACCAAGTACTAACTTCAGCATTGATCTTCTATCACCTTATATCAAAAATATTAGATGTATCTTCAGAACTGCTTGCCCTCAGGGATGTGGAATTGAAAAATTGCATTTAAAAGAGAGTGAGGATGAACAGAAAAGGTGCTGGTGAAGAGGAAGGGTAATATCTTTATCACTAGCTTTTTACTGTTGGAACACAGTTTGTGGTTCAGTGCACCACACCCATTTCAGCTGACTTTTCTGTCTCTTGGAAGTAAGCTAGATATTTGTATGCTTCATGACATGCTATTCAGGCCACTTAGAAAATTTTCCAGGCTTCTTTATCCGCAACTTAAAATGGAAGCATCTGCTAGGCTTGAGCATTTGCTTAGACTGTGCATGCACAAGTCTTTAAGATGACATGTTTGTAGGTAGTGATTATAGCAGAAAACCTTCCCTGTAGTTCCTTTATTTTGGTAATTTACAGGGAGAAGTTTCCCATGGAAAGATGTTGAGCATATGTTGGTGCTATGTTGACATGTTTTAAAAAAGACTATTTAATGGCAGAGTCAGCTGAGATCTCAGTCTTAGGTGGTGTGAGCATCTGCTGTCTGCCTTGGTGCTTAGGCCCTAATGGAGTTGTGGTCCCTGAGCTCTTCTGACAGGTTTGGAGGGGGGACAGTCAGGTCAAATGGGACTTCCCCTTAGAATTAAGAGTCAGTGAATTTTTACAACACAATTTTTCTTGCAGCCACCTTTTTTGAATGTTCCCCTTTGCTGGAAAATGCTCAGAAACATGCATCAAATAGAGTTATGTTTTCTAATACTTGCATCATGTTCCATTTGAACACCACCATCACAGGTGGTGAGAGAGATGAGTTGCTTATCACTCTGCATCTGGCTTTAGAACTGACCTTGGCAAGTGCCCTTGTGCCACTTTTTTGTATTCCTAAGTAGTAATTAGAAATAATGTATCATTATGTAAACTTCTGTAGTATATAAATTTGAAAAACACTAGAACAACTAGAAGGTACCCCCATCATGGATGTGTGCAGGACTATCCATTAATTCTAGAACAAGTAATAAAAGATACTCATACTCCCTTATTTTTTTTTTAAATAGGGAAATATGAGACTATATTTTTGTCCCTTAATTTAGACTGTTTTTTTTTTTTCCTACTTGTGTCACAGAGCAAGGAATTGTAGAGCAGGAGAATGTTAAAATGTAAAACTTGTTGAATATGAATGCCAAGATGCCTGCATGAGTGTGGGTCAGAGCAGCACGTCTTTTATGGCGTGTTTCGAGGCAGCTTATAAAATGGGCCATAATTTGGTCTAAAGTATGCATGAGCTCCCACAGGCAGAAGGGAAGCCAAAAATCACTTCCCTTCTCAGCCTTTATTATTTTAACACAGTTCCATACAAAAGCCTAAGTCTGTAGGATACTATATATAGGATCCTGAGGACATGTTTGAAATTCAAGGAAACAATATCCTCTTCTTTGGAGATGTTCTCCTCTTTCCTGTATTTTTTTTTTAATTTTTCAACTATAAAAATCCTCACAGTCCAAAATAAATGATAATTTTGAGTACTCTATAACCATCTTTTTATTTAATGCAGAAATCTTAAAAAGAAAATAGAAATTATTTCCCAAACTCTTCACAGTGGATTTAACTAAATAACTGGCTGCATGCATCATTATTTTAGAACAGTGATGCATAGAAATAGGCTGTGTTAAGTCTTCTTTCACTTAAATGCTGAGTGAAATGCAGCCAGCAGGCAAGACTGGATATTTAGGACACTGAGTATGAATGAGGACACCTGAATTGCACCTTCAGCTCACCTCCTCTTCTCTGAATTGCATTTTACCTACAGTGGTACATTAGAGTAGATGATCACATACACATGATACTGGGACCTGTGGTTGGAGAGGGGTTGAGGCAGTGGGCTTGGGGGGAATTTACCAGTTCACTGATTCTGACAGAGCCCACCAAGCTCTACTAGTAAAAATAAATAAATAAATAAATAAATAAGTGGATATTTGCATTAGAATATTTGGCAGTAAGTTAATGACAATATGGGTCTGGGGCTTCAGCATTAGCACTTCTGAGGTACTAATGAAAATGTTGTTACATGCAGTACTGTTTCTAGCTGTCTGGAACACTGCTGGGTGTGCTGCTCTTCAGCACTCATTCATTTCGTGTTTTGAAGGTCATCCTACTGGAAGAGCTAATAATTTCCCATTTTTAATTATAGCTAGGGTTCTGGATCACAAACCTAAGCGACAGCAGCCTAGCTTTGTTGTTAGCTGTGTCCAAAGCACAGTCTTCAATTGTACTCAGGGCTGAGGACACATGGTGTAGGTAGATCAGAAGGCTGATCGTGGGAGCCTCTCTGCATTATTCTTTCCAAATTAGAGAGCAAGCGTGCTGGTGGAACCATGGTGGGATCTAGGCAACGTTGCCAAGAAACTGCTGAGCTTTCCTCCTTAGAAAGTGCAGGCTGCAAGCATCTGCTGAGTTTTACACTCGATGAGGTGGTTGTTGCCACAAACCAGAGGTTCTCAGCTGCTGGCTCTACTGTATGCTGGTCAATAACTTCATTCCTCTGGCTCTTCTGGTTTTCAGTCCCACCGTCCGTAATACAGACTCATGAGTAGCTCCTTGTTTTAGTTACACCTATGCAGTCATTTGTTACTGAAGGAATTTTTAGTCCTCTATAATTTCTTAAGGGAGTAGTCAACACTTGAGCACTGCCCCTCCTTAAGTTGTTTCAAGTAAAATTAGCTGGGAAAATAATGCCTAGCTGAGAATTAGGTGAGAAAGTAATGTGTCTGTGGCAAAAGAGCCTGGCTTCTTGCCTTTATCCCTTTCTGCTATGTTGCTTTTACCATAACACTGAAATCCAGTCCCAGTGTCAGGTGGGTTTTTTTGCAAATCCTGAATGAGTCCCCTGGCCAGGCACCTTTCCCTGCTTTTTATCCACCTGAAAGTTGTGTACTGCGTTGTATCAAAGCCCTGTGTTGGATGTAGGCCTTTACCTATCAGTTGGACCAGCATTTTAGATGAAGCACCGATATAGCGTGTGCATGAAAAATGTTGCACTGGGATATTTTACTTGTAGTGAACAGTACTTGCAAGATTGACGTCTTTGTCTTGTCATTGTACTGTTGGAAGAAGGAAGTACTATCTACATTTTTGACTCATTTAATTTAAAATACAGCACTTGTTTGAGGTGTCTTCTTTAGATCGAAATAGTTCAGTTGGAGCGAACCTTAAGAGATTATCTAGTCCAGCTGTCTGAGCACATCAGGGCTAACTGATAGCTAAAACATATTAAAAAGGGCATTGTCCAAATGCCTCTTAAACATTGATAAGCATGGGATCATCCACTGCCTCTCTAGGAAGGTTGTTCCAGTGTTTGACTACCTTCTTGGGAAGAAAAATTTCCCTAATATCTAGTATGTACAATATTAAAAAGGTTGAAGTTCCTTTTTTTCAAGGCCATGCTTAGAAGCATTCAAAGCAGAAAGCCATTTATCTCTTGGTCTTACCACCTTCTGACATACTTGAGCCATTGATTGTATCTCTTAGACATCTTCACGTGTAAAGTTTTTTTGTTGTTATGTATTTTTGTTTAATTTTTTTTTAAATAAAATTGAATCACTTCAGGTTTTCTCCTAGAAATATTTGAGATCTTAAGGACAGTTTTGCAACACTTTCCAGCAGAGGAGACCCTGTGTTGTTTAATATTTAACTTCTCTACTATAAATAAGTAAATTCAGTGGCGGGAAATTCTTGTCAGGTGTGATTTTGGGGAGGTTGTCACTGAATGTGGGCTGCTTTCTTTCTAAATAAAAGTTTCTGTTTTGTAGAACGCTGCAAATGCAAACCCATAAAAGCTACCCAGAAGACCTACCTACGCAACAATTATAACTATGGTAAGGACAGCTGCATGGCCAGTTCCCAATCATTTTAGGAGATCACTGTTTATAAGGCTACAGTCAGAGAGTTAAATAGGACTGGGAAAAATGTCACAAAAATAGCCTATGGTTTCAATTACTGATGGTTAATCCAGTAGGACTTATTACAGAAGATGTGGCCTGAATCTTTTCCAAATTCAAAACTGAGAGTGTTTATAGAAGGATAGAGGGGATTAGCCTAATATGTTAGTACAAGAGTGTCTTTGTTGACGTTGAGTGCTAGTTATTCCAGTGTCAGCATGGGTGTCTGGGATTCATGCACTTTTTTAGTGTGAAAAGTCATTTGTTAAAAATGATACTGTGGGCTCCTATGCTTGAAATTCCTTTTGAATTTACAGTTTTGATGCATTCTGATTTCATAGAAAGGGATTGTTTTTGCTAATTTTCATGCCTAAAACCTCACTGTGGCATCTAACAGGCATACTAGGCTTTTGCCTTTTTGTGCATCGCAGCCAGCAATGAATGACTTTTTGACTGTTAGCTTGTCCGTACAACCTTTAAAAATGCTCTGCGTCCTCTATTGTCCAAATCACCCTGATCTTCTAGCATATCAGGTCCACTGTTACTTTTCATAGACTTTAAGAAATTAGGTATCCAAGGAGTTTGTTATCTGTAATGGAAAGGATGCCGTTTGCAAGCTGTGAAAGATGCAGTATTCTCTGTGAGTGACCACTGGATTTGCATTTAGTTCACTGGTCACTGTGAGAGAGCCAAATATCTGTTGCCTTTGAAAGGCAACTTTCCCTCTTATGCAACTTATGGCAAAAAGAAAGAGCAAGGAAAGAAAAAATTAAACAGGTCACCAGGTCAAGATTGGGAGTATTTGGTGTTCATAAGGAACAGTGCAGATTGGTGCTGGGTCAGTGGAGAGAGGATGAAAAAGGTAAGAACCTGTCGTCCAATAGAGACAGTGATACAGTAAGCTTTGATGCATATTCATGTCTCATGAAAAGATGAGCGTGGCAAATTAAGTTCAGATATCTGTAGTGCAAGTAGTCAAATAGAGAATAGTAGCATGAGGCAGAAGGAGAATGTACAAAGAATGAATTAAATACATGAAGCGGGAAGAGCAAAGGAGGGGATGCTAAAAATCAAGCCCAAATGTAACAGAACACCCTTACATCTGGTATGTAATTCCTGCTTGTGACTCATTCTGTTTTGAAATGTACTGAGCTGCCTGCAGCCTCTTGCTGAAAGATGAAGTAGTGAAGAGCTGGGGGCAGGGGAGTTACAGAGTCCAGCTGAGCTTCTGATAACAGACCGTACAAAAGACTAATCCTAGAGGTCATCAAGAATGGCCCAGGGGCGACCTGTATTATCTGCTGCTGTTAACTATACTTTTTGCTACTTCTTCCTAGTCATTCGGGCAAAAGTGAAGGAGGTGAAGACTAAATGTCATGATGTCACTGCAGTAGTGGAAGTAAAGGAGATTCTCAAATCTTCCCTGGTGAACATCCCAAAGGACACTGTAAACCTTTACACAAACTCCGGCTGCCTCTGTCCACCGCTCAGTGCCAATGAAGAGTACATCATTATGGGCTACGAAGATGAGGAGCGCTCCAGGTAACTCTTGCAGCATTATCTTTGAGGTGTTATTTGTTGTTTGTTCTCCTGTCCATAGAGATTGCATAGTCACCAGCGAAAGCAAACTTTGTGACACTCTGCATGGCACTGTAATAATATTCTCTACTCAGAGGGATTGCTGAGAGCCACAAAGCTCTGCGGGCACAGAGGCGTGATTCTTGCATGTATTGGGTTCTTTAAGTCATACATGAATGCTGGTAGAGTAACAATTTATCTCCTTCTATAGGTTACTCTTGGTGGAAGGCTCCATAGCCGAGAAATGGAAGGATCGACTTGGTAAAAAAGTAAAGGTAGGAAAATAGCTCAACAAAAGTCAAATATTGCAGATGCCATGGAACAGCTACTGAAGTTTTACAAAATGAAGGAAAAAGACACATGCTAACTCAAGCTAATTAATAATAAGTATCAAAAATTAACATGGCTTATTATGTTATTCCGAAATACGTGCCAAGTAGTGTAAATGGATAGCAGTCAAAATTCTCATCTCAACAAAGCAGACCACAGAAGTGTTTTGCCTTTGTGGGGAAACTGTCCCTTCTGCAACTCATTTTGGAATTGTAACATTAATGAAAAAAGAGGGCTTTACAAGTGTTGTCCAGACTAAGTCAGAATTACACTTTCCAGATTTTAGTATTCTTTAAACATAGTTAGCAAATTTTAAATATAGTTAACAAATTGCATGGGTTAATGACTATTCCAGATTTGTCCCTCTTGCTTAGATATGGAAGGTGCATGATAAGGGAGTCTTGTATTTTACATGTAATAGCCAACTGGCAGCAAGGAGCTCAAATGGAAACAATACATGAGTGTTTTCTTGAACATTTTCTAATTTTAGTGTATTCTAATGTCTTCCATGTTCTGGAAGGACTGCCTTTTTATGCTTTGATGCACAGCAGACTATTGGCTATTTCTACATTTTACACAGATTTCTCTTATTTTAAAACAATTTCTCATCTGTTGTCTTGACACAGTGGTTGTACTTGTGCAAACCAGTCTCTTCTGCTGAATGCTTTCTTCAACAGTTTTAATGGTGACTGGCAGGAAAATATTGTTCTCATTAGAAATACAGGATTCTCTGTGTAAATATGGTACATCCACAGCGATTACATGAGTGAAAAGATATGGGGATTTTATTCCAAGCTGTTGTTTGATTTGGCAGAACTTTCTGAAATCCAGTGCCATGGAATAAACACCAGGTTGCTGCTGCAGGCTGATCTCTGCTCGGTCCCAGTTCAGGGGTGGCAGGGTGATATATGGTTTCTTTCTTGGGAGCTCACATATTTTCTAGCTTATTGCACAGCTGGGATTGCCTTCTATCAAGCACTGGTTTCAGTCCAATTCAGTTGTTTTTCTGTCCAGTACTGGCTTCAATATGCAGAGCATTTTTGTGGTAGGTCTAGTGCCTCAGCACTGAAGAGGCTAATAGATAATTTTTTTTAAAAAAAAAGCAATACCTAAACTCAATTTTTTTCCCTAATCATGTGATACTTTTTCATTCTTGCTGTACTCTCAGCTCTTGTAGCTATTGATACGTAGCTTGTGTGGATAAAGATTTTGAAGGTCTTTGTGCCACTTTGTCAATGACTTCTGGTACAGCAGTAGTGCTTGTATCAGGAAACTAGTTGAATAAATTAAAGTATAAGGTATAAAGGACGAGAAATTGCTAATTAGGAATTTGTGACATTTATGATTTGGTAACTTCAGGCTGTGTTATGTTACTGTGGGGCAGAAGCTGATGAGAATGTTGTTCACAGTTGGAGAAGCCTAATGATGGCACTTCTCTTCTCATCCCAGTCTCAGTTTTTGTAAAGCATCATCATTTTTTCCAGTTACATTTATTATGCCTTTTTGTACTGCAGTTGCTATTGCCTGGAAAAGATAATTTTAAAAAAAAGCACTTGATTATTTTCCCCAGCTTCCCCAGTGACTGCACAGGTGGCTTCTGAAGACTCTGTACTGTGCCTTGCCATCAGCCCCTTCATTCACAGAATGTACTAAACCAGGCCAGGAAATGGATGCTCCTCTCTGTTGGAAATAATAATTCTTAATAACCTCACATTCCTCCACTGAGGCCCAACGCAGGGTTTTGTGATGGCAGCAGCAGTGACTTTTGTTGTTGTTTGTAAAGCCACGCAGTTACCATATTTGTCATCATAATAACATTTGTTATTTATAAACTCTTAACATCTTCTGTCATCTTTTTGCAATTCCTCTGCTTTTCGATATGCAGCGCTGGGATCAAAAGCTCCGCCACCTGGGCAAGGGGAAAGGAGAGCCGGGACAAAGCGATTCGGCACCGAAGACTGGGAAGGCCAGCAATGCCCGGCAGGCTCGCAGCTAGATGTGAAATGCCCTACGCCAAAATTCAGTGGACTATCTGTCAAGACTTCACTGTTGGAGCAGCAAAGGAGAAATTGCACTATTGCACGTTATATTCTATTGTTTACTACAAAATGTTTTAGCTTATATTAGTTTTTATTCTCCCTCTTGTTTTCTACCTTTTTTTTTTGTTTGTTTGTTTTTGGATGTGTGCAAGCTCTGGAAATAATATGTTCATTTATGTTACTAAGAACTGTAGAAAACTGCCTTTGTGAGGTGTGGGAAGGTCAGGATATGCTGAAGTTGCCATTTTAACTCCCAGATCTTCTAAGTGGGTGAACCTGTGCAAGCAGGAGATCTATTGCAGCCCATCATTAGTGACCCACACCAGCTTCCTTGGCTCAGTCATTCTGATCACAGCCTTGGTTGCTGCTTGCAAACCTCTTTACTGGGCCGGGGTTTGTTAAGTGCATACGTTTTTATTTGAAAATATAAGTGCCATATACATACACAGGTTAGAGTCACATGGCACTTCTGGAAAAATTATGAAAAGACAATTTTTTGAATTCTCTGGACCTTGTAGGAAACCTTATGTAGTTCTGCCACAGCAGAACTTTATTTATCATACACTTCTTCTCTTATAATGGCAGTTTCTTCTTCTTTTTTTTTTTTTTTTTTTCCTTCTTTCTGCTGAGTTGTAGGAATAGACTGCCTTACCAGGCCTGCTTCTCAGTACAGGTCTGCACTTTATCATTCTGATTTTCTGGTGTTATTCTTCAATCAGTGCCTATATAAACAAGTGTTCAATACTCAGTAAAATACGTCCAATAAAAAAAAATAAATTGTAGTTGTCAAAATGGACCTTAGCTGACATTTGAACCAACATCATATTTTTATATTGCTGTTCAAAATATAAAACCCTAAATCCCTTCCTTTTTGTGCTTTTATAAAATTCTTTGCAGATAGTAATAACATGTTTGAAATTAAACACTCTGTTCTTCTGTTTTTCTTTTCTCTCTTGCTTGAAAGAAATTAAAATGATGTAAATAAAATAACAGTTTTCTCCACTGTAATATACAGAGGGGAAACCACTCTGCTTACAATGGCTGTTGGGCTTTCAACTATGAGTATTTTCCATAGCCACCTGTTTTCCTGGCTCACCTAAATGCACTTGGGCTGCCTCTTGTTAGCAAAGCAGTACTACAGTTGTTAGGTTGAAAATGTGCTGGTAACAAGTACATCCAGAAATATTTGGGAATATTTATAATAATGTCATTTTAAGATTACATTTAATAAGAAAGGTGCTGGGGCAAGTTTTCCAACAAGCAGGATACCAAGTAAGTTGAAAGATAGATCTGTTTCCTGCAAAACTCAAAATCTGCGTGGGTTGATTTGTTGTTGTTGTTGTGTTGGTTTTTGGTTTTTGTTTGGTTTGTTTTTGTTTGGTTTGGTTTGGTTTTTTTTTTTGTAGTTTGCAGTGGGATTTAAGTCTTCAGCTGGTTTGGTGTTTGCTCAGAATATTGCACGGGCTGGCTCAGGAACTGTGGAAAGGCTTTCAAAGAAGAAGCTGAATTTAAACAAAAAAATCACATCTGGAAACCTTGCTCTGGTGTATTTTGGACATTGTAGTTCGTTCTCATCTACTCTATTGGTTGGTTCCTGGCGTTTTCAGGCATGCTGTCAGCAAGCAGGTGTATGCCTGTGGTGGGTCAGAGCAGATACATCAGGATGAACATCAGTACTGTGGCAGCAAACTGACTTGAGGAGTGAGTAAACAGCAAGTCCTATGAAGCCCATTGCCAGTATTATCTATCATATGTACTTACTGGGCTTTGGACTTTTTTTATAAAGCAGTGAATAGCAGGCAGTTCATATGAGGAGGAAGGATTGTTGCACAAAATGTCAAGAAAACTGCAATTCTGAGTAATCCTATTTTCTGTTGTGCTCTTATCCCCATACTCAGAGCTTTCTTAAGAAAGCTAAGAAGTCTGTAATTTTGCACCCCGCTTAATTCTCAATTAGAGATTAATCTAATCTATCAAATAATTTATATTCTGTGATGTGAAAATGTTTTTGTTTTTCTCCTCAAATCTCATTGACCTTTGCCTTGTGCTGCCCCTATCATTGCTTCAGAACTTCAGTGCTAAAAGGTAGCATTTAACTCAGATTGTAAAGGTCCTCCTCCCCATCTAGAATCTGCTCCATTTGTCTCTGGAAGACACTTGTGCTTCATCTTTTAATGCCCTAGCTGTGTCAAAGGGAAAATAAGGCTTTCTGGGGACAAAAGAGGAGGAAAGCAGTAGCTCTGTTCATAACTGGTTTCTGGTCAGCTTTAATGTTTTATTTGCTAGGCTTGAATTCATGCCCAGTCTTTGTGTAATCAACAACATGATGACAAGAAAGTGAGACAGCTGTGTTTAATGCTGTTAACCTCTGCTGTTGTGCATTTCCAGCAAGGACAGTGGGCCACAGTGACATCCTCTGAAGGTGAGTGAAACTACTACTAGTGATAGCAATCTGCACCAGGCTGGTGAGGACAGCTGGTTACCTCATGCTCCTGTTCAGCTAGGAGAGCAGCTGAGAGTAAGGGCAGCCTTGTTCATAGCTTTTGTGCCCATCACATCGTGTCTTTGCTGGTGAGTCTCTTTAAATGGTCACCCGTGTGCTGGAGAGAGCTATTTTTCCTCTTTTTCCCAAGATCTCTTCTGTAGCAGTATAGAGACAACATCTGTCTCCTAATCCTTAATTTTTATCTGCAGTGAAGTGGCTTCATGAGTCATTGTCAATCTACTGTGAAAAACTTTGTGTCTGTGAAAGACCTAAAGCATTTGGTTGTTTCAGTTGAAAATACGTGGACTTTCTTTTTCAGGTTTTTGGAGATAGCACTAAAATTGCGTAAGAGAAGTGCAAACAAGAAAGCATGTGTGACAGCCAGCTTATTGGCTGTGTATAATGTGGTTGTTTTACTGGGTGATGCACATGCCTATGCATGCACATGTGACCAAGTGACATGGGATGTATGGAAGGACTGATTGAAACCATGCCTTTCCCACATCTGGGTTATATTATTCCAGCAAGCAAATATGCAGCCCCAAATCCCTGTGGATAATTAGCCTGACATGTTGCTTATCAGAAGGCACCCTTTCCCAGCAGAGCTCAGCAGATGAAAAGATGGGGGAGTATTGAACACCAAAGATATTTGTGAGCCATGCCTAATTTCTGATGGAGGTTCACTCGTGATGTTAATAGATCTGCACAGAAGGTGCTGGCATGTTAGAAATAGTATGAAAATGACACACCTTCATTTCAGCCTGTGTATGATTATTTTTATCTGTAATTCCTTCTATTAAAGCCAAGAGTAAGCAGAATCTATATGGTGAGAACAACTTTCATGTTTATGTGAATGAGAGTAGCGTGGTTCGTTTTTACAGCTTTGCAGAGAGAGTTCCAGGAGAAGTAGGAAGAATAAAGGCCTCTTGTTCTTAGAAAGTCTGTTCTGAGAAAAATCAGGATCCTGAGAAAAATCTGTTCTGCCAAATCAGGATCCTCAGGCTGTGTGCTGGGGAGGCTCAAGTGGAAAGAGAAAATGTCAGTGTGTTTAAAGAGAGGGTAAGATATGAAAGAGTACGACTGCATAATATCAGTCAACTAGAATCAGGTATTGTTCTTGTTTTTTTAAGATTTGGGTGCATCGAGCATGAGAAAAAGTAGTGGTTGAGTTGTAATATCAATGATGGAATGAAAAATGGCTACACCAAGCTTAACTTAAGAATGACTGTAGGGCCAGCTGGGAAGTAGCTGACTGCAAAGGACCCCAGCCTAGAGGCTGCCAATGTCAGCAAATTAAATTGCACAACATGCAGGGTGAGATGCCAAAATCAATATCCTGAAGTTTGTGGTATAGAGTAGGTAGGTAAGTTAGTGAGATAGTAAGAAGGAATGAACAAATTAACATTACATATATATAGCAGGGCAGCTAGTACAGCTGGGGATGCTTAAATCCAGCTGTACAGGAGAGATGTGCTGGCTACCATTGCTTCTCTTCACTGATATGAAATAAGACCAATACCATGGCAGCTGGTAGTGCCTATTCCTAGTAGTTTGCAGACAAGAAGTTGGGAATTCCACATTGTCTCCAAGTTCTCTGGCAGCACTGCTGTCTTCAAACAGATGTGCTTTGCTTTGCAAATGCACATGTATTTGCAATGCAATAACTCCCCATTCTATAGAAATCATTCTTCAAATCCTCAGAGAAGGGTTTTTTTTCCCTCCTAAAGGTATTAACAAGATTATTTGGTTATTCACTTTAGACAGTGGTGCTGGATCACTGAGAAATGCAGACTGGTGATGATTGCTGTGTTGCATGTGACACATGGCTAGCATTTTCTTTCCAGATCTGTGCTTTGCAAGTCTTCAGTAAAATTAATAAAGGAAGGAAAGCAAAATGTAAACATCCCTGAAATGCAGTTACCCTTTACTGGTGATAAACAAGAGAATTAGATACATCGGAAATGTTCCTGGATGTCTGGCCTGGAACCACTATGGATGGAGCTTTCCAAATGGGCAGTGACTTCAATTTTTGGCTCATGCTGAAGAAATCGGTACAGATGCAGAATTATCTCAGCTCTGTTACTAACAGTATTATTTTTTTTTTTTTTTATGGGAAGCTTCTGGAGTTATGAAGTATGGAAGATGAAGAGTTAGACAGGGAAACACAGTATCAGACTCTAAAACTAACCATCTCAAGGTGGGAACCTGAAGATAGGAAAGACAGGATTACAATTTCTCAGGGAAGATAAATTCATTCATTCCTGTAAGTACTTGTGAGAGCCGCTGCCAAAATGCTGTGCAGCTGATAGCTGCAGCTTTAGTAGCTACTGGTGAAGAGAGCAGTTAGAAAAATCAGGATCCCATCGATGAAATAAAGAACGTGTTTCTGTATTACTAAAGGCAGCATCACACCATTGCAGATCAACAGTGGACTGAATATAAGTGTTATCAATAGCTTTACATTTAGGACTTTCTAAATGTTGAATGCTCGTCAGAGCAAACTTGACATTCCTGTAATGAAGACTTAGGGTTTGAAGTAGATGAGCTGAAGAAATTTCGATGGCATCATCCTGTATGGTCTGCTGGGAAGACTGAACCTATCTGTCTCTGTGTGGAAAAGTTTCTGTCTCTGGGAGTGTGTCTACTTTTGACCTTCTCTTTGTGCTGCTGAGGTAGGGCAATGTGCACTACTTGTGCTCTAGACTGAGTCTCCCTAACTGGACGTTGGCCACGAGGACATGAAAAGCCAGGATCCTCAGTTCCATGTTCCGGTCTCCATCCCATCAAGGGATTTCACACAGATGATGAAAGTCAATCTGCTCTCCCTTGCTGTCATCATTTCCAGCCTAAAGGAGCCTTTTCCCCCAGAAACCTTGCTCAGTCATCCCATCTGACGTTTCCTGAGGCCTTCCTTTCCAATACAGGCTTCCCTCTTGTTCACTGCTGGATGCTGGTTTTGCTTTTTCCCTTGCAGCTCTCCCTTCTCTGCTGCCTCTTAGCTTTCTGCTCTGGCTTCTGCCTGTTTCCTGGCTGCTTATCTCCCTTTCTTCCGCTCATTGTCTGCTGTAGCCCTGTTTCTACAGCTGCAGCCATCCTCCCACTGCTGGTTTTGGGGCATCAGGGACGTCTGCTCCCTCCCTTCAGCTTGCATGAACTTTCAAGGTGACCTGTGAGTACTGGTTACAGGGGAATGCATGTGTTCTTCTGGGAATTTAACAACCAGACTCATCTGGGGAATGGAACTGAAATGTCAAGGAGATCTTAGTATGTTGTTGACACTCACAATTTAATGTCAAATTCCTCCCCTCTCAAATCACCCATGAACGTGCTGGAGCTGCTGCATGGAAGGACTAACTTCTCTTTGCCTGTGTGAGTGGTTAAATTTTCTTCTCTAGCTTTACCCCTGGAAATCACTGAATCTGAAAACAGGGCATAATAAACAAGAGAACAGCCATAAACAGCTGATGTTTAATATTTCAGGCTATGTAAGTATGCAATACTGAGTATCTCAGCTCAGGACTTACAGTTTGACAATGGAAACCTGGAGAAAACTTCAGCGCTGTGGTGCCCAAAGTACCTCAGCTGATACCTAAATCTTGAAAAGCACATCACCCAGCTTCCTGAGTGCAAAAGTCCAGCACAGACTGTTCTAAACACACTACTTAGGGGGAAAAATGATGTTAGGAGTTTGCCAGTTGAATTTCAGTTGCTTTTAGCACATTCATTCTTGCTCAATGTCAGTAGGCGTTTGCAGCTGGAAGGAGGGCCAGCTCTGATGAGCACTGGGGAGGCTCCTTGGGATAACTATCCTGCTGCAGAGAAATTCCCATCAATCCAGTATGCATCAGCTGGATCCCAAAATGTTCTTACGCATTCCAGATATTTCTGGGAGGAACTGGGAGAGCCAAGATGTGAATTTTACCTTAAATGGCCCTGGAAATCAGTCAGGCATTTTGCCCTGCCCCTGCTTAAAACCACATAGCAAAGCATATGCAAATGTTGATGCCCACATTCTTGTCCTTATCCTGAAAACAGGTTAGCTCAAAGGTCTTTAATCCTTGAATTTTCATGCCAAATCCCTGGTAACCCCCTCTTTGTTAATTCCCAGAGCACTGTTTGACTCCCTTCAGCTAAAATTCTTTGTAGCTTTTGATGTCCTTTCTAATTATTTGCATTTTTGTCTTTTTAAGTATTTAGGTGACTTTGGAGCTTGATTTACATTTGCGGCCAATGCTTTGTGTGTCCTGCTGGTTCATTCCCCTGGACTATGCATGATGGAGCCAGTGAGAAATAGGTTTCACAGGGTTTTATCACAAATCTTTGCCTGCCCATGAGCTTAGAGTTATGGGTTCTCTTCATCTCCATTCCTCTGCAATCTGTCAGATGTTTAGCTCCAGGAGAATTCATTTGTCTTCCTTGGACACTGCTTGTCAAAGAGAGAGGTGCTTCTCCAGCACTCTGTGAATAAGATGAATAGAAATAGAGAGAAGTCTCAGAGTATCAGCTGCCCAAGGCTGATGGGGATGCCAGGTGTTCTCAGGCATTTCATTTACAAGAAGTGAAGCCTGGGCTTCACTGATCATCCCAAAAACCACTTGTGCATGCCTGTAAATCACTCTCTTATTTCAAACTACAGAGAAAACCCTTCTTCCCCTATTGCTGTACAATATTTTATAAGTGATACCCAGGCCTCTGGTATTTTGTGTGAATAACTCTGAAGAACTCCCTCATTCTAGAAATCAAATACAATGTGCACCTTGAAGTCTACCTGTAGTTTCTTCATGCTCCCGCTGACTGAATCTTTCTGAAATTCAGTATGTCTTTGAAGGCTTCTGTATCAGCAAGGAAGGAGTTAACTTTTCCTGCCTTGGAGCAAGGAAATGCTTAGTTTCAGCGCAGACATTTTTGCAGGGTTAGGGGGTTGGATCAATCATGGGGAATTAAGTCATAACCACCACACTATACTTGAATGACACACACAGTTGCTGATGAATTTGTTGAGGACAGTTTTCAAAGGAGCTAGGAGACATTTTTGCATGAAATTCAGCTGCATTTTAGAGTCCTTTATTCCTGGAAGGTTGAGAAGAAAAGGCAAATGTCAGGGTATTTCTTCCTTTGCCAGCATGTTAATGAAAAATATATTTAATAACCAGTTTTCCTCTTCACTGTTCTCAGACCCTGCTCCCTGTCCTGACCAAAGACCATGAAGCCCAGTCTTCATGGGGCTGCTCAGCTCAGTGACAGTAATAGCAGTGCAGAGTGGAGCTGTGGGCAAATAAGGTGAGGAGGCAGAAGTGGGCCCTCCTCCAGGCTGGTGATCACGGAAGGAAGAGTCTGAGAGCTTTCTCTGTCATCTAGAAGATGTCCACAGTGGATAATGCTTTCCCCTTCAGCCTGGCTCTGTGTCCTATGTGGTGCTTTTAGGGAATTACAAAAATATTTCCTTTTGCTTTGCTGATATTTTCTGCATATTTTGCACAGGTATATCAAAGGAATTGTCTCCTTGTGCATCACACCCATCAGATATGATAGGTAAAGGTCATCATCACTGTTATGTTTGTGAATGTCTCTTATGGTATCTAAGGCATGCAGGACATATCTATAGAAGTCAGTTGCTTCTTCAAGTATCATTTTCCACAGATATCTTCAAACATCACAGTGTCACTTATGGGAAAGGGATCTGTTGGAGTTTGTAGGGGAAGCTAAATATGCCTCCTTGTCAAGGACATGCTTTCACTGGATATTGTAAATGCTGATCCAGCAAAATGATCTTCTTGGGTCACCTGGCAGGCCTATAGTAGGCCTTCCATGCTTTGTTGAATCTCAGTTATGTTTTAGGTTCTAATTCCTCCTAGACAGAAAGCACTGCGGTGGTTTCTTCCTACTTGCATTCTGCTTTTAAAAGTAGATGCCCCAACATCTAGTAAAATGATAGACATCATTTAACTTTGTAAAACCCTTTTGGATGTCTATTACATGTTTTAAAAGGATTTTGATAAAACATTCAAGAACAGGAAATAGTCCAGTAAAGTTGCTGAGCTTATACTACAACGTACCCTGTGTTCAGCCCATTTAAAGTAGAAGCCTGATTTACATCTAATGTCAGTTTGTGATGATTTCCACATGCCCCCTGCTTTAAACAACTTAATCTGATCATACTCTAAGAGTGTTTGTTTGGACTGTGACTGATTCCAAAACTGGTTTTTATCAGGAGTCTTGTTATGTGATATGCTTTTGTGGTATGTGGAAGGTGGTTGTATGACACTACTACCTCTCAGTGAAAATGATGTTAGCCGTGTATCAAGCTGTTGTGAATTATGTGGTTAGGATTAATCTACCCTTAAATTCCACATTCTTGATGACAGACTTCAGCTTTTGAGAAACAAATTTTATCTAAATCACTGAAGACCTATCTTCTGCAATAAGTTAAAGTATGTAGCCTGAGTAACACAGTAAGAGATGTGTGGGTGATCTCCCAAGTACAAGAGCAAGGAATTAAGCATGAAACTTCCTAATGACTGCATATTTTTCAGATGAAGAGTCCATTAATTTTGGAGTATACTTTTTTTGGAGATAGGAGAAAAACATAGCTTGAAGCAATGTAGTCAGATCAGAAATTGGAAGAAGGAATTATGTGGTAATGGGAGAGTGTGAAAAAACTTA